CACTAGCCTTCGAAATTCGAGTAAAGGCGTCCCCCCGGTTTTTATCGAATCTACAACTTTTTTCTCACTCTTCTGCGTGTACCTTAAAATGAATTTAACCTACTCCCTGCGCCAGGATTATGAAATAAAAGGCTTTTATAAATAAATTAGACTATTCTCCGCTATATAACACTGAAAACCCTACACAAAAAAAATGATATAAATGATATCCATCCAGATGTCAAAAAACTAACACTTAGAGCAGAAGGATACACTCAATCATCAACACAGAGTTATATATTTCTGAGTTAGACGGGAGTAAGTAAGTCGTAATCTATTCTGTAATTTGCCATAGCTAAGGGCGAAGAATTGAGACAGCTATAAATTACGCTAGTAACTTTAGATATTTTGCATATTAATTATGCATATCTGGGGGCTAAATGGGCCAAATGGGCCAAATCGTGGGCCGACTGACCCATTTATGGGCCGACCCAAATGGGTCGGCCCACGAGGTTTTTGTCCATGGGCCGGCCCATGCCCAGGCCTAATCCTACCACCACTTGATCAGTTGAAACGCGATTTCTAGTCATCCCTACGTATAACGAACGTAATTCACGGTCTCGCCGCTCACATGGTCGGCCCGCTCACCCTGCCCTATTACGAGTACTTGAATCTTAAATCAACAAGAACGATAATTGTTCATTTCATATTAGCGCTTATTACATCGATTAATCTTATACCCCAACTGCCCACACCCACTGCATCTTAGCGGAGCCCTCGTATGTGGTAAATCTCCCTGACTCGCCGATTCGCCTGCCTCCTGTGATACCAACTGGTTCCTACTGGATGAGCGTTAGGGTGAGCGATCAGGTTGCTTGGGAGCTGCTTATGTTCGCTCCGTGAGGTGCTTAGGGCGGCGAGGTGATTAACTCATTCTGTGCTCTGGGAGCCGATCATTTCCTGGGGCGGTAATTTTACCCTCACCTAGACTACACAGAGAATCTATCTCAAACCCTACTGCCAAGAGCAGAGCTATACCTATCTAGGATAAAGTGCAGCAGGACTGCATATCATCCCTATCTGTAAGAATAGAAATCCAAAATACCTGACAAGACAAATACGGAAGGACGTTTGAATTACGCGTCTCGCAAAAACTGTACATAGGTTTCTGTCGGAGCAATCTGAGACAGTACTGGCTAGTAATCCTGGTAGGAGAATGGGATCGAGGATAGGACCAAGCGGAACCAATATGGGATGCAAAGGTTGATTGATTGAAGAAAGAACGAATATCATGGGGCAGGTTGAAATACCCCATGGATGGTTAGGTACACGGTGTTACGATAGCCGTAATGCCTAGGATACCAAATTACTATACAAAACACAAAGGAAAGTGGTTCACTCGGTATAACCCCTATCTAGTGGTAAGTTACCACTCCATGTCTCGACAATTAAAATGTGAAAAAACAGCTAGCGTTCTCCTCCCTTAACTTCAAGGGTAAGGCCAGCTTTGAAGCACCAAAGTTTCAATGCTGTCGGCACCACAAGTGCCTCGGTCGTTAAATCGGGACTCACAAGCACTGCGAGTAATAGGGGTTTTGATAAGTGCAGGTAGATCCAGGCACGCAGCATGTAGGTCCACTCCAACCCTGGCCAGCGCACTGGCCCCACTTGGCCGAGCACTGCGAGTTTGACAGATCAGCAAGCTATAACACATCCAAACAGATACTCGGACTGTAACTTACATTGCCGGTCCCGGGTGTAGTAGTCGTGCTTGTCGTAGTGCTAGACGAAGTAGTCGTGCTTGTCCTGGTGCCGGACGAAGTAGTTGTGCTTGTCGTGGCGCTCCCACTGGCGGTTATGAAGACCTGCCCACCAATGATTCCGTTCGCCGTAGCCGAGACGATAATCTGCCCTCTGGCCCCCACATTCGCCTTCACAATCGCCAGCACAAGTCCCGAAAATGCGTTGCGGCTCGCGCTCGGGAAGGGCGTGGTGTCGGTGGGGTCGCCGTTGTCCGTTGACACTAGCGTCCCGGGTCCGCTGACGCTGAAGGTGACGACGTTGTTCGCGCGTGGCACCACCGTGCCGGCGCTGTCCACGACCGCCACGCTCACGTACGCCAGGTCCAACCCGTCGCCGGTGATGCTCGCCCGGTCGACCGTTACGCTGAGAGCTGCCGCGTTGCCAGCAGTCTTGCGCGTATCCATGGCCCACTGGTTGCCGTTCTTGTAGGCCACAGCCCGCAGGTCACCGGGGCTGTACGTGACGTTGTCCCAGCGGAAGCGGTAGACGGACTTGCCCAGCCGGTTCTGGCGGCCGGCAGAGACACCGTTGACGAAGAGCTCAACCTGGTCGGCAGAACTGAAGACGTGCACGGGCGTCGTCTGCCCAACGCGCTCAGGCCAGGTCCAGTGCGGAAGGATGTGTACCATAGCAAAGTCGGGCCGCCAGCGGGCCTGATAGATGTAGAAGCGGTCTTTCTTAAAGCCGGCCAGGTCGACAATCCCGAAGTAGGAGCTGCGCGCCCCTGGGTTGCCGCTATAGGGCGTCGGCTCGCCGATGTAGTCGAAGCCCGTCCACGTGAACTCGCCGGCCACGAAGGGGAAGTTATCCTGCGCCGCAAAGACTTGGTCTGGGCTGCCGCCCCAGCCCGGGTTTTCGAGTTCGTAGGCGCTGACCCACATGTGGCTGCTGTCGGACCCGCCGCTGTTATAGTACGTCTGGCCGTTGCTGCTGGTTACGGGGAAGATGTAGGTTCCACGGCTGCTGATACACGATGCCGTCTCTGTGCCCCATATCATCTTGTTGGGGAACGTGCTGTGGAAACTGCCGTAGGCGCCATACTCGCCCTGGTAGTTCAGGCCCTCGATGTCGATCACGTTCGCCAGCGGCGCCGTGGGCCCGGCTGAGTTCATGGCAGAGGTGGACTGGCGCGTGGGATCTTCGGACTTGACAATATCATGCAGCTCCTGGCCCTCCGAGCCGCCCTGGCTGGTCGACTGCTCCGGGATCTCGTTTCCAATACTCCAAGCTACGACTGAGGGGTGGTTGCGGTCGCGCCGCACGAATGCGCGCAAGTCTGGCTCATGCCAGTCAGAGTAGAGAAGGTGGTAGTCGTTTGACGTCTTGCCCTGCGACCAGCAGTCGAAAGCCTCGTCGAGGACCATGAAGCCCATGCTGTCGGCCAGGTCGAGTAACTCCGGCGCAGGCGGGTTGTGCGATGTCCGTAGAGCGTTTGAGCCCATCTCCTGCAGGGTCTGCAGTTGACGTTGAAGGGCCCTGATGTTGATGGCAGTGCCGATGGAGCCCTGGTCGTGGTGGTTACAAGTGCCCTGTACGTATACATGCTGTCCATTGACCAGGAGGCCTATATTCCGGTCGTATGTGAGGGAGCGAATACCGAACTTGGTCTCATAGGTGTCAATAACAGTACCGCCGGCGGACAAGGTCGTGACAGCCACGTAAAGGTTCGGTGTCTGGGCCGGCGGTGGACCCCAGAGGCGAGGGTTGGAGATGGTGACGGATCCGCTGACCGACTGCTTCGCGCCGGCGTTGACGCTGACAGTAGTCGTCTGGAACGAGGCCACCACGGCTGTCCCGGCTGTTCCAGTGCTCTGGTCGATGGTATAGACATTCGTGCTCACATCGACTTGACGAGTCACATTGCCATTGTTCTCGACCTGCACTACCAGGTTCACCGTCGCCGAACTCGAAGACACGGAAGGAGTCGTGATATACGTGCCCCACTGAGCCACGTGCGTCTTATCCACCTTGACAAGCCACAAGTTCCTGTAAATGCCAGCTCCGGGATACCAGCGGGAGTTGTCCTCCGCGTTATCCAGGCGCACGGCGAGGATGTTGTTTCCGGCCTGCAGATACGGCGTCAGGTCCAAACGCCACGAGGCATACCCGTACGGCCAACCACCCAGTAGATTCCCGTTCAGCCACACCGCCGCGTACGACATGGCCCCGTCGACGTCCAGGAAAATGGACTTGGTGCCGTCCACGTCGTCCGCCGTCGCAACGAGGTTCCGCCGGTACCAACCCACCCCGTTCGTGGGCAGCCGGCCCATGCCGCCACTGATGCCCGGCGCGTTGAAGGGGCCTGCAATAGCCCAGTCATGGGGCAGGTCGACGCTCTGCCAGCTGGCGTCGTTGAAGGACGCCTGGATGTACTGAACATTGCTGCCGGGAGGCGTTCCCGATGGGGCCTGGTGCTTGGCACCGTTGACGATGAAGTCGTTAGCTAGTGGCAGCATCCATGGACTGAGCGTGCTGTACGATAGCGAGTCCGGGTTGGATGAGAAGCGCGAGAACTTCCATCCGGCATTGAGGCTGCTGCGGTTGCGGCCAGAGGTTGTGGCTGCCGTGGCCCATCCGGCCGATGCTAAGAACAGAATGGGTAACAGAATGACCATGATGACCGTGTCCCTTGGGCTAGGTAGAAGCACGCATGTACCCATGGGAAATATCCCAGAAGCCTGATGTGGAAATTATGCCTCTTATACACGCCGCGGCTGCTGGGCATAATAGCAGGGATGTATCAGATTTACCGCTCCACCAAGAAAATGCATGATTGCGGGTAATCTTGCGGGTAAATCCTGATAGTTATATTCTAACTTCTGCTAAGACGCCCCGCTGCTACCGCGGGGAATGTGGAGCTCCGCTCTCCGTATAGTACATCCGGCTAAGACGTGTATAGTACTGCAATGTAGACCAGATTGATGCCGGTTTGAGGAATCCGGATTTCAAAAAGTGGCGGTAGTTTGTAGATGTTTGAAATGTGAACTTCAAAGGGACGCCAGAGCAGGGCACGTTCCGTCGACCCCGCAAAAGCCCGTACCGACTGCACAACCATAGATGCGACTGTGCATGGACCAGTTGCAGCAGCTACCAGAAGAACATTGCAACGAACGCCCCCTCTCACCAAGACATCTAGCAAGCTGAATTCGCTTGCAGCATGATCAACAGCAAGGTTACTAAATTTGTGCTGGCGGGTCATAGTTCCGATATGGCTGGACTCATCGATTGAAATATGGTCGGAACTTGCCCTCCACGATGGGCAAAAAGACTGAGCTACCACCTTTGAAGCCCATGACGGCGGCGGAGTCAGAGCTGGTCAAAGAGACGGGCATGGAGGTGGTAAACTCAAATTTTGGCTCGATTTGTCGCGGTCGTACCCGGAAGAAAGAGGCCTCTCTGACCCACAAATCGGCGTTAAGCCCATCCGGCCTCTGCAGGGTGGGAGCTGTTCATGCAAACATATGTGCTCTGCTACTGTATGTAGGTTAATTGGCATACGCAAAACAACGCGGAATCCCTGCACCTGTCCAACTGTTCCGGAGATTTCCCTTTTGTGGAGTAGGAGGATATCGGATGACTTGGCATTGCCAACAAGGTTTGAGTCGCTTTGTTTCCTAGGGGTGGTATTATTCCATGACATGGAGTCGTCGTATACCGCAACTTTCAACGTTGGTTTCATCGTCGTCGAACCCGCCATGGATGGCTATGTCTGTTATCTGGGTCTCTGGCAGGTAGGGACTTGGGACCGGATTACCTCACTTCGGCCCACAGCTGGCTTGATCCGGAGACGCTGTTGGAACAGTGATTCGAAGGGAAACTGTCCGATAGAGAGGAGTACGAATTCATGGGGAACTGTCGGATAGAGCGGTGTGAGACAGGAGGTTTAGCGCACGATCCTCGAGAACGTACAGGAAGACGGCGGTTTGTCTGAGACAGGCCTTCGAGAGCCACTTCCGACAACAGTAGAGCGCTCAAGGGCAGGGCTCGACAGACTCGTGGGGCACGTCGTCTATGGTAGTACGGTTGATATCATTACAATAATTACGCGTCCTTGAGGGCGCAATTCTAGCGGCAAACGGTGATTCTTACATACCTGGAGGATACGTGGATCCCTGTCGTTCAACAGTGCGCTATCTGCTTTGTCAACAAGGTGCTTGACTTCGGCTAACGGACCACCTCTCTCCTGTTGAAAAATCAAAAATTATCGAGGACTTGTTGAAGTCCTCCTTGCTTTTATAAGACTATATAAGATAAGCAATCTGTCCCTGTCACGTTCACCTCAAGTCACGGGTTTGGGGGTTCCGTGACGCGAGGACTGTATACCTTCCTATGACTCTGCAAGGTTGGCTGCGTGCTACGGAGGCACCACAAGCTGTACTCGCAGCTCTTAGTGGTCTCCAACTCACTCATGATGTCGACGACGTTCGGCATGGGCAATGACATGCTTTAAGTTACGGGGAACAGGAACCGGCTGCCGTACCTGTACGATTTGCTCGAATGGGTCATTTAAAGTTGGCCGGACGGAGCAACGAGATTTAATTCGTGAGGCGACGTAGACTCTGTCTTGATGCAACGAATACTGAAGACCTAGACCGTTTTGATATCTTGTGAACCTTCGTCCTTCCTCTCACTTACCCCGAGAAGGGGGGGAGGCCGGCGGACGTGGGTTTGGTCTTCCTCCTGCCCGTGCCTTACGTAGGATTATTGTATTCTTCTAGTCCCTGGAGATATATCCTCCTAGATCTTCCTGTCTCCGCGTTGGCTTTCCTTGCCTGCCGTCTCCTGTCCTTCCTCACATAGCGTCCTCCCTTCTTGCCCCTAACAGGGTGCTTTGCTTATGGTGCGCGCGACCCTAGCTGTCCCCACAGTATAAGACATGTGACGACTGCCGCTAGAGGGCTGCGCACAGAAGATGCCTTAAGTCTCGCCTGTTAGCTCCTGTTCATGAACGGGCATCCGTTCCTTTACCGGCTCCTCCTAACGCCCCCGAAATCTCCGCACTGGGTGAGCGCTGCTCAGAGTGTTGCCGACTGTGGTATTCTGTTCAGTTTAAGACTTGCGACACCTGTCGCGGAAAGAATCGTCGGAATATATTGAATCATCTGCTCACAGCTCGGCCCGGGCTTATTCCGATAAGTAGCATGGCCTTTCCCTTGCCTGGATCGCCCTCGACCCAGAGCAGCCGACTTTTGTCGTCATTGCGCCATCGTTGGAAGTCCGGGTGGCCGAGGATCCATTTGTACGAGCCCTCCAGGAGGCCGCCTTTGGTGTTCTTGATCCGCTCTTTATCATCGCGGGGGTTGGTCAGGCGCAGGTCGTTTAAGCATTTGTCATTTGCCTCCTTGAAATTGTCCCCTGGTTGACTCCGAGTTTGGAATCCCTGATTATTGTTTCCTGAAAAGTTTACGGTGTTGTCCGGAGCCATTCTTGAGGAGGCCGGCGTTGGGCGTTGTGGGGTGGTAGTTGGGCTGTGTTTGCGAAACTCACGAAGGCGATAGAAGGAGCCGTCACGTGTAATTCAGGAAGGCCAGTCAGACAACGTCCCCCTTCCTTGGCGGTTCCACTTACCGTGGCATCCCGTACTATATTTAAAAATTGCCTACAAATTGCCGGACCATGACTATACATAATGTCGGAGAGGAATGTGGTAGATATGGCAGATATGGTAGGATAAAGAGGAGTCGGGCTTGCAGGAGCGGGGGCTCCTGGAGCTTCAGAAGTGACAGACGGAGAGGAACAATCCACTGTTCCCTCGAACGCAAGTTACGCAACCCCTAGTGTGGGTCGGGCCGCCTCGAGGAACCGTGGTCCAGAACAATCGAGATGTGCCAAGCTAAAAACCACAAAGGCCCGTTGCTAGGAGATCAGGCCCACATATGGAGTACATCTCGTCGCCCTCTCATCCCCATCCATTGCCCAAACGCTTCTCACAACACCGCCTGTTCCTCACTACTCGAAACGCTTAGACAGCATGATATCGGTATCATCAATTGCGACGTTGGCGACGGCGAGATTCACCGGGAAATTCACGAAGTCAAGGACACAAATCGTGGCAAAAAATATTGGGCAGGGCTGCGCCGATAAATTACTCGTGGAATGAAAAGTACTATCCGTGCCCTTCGTTACTCTGCGGCCCACCCATCCGCTACCGCGTATTGCTTATCAACACGCTTAGCGAGGGGTATCGCAAATCCACATATTGACAATATCTGCTAGATATCTAACTACTTGTACTAGATCTAATACTCTTACTATCAAGTCTACGCGAATAAGCTGTGTAAGAACGACTTATTCCTTAGCACTAACTTTTGTGATCCAAGATGGGGGCAAAGGGTGCATGAGGAGTTTCTTCACAGATGTATCAGGTCATTAATGAATCAGCCAAAAAAAATCTTGGCTTGCAAATAGAACTTAGCAGGGGTGGTACATTTCAGGTTGTGGCTATCTGGACTTGTTTGTTATTGTGATCCTGGTTCTTTTACCAGACATTGTGTGCCAGAGATCCTTTCTGTGGGTACGTAGCAGTCCAGCCCGCAGATCCGCACTAGAATGGGGTTAGTGCACTGAGACACCGAGATTCACCGAAGCTAAAATGCACTTTCGGGACTCAAGACGAGATCAATTCTCCGTTGATCCGTGGATCATTTGTCCTGGGCGATCACAAATACTTTAGCTACGCAGGTTGAAGAGAACGATCCATTTGGAAATTTTGATAAATGTCGATCCCCATGACGTCAGCCACAATCCTCCAGCAACATTGAAACAGCCACCTCGAGGGGTTGGCATTCCATGCCAATGACTATAAATATCTCTCACCCTGCTTTTCTGAGCCAGTCTCTCAATCCTTCATTCACAACCACCCACCATGAAGCTCACTCTCCTTACCATGCTCAGCGCACTTAGCGTTACCTGGGCCATTCCATGTGAGTTTGTATCCTATGGCCGCACTTTGCTGATCGCCCGTTACTAACATGATGCTCTGCGCTTCTCTCTAGTTACAAGTGGCGCAGACAATGTTCTAGCTCGCCGTGATGCTGAATGTGACTTTTGTAAAGATGTCAATGGTCGCATGATTCAGGAAATTGGTAATTTCCGCACGGAAGAGAAAATTGTCAGCACATTGGAAAATATTTGCTCGCTTTATAAGAGAAGCGAACAGTCCAAATGTGATAATTTCATTGAGAAGAACGCCAACGAGTTGATTCATATTTTGGTTGAAGAAAGCGACCCTAGCGCTGCTTGCACACTCCTTGGATCCTGTGTTTAATTTAAGCATGATGTTGTGAAAATGATCCTGTTGCGATCCTGTATGTGAATACTATCTGTGAACCCTGTGTTAGAGATATCTTGCGGGCTTGCATCAGAAATTGAAAACGCTCTTGTTGCTACTAGTTCGAGCGTGTTCTCAGTGTACTAGCGCACGTAAAAGTGAAAGGTCAGAGCTTGCTGCTAATCCCACTGCTAGCTAGCTAGCTGAATGTATAACTTGATCTGACTGGCCGAGATCTAGGACGTTGTGATGTATGTATATGTTACGGACCCTGTGACATAGGCTATCTAGATCGTGACTGTTCCTGGGAGACAAACACTGGACTAAGGTTATCACTATCCTAGAGAAGCCTTCTCCCCTGATGGTCAATTCTTCCTTATTGTACATGACAAACAAACTTGCCTATAGAAATCACCAGAGGCCTATGGCGGACGACAGCGATGATATTGATCACAATACTACGTTGAACCGTAAGGATCAAGGTCGACACGATTGCAGAGTGTATGTCTGGCGCAAAGCAGCTCATGGGTGGGTCGCAGCGCAACGAAGGGCACGGATATACCTCTTCTCTAGCGGGAGGATCTGCAGACCGCTAAACAGCTGAAAGTTCAATAGTGTACTATTAAAGCGCGAATAATTAATAGCAATAGTTAACTAACTAGTTAACGTTAGTTAGTCTGGTCCGTATGTGACTAAGCTCGCGAGATTCCACTGATATAATAGGAGACACGGCTACTAACTAGTTAGTGGGTACTTTTATTTATCCACACTGGCATCTCCACGTGACAAATATATGGGACTGAAAGCAAACGACCCCGCGTTCTGTTTGATACCTAATAGTGAATTCTGTGAACTATCTGATGTTCTCCTGCTTCAGTATATCTGTGCTAGTTTGCTATACTCTGGCCAAATATTTAGACTGGCTACTCTTAGTGCGATTGGACCCTCGGACTCGCTTATATGAATGCAACTGTTGCGAATATTGAACACCTTCAGGATGTGAAGAATATCACGTGTAAATCTTCTCCAAAAACCTGTACGCGAGTAGCTTTCGAGGATATGTCAGGCATTTTCTTTTGCAATTATGTGAGTAAGATCGAGGATATACCTCTTATTGGCAGATTCTTATGGTAACTAGAATGAAAAACTAATTGAGACAAAGTGTGGAAATCTTATTGACCCGGCAACGAAGTTGTTAAAGAAGTGTCAGCTCCAAGGTCACTACAGCTATGGCGCGTTTGTTGGCTCGATCCAAAACGGGACAGGCTCGAGCGGGGGATCCTAGGTCTCGTATTACTTGCGTATCGCTGGAGAATGGTGGAACTGGTAGCTTATCTATTTCTTGAATTTTATGCGCTGAGTCGGAGAATGATACTGGGCATGACGCAGTACTTCTTGCCTAGCCTAGTGAACAGTTTTTGAAGTCAAATTGTTTGGATTGCTGTACTCTGCCCTAGTTGAATAGCACTTTTCCTCCTATTTCACCGGACCTATGCCCATTATTCTTTATCACAAGGGTGTCTTTTTCCGGTCGCGTATTTATAGCCTATTCCCTCTAAATCACTGGATCTTTTTTCTCGCGTTCGTTATTCTTAACTCGGCTATTATCAAGGCATAGACTATTCGTAGAGCACAGCCCTGCTAGTGCGGATCGGACATTATTCTCCTAGGCAGAAATGCTTTGTACCGACGAATGAAAATGGTCAGCAAGTTGCGAGACCTCTAGAAGCCCTTCGGAAGAGTTGGATTGCCGGTTCTTATGAAGGATCTCTAGGTCTTCCCTTATGTTAGCCACTAAGTCTTGTAACCGCTTGAAAAGACTATGACAAGTGCTATAGTATGTATATTCGCCTTGTTGATGTCTGCTATATTGCTCAATGCACTTGATGGAATGTGGTAGGCCGGAGAAGGGCCAAGATCTTAAGATAGAATTCCGTTAACAAATTCGCCACGCCAAAATAGGCCAAGGATGAATAATTGGTAAATCTTGGAGGAATGGAATTTTAAGTTGCTGTAGGAATGAAGAATTCGTTCCACGGCTCGTGGAGATATGTAACAAAAACCGAGAAGCCTTAGCTATGAACCCGGACGGTTAAACAGCTACATATAGGAGCGTCTAAGACAGAGTTTTGGTCTGTGAACATGGCATTTGTCAAAATCGGAAAATTCCTATCCGGAACATGGCAAGTGTAGGTGCATCAGATGACCCGTAAAGCTGCATGCTAGTGTTGAAGGTGGTAGATGTGGCATTCTATTATTCTCCAACCTCTCGATCTTGACCCCATCGAATTCCCCTTACCATTCCCGATCCTAGGAACCACGACCGAATCTTCACACCCCAGATGTATAATGGAATCCACATTATCAAAACAGCCGCACAGATGCCAGCCAATGTCCCAAACGAGCTCACATATCCGGCAGAATCAATCCATGGATTTGTGTAAAATAATGAGTGAGAGTTTACCAAACCCCTTACGGCCACGGTTTCTTACGAGTCTCTTCTCATTCTTAGAATCATCATTTATGCTGTAGAACTATCACATTGTAGATCATATACTATAGCTTGAGACTTCAAAATGTCAGAAAAGGTTTTTTTTACTAAAGGTCACCATTTTCAAGGACTGGCTGCGTTGCGCAGTGAATAACTCCCCCTGCAAGCGGCAGCCCAGTCACACGCACCGGTTGCACTACGCGATCTGGACATAAGGTTTGGAAGAGGGCCAATGCTTCCTGATCCCGTTGGACGTCTCCAAATTGAGGCAGGATCAAACCACCATTGACAAAATAACAATTCACATAGTTCGTCGCCGGTTCGTCATACGTCAAATTTCCAAAGACCTTGGGGTTAGGTTCATCGATAACACGAACCTCAAAAGAGCGTCCCTTTGCATCCGTCGCACCCCGTAGTATAGCTTGGATCTCCTCGTAGACCTCAATCCATGCTCTCGGAGCGCTAGGATGGGGGCGGGAGAGTACCACGACGCCTGGTCGAATGAAGGTGACCTCAGCATCGGCGTGGACATCTGTCACGTCAAGACCTTTACGGCCAGGAAACCAGACAATCTTATCAACACCAAGTAAGCGATATAGTTCGTTTTCAATATCAGAACGAGACATTCCAGGGTTTCGATTCTCGTTGAGAATGCTGCTCTCTGTGGCTAACAGCGTCCCATCCCCATCTGCGACCAACGCGCCCCCTTCAAGGCAGACCTTGGATTCAATGAGCGTGACTGAACAAGGTGATTGGTCGAATTCAATGACATGTTTTGCGAATGTTGCATTTTCTTCGAGCTGCGCAGGTTGCATAAATGGCCACTCGAGCCCATCGCAGGCGCGATCGTCATCTCCGATCGCGTCCTTGCGCCCCCACTCGCTAAAGCGAAAATTGATCGCAAAGCGGCCCTTCTGGTCACTTTTATCAAAAGGTTCAACGTAGACTGGGCCTGTATCCCGAACCCAGAGGTGATTTGTCAGAAATGGAATAATGGATATATTGGACCTGTTGCTGGGGTATTTGGTATTGGTTTGTTCCACGAGAGCTTGCGCTTTCGAGACATCTTCTGGACGAGTGAACAGCCTGACGGGCTCGAAATGAGAGATGGCAGAGGCTAGACTAGCAATGTCAAGGCATGCGCTATCATAGTATGCTGCGGCAATGGAGTAGATTGAGGGGAACCCCAAGATCGTTGCTGTGTGGCGAGAAGTTTCGCTTGGTAGCCGGAACCTTGCAGCAGCTTTGGCTACATTGATCATCATTATGAAGGTTTTATTTAGTGAAGCTTTCAAAAAGTGATTTAAATCAGTGCGGTGTGGAGAGTATTCGAGGCCCAGACACGTCGGACCTCCCTCTTTTGTATGAAAGAGCGGACCTTAGTCCGCAACTTGTCCACAACTTGTCCATGCTGCGAGCCTTCCCACTGAAGCCAAGACTTCCGTGGTGACTCATCACAGCACCAGATCTAACTAAGTTAAGTTAGTTAGTTAGTTAACTTAGTCAACTAACACATGAGCGGGACACCCGGATGAGCGGGACACCCCAAAACACCATACTAAATGCAATATTTCACAACTTCAAATTACAGCGCTTAAGGCTGGTTATATGATCTTATGGTACCTTAGTATTGAATGTATTCTACTAGATATTTTTATAAGCTCGAGAAATATTATGTGGTGCAATCACATAGATATATATATCTACCTTGATCGATCGGAGTATATTTTTGGTAATATAGGTAAACAATCATTTCCTGAATAAATAAGGAATACTATGCAAGTTCTTATACCAGGAAATCATAGTAATCTTAGAATCAAGCAAGCCAACATTCTCGTTGTTGATATATTATGGCCTAAATATTCGCGTTTAGTATGGTGTTCTGGGTGTCCCGCTCAGGCGGGAATTACGTTAGACAGAAGATTAATTAAACCTTATTAGCTTACCTGCGTGGCATGCATTGTAGGGGAGTTATTTTTTTTTATAAAGGAAATAATCCAAGCGGCCATCCTCAGCGTGCACAGCGTTGAAAGCCTCCTTCTCCGACTCGATTATGTTGATGGCTCTCATAAAATTGTTGGATGCCGATGGATGGATGTTGAGAAGTCCCGCCTTTATCCGAGCCCGACGTCGACCCACACCTTTTCCCCCTTCCCACCATCATCCCGACACGTCTTAGAATGAACTCGCTCAATAGGGCGCCTCCTCCATATTGTCCCGATACCGATTGGTCAGAAGGCAAAAACATGCGAGCCTCTCTAAGTACCAAATTCCCGTTGAATGGTTGAAGGCCAGTTTTCTTCATTTCCAACCCATTGATCTCTGTCATGACTGTGATACCCACTGAGGGGCGATTCGAGCATCACTAGAGCGGTCTAGGTCTCGAGCAACCTGAAACCCGAATCTCATGGAGATTCACAAGCCAAGGCCAGAACTGGACCCAAAAGGCTTATGAGTGAGCCATTCAGAAATTCCCTGGCGGTCTTGAAGAATTCTATCAATTTGAATCAAACAATGCCGTCCTCGTCCCATGGCCTAGCTCCCCTCTAAGCTCGGGGTAACAAGCAAAAGTCCGCGTACGGGTATGGGGATCTGGTGACCAAACTCCATCCGCGTGGTCTGATACCAGTACGGTTGAATATGGCCTGCTAAGTCCACAAGATTGGAAATGTCAATTGATTGAGCTGTCCGAGCCTCAAGATATCGATAAGCCAAAACGCCCTGTTTGGTTCCGACGACGGTTGGAAATTCCACCGATTAAACGTGTCCAAAAGGCGAGACACTATATTACCAGTTTGGGTCTTTACCATGCCGAAATCAATGGTCAGGCTACAGCGGACGGGCAACTTTCTCCCGGATGGACCAACTACGACTTTAGACTTTCTATCAGACATTGGATGTGACCGGTCACCTTCATGAGGGTAGCAATGTGCTCGCCGCGGAGATTGGGGAAGGGTGGTATGCCGGTCGATTCGGGCTTTTTGGAGGACGACGCAATATCTATGGCACTCTAGGGCTCATTTGTGAGCTCGTCATCACCTACGCAAGCGGAGAGGTGTAGATGATTGGAACTGGGGATGATTGGGAGGCTTCCTTTGGACCTATCATCACGTCTGAGTTGTATGATGGCGAGGTCTATGACGCTCGGCGGAAGCCCAATATGGATCAGGAACAAGCCTGGCTGAGAGTGAAGTGAAGCAGCTTGGATTCAATAGTGCCTAACCTTTTCTCGCCACATTCCCCACCAGTGCGTTGTACAGAAACTATTTCATTTTTTAAAGAGGTTGGCCCTAGTTCGCAAAACAAGTTCATCCTAGACTCTGGTCAGAATCTGGTTGGGAGACTACGAGTGAGAGTCACAGGTGCTCCCGGGCATGTCGTGACATTCCAGCATGTCGAAGTTCCAGAGAACGGGGAGTCCACGACTCGTCCCCTCCGACACGCAGCAGCAAATGATACACTTATTTTGTCAGGAGATGAAATCATCTGGGAACCTCGATACACCATCTACGGTTCTCAGTTTGTCGAGGTGACCAACTGGCCATCATCCGACGACTTGCCAAAAAGTGAGGACATTGTTGCACGCGTTTTGCACACCGACACGGAGCGTACGGGATAGTTCGAGTGCTCTAATCCACTACTCAACCAGCTACACGACAACATCATATGGGGAATGCGGGGCAACTTCGTCAGCGTACCTACCGACTGCCCTCAGAGAGATGAGCGACAAGGGTGGACTGGCGATATCCAACACCACATACGATGCCAACTCTCTCAGCCATGAGTTCGAACAGTTGATGCGTACCAAGCGATTCAATCAACTTCACGATTCATCCCGGTCGCGAGCTGGATCTCAGTCGCCTGCGCCTTCGCACGCCAGTCACTCGATCCCGCCGCCTTCACGAGCGCCGCCACTAGAGCCTGGCTGGAAGAACATTCTAGTCCGTCCTATTCCTGGTGGAGATCTTTCGCACGCCAAAGTCAAGTACCTGAGCCCATCTGGCAAGCCTGCGAGGTGAACTGTTACCTTGATTTTAATTTTCGGGGTGATATCCAAAGACCCAAAATTATTAGTTTATACAAACTGCGATTCTCTAGATTTGGTGGGAAATTTTCCGAAAGCTTTTGTCACGCCTGATTGACGAGGGTCGATGGCACTGGCCTGCAAAGCCTTGCCACAAGGACGACGCCTTGTGCCCGGTTTCGGGCTTCGGAGACCACTTACACCGACAAATAGCCCATTTCAAGAATTGGATGAGCTTGCCTCCTCTCCTTCGCCATCTTTATCGTATCTTGGCATTTCCTCCATGCAAAGTCTGCATATATGGGGCCGACGGGGCCGACGGGGGTGAAGAGATTAGACCTACCGAGCTCGGTTGACACCAGGTCCTTTTCGTAAGTGGAGTCAATCACTCTCACCGACCTTGTAAGTTTTCTTGAATGGTATTGATAGTATTGAATATGAACAAAGTAGCTAGTGATGGGTAGCATCGGATTTTAAGACTGCGTTCGGCTTGTTCTTCAATGAATTCCAATGATCTCGCGGTCAGTTCATGCTTGCAAGAATCCAATTGCGGGGGTCTATCGGAGGGGAAGACCGGCCGTCATATATAGAAGGACGTGGGGACCGCAGTATTCATCGGCTCAAACTATTTCATAGTGGACATTCGACCACAAATTCTGGGCGAGCTAACAACAAGTGTATTCACCACGCGGGGCGAAGCCGACTTTCACTCGCAACAATTACTTTCATCAATCTTCAAATACCATCTGGGCTCTTCCTTTGACCCCGATGTAATCTCTGCAACCATTGATTGCAATATTACTCTCAGCTATATCACCATTTGTTTCGATTACTGGCTTGGGTGTTGGACGATTGAGAATCACTTCTCACACGACAGAGCAGGCGAAGCCTCTCTACCGTGATAGCTCAAAGTCTATCGATGAAAGAGTCTCCGACCTACTGAACCGCATGACACTCGCTGAAAATGCCGGGCAGCTCTTCCATTCTATGCTTCTTCCCAGCTCGGAAGGATCACTTGCGCCAGCAGTGCCAAACTTTGATATTCACGATACCAAATCACTTCTCTTTGCAAAATTTATAAGCCATTTCAATCTGCTTGGCCCGATTCACGACTCCTCAATGGTTGCCAAATGGCAAAATTCCCTTCAAGAATTTGCTCTTACTCATACCCGCTTGGCAATACCGATCACTATTTCCTCCTATCTCTCCGGAAAGCTAGTTCAGGCTTATATTCGTGGGTTTCAAGGAAGCATGGGCCTGAAAAGCAGCGTCTCGACAATGACTAGCATTCTCTAGGCGGTGGTCCACAGTTGGGGAGAAGATCCTCACTTTTCCTACGGTCGCGAGCAAGTGTATCGCGAGCAAGTGTATCGCGAGTAAGTGTATCGCGAGTAAGTGTATCCCGGAAATAATATTGAATATCACTTGAAGCCCTTCGAAAAAGCGATCGAAGCTGGTACACGTCACATTATGCCATACTACGGGATGCCGGTTGGCACTGAATGGGAGGAAGTTGGTTTTGCAATCAATAAAGCCGTGATCACGGGACTACTTCGCAAAAGAATGAAGTTCGAAGGCATTATCGTCACTGACTGGGGTCTTCTCACAGATGCTGTCATTTTGGGGTAGGAAATGACAGCACGAGCTTGGGGTTGCGAGAGCCTTTCAGAATTGGAAAGGGCGAAGAAAATTCTCGACGCCGGATGTGATCAGTTTGGAGGTGAAATGCGAACGGATCTGGTTACTCGACTAGTCGAAGATGGCCTTGTTCCAGAATCTCGGATCGATCAATCGATACGGCAGGCGAAATTCGTTCTCGGGCTTTTTGACAATCCATTTGTTGACGAGGAGGCCGCACTGCAAATCGTTAGACAGCCTGGATGGAAGAAAGAGGGCGAGCAGCTCAAAAAAGGCATTCACTCTCCTGAAGAACCACAACAATATCCTTCCACTCCGAAAGGACCAATATTTGGGCAAGAAAGTCTAAATTGAAGGTGTCAGTCAATCTTCTGCCGCCGCAAGAGGCTTCGAACTGAGTTCCTATGATGAAGCCGATATTGCCATCTGTGTCTTAGATGCCCATTTGAGCCTCGTCCCGGCGGCTTTGAATCTCTCTTCCGTGCAGGCTCATTGGAATTTTCTCAAGAGGAAAAGATACATTAAAAAAAAATACTCTCGAGATTCCCTATCAGCATTGTGGACGTGTATCTTGATCGCCCAGCAGTCATTCTAGAGGTTGTGAGCCAGGCTACTGCTTTGACGGGAAGTTATGGTAGCAGCGAGGATGCTTTCCTGGATGTCATTCTTGGCTTGAAGGGGGCTAAACCTCAAGGCAAGCTTCCTTTTGACCTGCCTAGCAGTATGGAAGCAGTGGAGAAGAGCAGGGAGGATCTACCCTACGACACAGAGCTTCCCTGTTCAATTTTGGATACTGTCTAGATTCTTCTTGAAGTTTCTTTCCCCTCCCGCCTTCTTGTTTTCTATGTCTCGAATTGGTCTCATAAAATATTCCCCCCATCCCTGGGGTCTATAGCCTGGAAATCTGTTCGCAAATCTTTTTGCTGATTTCTTCTCTCGATATTTCCCGTCTCATTTTGTACCTGTTTCACACCATGATCTGTTCTGGCCCTGTTGGAAGATGAATTGTCTCTGTGCTTTAATTGTATGCTAGCATTGAACCGCTCCCATTTCCATTTTCTCTTATCTGTCAGCCGTGATAGTGCTTGTGTTCATGGTGTCCTTCCCGTTCCATGCTGTCCAAATAATCAATACCTGAGTTCTCCTTGGACTTCGTTTAGTGACTAGTGAGACTCCTATCTCATCAATTTTCGGGATTTGATTCTAGTTACGCGCTGCTCCTCCATGTAAACTATTAATCCAAGCTGGTGTCTCTCTGAATACACAGGAAGTGAGATGGGGGCGGGGCGTACAAAGTGGTCGGGGATTAGGCAGAAACCCCCTGAGTATCCTGACATTGACGAAGTCCAACTACTGAGATGATAATTATTGGTCGAGGCTTCTCGCACGCCACATTCTACGCGTTTCGGATGATACCAAGAAAATGTACACCAAGCTATTTGCAAAACACATGCCAGACAATCGCACCAGAGTTCTAGAAGTTTGAACCCCCGACAGATGTTCAATATCATGTTATCAGTCACGAGTTTGAATATAGAATAAAAGAAACCTGGCCCATCAAGAATGATGGTGCACAAGTCATTTCAAACAATGTTATAGGACAAAGTAAGTTGAACAGTAAATGGGGATATAGCGCCTCGTGCGAGAAGCCCCAACCTAATTATTCCCTGTCTGCTGCCTCAAAACTCAGACATATCCCTGATTTCAGGCTTCACGTTGCTCGGGTTATACGCGCTTACTTTACAGCTTTCACTTGTCTCTTAGATTACTCAAAATGCATCCATAAAGTCTCGTTATGAGCCGATTACCCACAGGGGATGAGACTGTACCTGCTTCCCTGTACGAATCCAGAGGGATTTTAGGCTATGCCAAGGAGGGTTAACAGCGAGTGGGAATTAACTTCTAGGAGAAGGACAGTCGGCGGAGATAGACCCACCCTTACCGATTAGGGCAAAGGTAAGATGTGAGATGGTTAATATTAGCGAGATTCGTTCATTTCTGCAGTAGTTTCGAATCAGCCCGATTGCCTAACTAGGATACCTATTGGCCTTATGAATCAGGCACAAGGGCAATGGCCTTCGTCCAAAGTGCGTTCGGTTAACTGGATACCCGGACCCATACGAATCCGGGCGGGTGTATGATTTTTTCGTTTTCATTCCCCTTTCTCGATCTCAAAATATCCTACATCTGTTGCCTGACATGTTTATTTTTTTTTATCTCTTACGCCAACCAACGGTGCAATTTTCACTGCCCTCCCCTTAGTTAGCAGTTTTCTTACTGTGGGTTGAGATAAAGTACAGTTAAATTCGTCAGTCCTGTGATTGGAGTGTCCCTGCGTGAATAATTCCGCACTCCACTGCTACCTCAGCATGGATTCTCACAAATATAGTGTGCTTGGTAAGGCTTACATATGGTGATTCATAATCTTTGTCGGCATCTCAAAGTGGGCTCTATTCCGCTGACGAAATCTCGGCGATCTGAAGTCCGTAAATCCGGTGCAATCACAACTGTGATTGGACAACCAACGGACAATATGGTGTGTCAGCGGGGCCTATGGAGAAGCGACCGCGACCATGGTTGGTACAATGCCGGTCAAAGGAGAAGGCATGGATATGTTGTGGCGCGATAACGAAAATTGAAAACTCAGGAGCATTGAACTCCACAGCAAGAATTTGCTAAAGAGCTTAATCCACAGTCTTATATAAACCCCACGGTCGCCATGCCATATATCCATCATTTTTCTTCAATAGATCGTATCAATATCCTCTCCCTATCACAAATCTATCACAATGGGCTCCACTGCTGTTGAATTCAAGAACTCTGCCACCTCCACTCTCCTGGAGCTGGTCAAGAGCCGTCGGACCTACTACGGTCTGAAGGCCGAGAGCCCCATCTCCGATGATGCCATTGAGAGCATCGTCCAGGACTCTGTTCTCCATGTTCCCAGCTCTTTCAACACTCAGACCTCCCGTGTTGTTCTCCTCCTGAAGGAGGAGCACAAGAAGGTCTGGGATATTGCTATTGGCGCGATGGAGGGCCTGGTTGCCGCTGGACATGTGTCCAAGGAGATGTTCGAGAACCACACCAAGCCCAAGTTGGACGCTTTCCGTGCCGCTTATGGAACTGTCCTCTTCTTCGTTGACTACGAGTCCCTCGCTGGTATCAAGGAGAAGTTTGCTACCTATGCCGACAAGTTCGATCCCTTTGCGCTGGAGTCTAACGCCATGTCCCAGTACCTTGGTAAGTTTCCAACCATTCTAATTGACGTCGGGGTTGAGATTGCACCCAAGATGAATATAATGAGTCTGACTATTGAATCTACAGTGTGGCTCGCTCTCGAGTCTGAGGGTTTCGGTGCCAACCTTCAGCACTACAGCCCCCTGATTGACGAGCAGATCGCCAAGACTTGGGACCTGCCCGCCCATTGGAAGTTGGACGCCCAGCTGGTCTTTGGTGTCCCCGCTTCTGAGCCCGGCGAGAAGACCTTCGAGCCTCTTGAGAACCGCTTCAAGGTCTTCGGCAAATAAGCGTCACGAAACCATCTTATTATTTTAGCGCTGCATCTAGAACAATGAAATAAGTCATCTAGACCATTATTCCAAATAGTAGGACTGTACTGCCCTAGCAAACAAAAGCAAGTGTAATCGACTTTCTAAAATTGTAAAACAACTTGTAACGAGTTGGCATTTCTTCAAAATCGGGCATTATGTAGCAACACAAGTATCCGTCAATTATATGAAGGCCAGGGCAATCCGTTGAGTACATTCAAGAAAATGATTATATTAATGAACTGGTTATTCCATTCAGAAAGCAGGAAAATCGAGAGATGTCATCGTTGTAACTAATCAGCTAAGCAGAGACGATATGTGCACACTTGGAATGGGCCCAAGTCCACTTTGAATACTCCCTCATCAACCGGGACCTCCTCTTCGTCATCTTCCAGCAAATTTGTCCTCACAACCTTGCTTACTTTCCATATAGTTTGTACCGTCCCCCGCGATCTGCCACCAAGAGAGTCATAGATCCGGATTATGACACTTCGCCCCTTCCGTGTGGGTAGCTCTCCGGTGCTGATATCTTCATCATCTTCTCCGCGCTTGATGGTGTCAAGGACTAGACTATCATCGCCCTTTAAAGTGATAGGAAATTGTCTCACCATGGGAGACTTCGGCTTGGCCACGAGGAGCTTGAGAGGATTGTTGAAGTTGAATGCCGCTCGGACAGTTCTCGCGCCTAGTGCTCCTGCATGTGGCATGATAGCCCACCGGATCGTGTGTTTGCCCATGTCTGCTGTATCATCGGGCGCCTTGGGCGATCGGAGAAGAGATAATCGCATGACATTACCGACTGTCGCAAAGCCGTATTTGCTGTCGTTGAGAATTGAGACACCATATCCATGCTCAGAAAGATCGGCAAATTTGTGGCAGCAGACCTCGAACTTGGCCATATCCCATGATGTGTTATAGTGAGTCGGACGCCTGACAGTACCGTACTGTGTCTCATATGATGCTTCCGTGTTGCGAATATCCACTGGGAATTCAACCTTGAGGAACTTCATGTTCTCGTGCCAATCAATCTCTGCGGTGCATTCCACAGAAGAATAATCACTTTCATCAAACGTCGCTGATAATGAAATGGTGACACGCATGGAGCTTTTGGAGCTGATCACAGTCTCAGTGGTAACGCTAACGCGGTGATAACTGTCCTCCGTGATAGAAGTGGATGAGCTTTCCAACTCCTCTCTTGTGTCCAGGTGGTAGACCTCCACATCCCAAGCTTGCCAGTAAATTGGCTTATCATCAAAAACGACGAATTGATTGGCCTTTTTGCCAAGTGGAATAAGTTCGCGGTCCACCTTTCGATCGTTCAGCGAGATGATGCAGCCTTTCTCAACTGTCAGAGATAACTGCGCGTTTTGGAGCTTGAATACTCCGGCGGAGAGCTCTCGAATCGTGACGGGCCTCTCTGTTGAGACTGGGGACATTCTCTCGAGGGCAAGTAAATTTCCATTGCCCGAAGCTATGAGACAAGAATCGCCCGAAAATCTAACAATCTCCTTGCGATGCCAGGGAAGAGTATTGAGAGCGACCGTGTGTTGAGACTCCGACTGATTGGCCTCTAGTAGCTCCAGATTAAATTGTTGGTAGAGTACCCGAAGGACATTCTCGCCTGTCTTGAATACATCCGCATAAACCTGATACCATTTTGTTAGTCCAACTTTGGAATTATATCATTTGTGCACTTGTCACGTACTTGATCCGAGTCGTCGTAACACATTCGAATTGCAGTTCCTGGAAGGCAGTCGTGAAATTGACAGAGTAATATCTTCTGCCACATTTGGTCAATCTCTGCCTTCGGGTATCTGTAGGAACTATCCGCAATTGATGCAACTGTAGCGAGAAGCTCAATATCCCTCATCAAGAATTCGGCCCTTCGGTTGTTTTTCTTGGTGCTGGACTGAGTGGTATAGGTACCACGATGCAGTTCAAAATACAACTCACCAGTCCAGGTCGGAAACAGGTCTGATTTGCGCTCCAGCCTCCGGAAAAAGTCATCGGCAGACCCTCCGACATGCACACGAGGTAGTAGACCGACCGTATCTGATACACCACGGCATCGCCTGAGTCGTTCGAGATGCTGCCATGTTGGACCACCTCCGCCATCACCTTTACCAAATGCCATAAGGGAGGTGTAGTCTTGGTCCATCGAGAGGTGGTTTGTGACACAGCGTTGGACATCAGCAACAGTGCATTCTGCAGTGTACGTTCGCACGGGAGGCATATGGCAAAGGACCTGGCTTCCGTCAAGTGATACCCAGTTGAATGTGGTATGCGGAAATTGATTGATATTATTGAAACATATTTTTTGTGTCAGAAAGTGCGGCATTCCAGCTTGCCTGGACAATTGTGGAAGCTGGGCACTGAACCCAAATGAATCTGGCAGCCAGAGGACACGGCTGCGGGAGCCGAAGTTCGCTTCAAAGAACCGCTGCCCATACAGGAACTGCCTGACGAGAGACTCGCCATTTGGAAGGTTTGTATCGTGTTCAACCCAACAACCACCGATCGGCTGGAACTGCCCAGTTTGGACCTTTTCTTTCACCCGCTCCCAAGCATAGGGGTACTCTTCCTTGAGCCACTGGAATTGCTGGGCTTGCGAGCATGCAAAAGTCAATTCCGGATACCGGTCCATCAAGTCACATTGATTGAGCCACGATCGAGTGACTTTTCTCTTTGTTTCTGCCCAAGGCCATAGCCAGCACGTATCTATGTGGCAATGTCCAATTGCAAAAACATCTGCATCTTGCTGATGACCAGTTGAGTAAATGTCGCTAGAGCTTGTTTGCGGCCCAAGAAACTCTTCAGCGATCTTGCGACACCGGATGATTGAATTTTTGTCGCCAAGCTTGAAATTGTTCATGATCTTAGTACCGACACTCAACGCTTTATGTTGTTGCCAAGATTCCTCTGGTAACACAGTCGCAGTGTCATGGATGGCAATTATGTCCATGTAAAGCATTCTTGCGTCCAAATTCACGGCGACAATCTCGGCCTTGGACAAAGCAAACAGTTTGTTTTGATCGGGTGGCTGGATCGAATCGCCTCCAGGGTTATTTTTGAAGATTGGTCGGCCTGGACCATTCCCAAACATGCCATTGCATGCCATCTCTATGTAGATGAGATGTTGATTTCCGTCCTTGAAAGAGCTGGGGATAATCCACTCAATGCGCTCTCCTCGACCAGTTAGGCCTTGAAGAGGCTTGCCGTCCTCCGTCCAAACTGTACCTTCATTGTTGCAGTCCCAATGCAACTCGACATGGTCTTTGCTACAAATGGCCTCGGGAAGCTGGATATAGACCTTAAACCAGTGTGTAGACCAGGAGGGCCCAAACTGTTGACCTAAAGCCGCGGGTTCATAGTGATTGGAAGGGTCCGTTGCCTCCTTGAAAGTAGGACGCTGACTACCTGAAGCATGCCAAACGAATAACTTGACATGGGGATGACCGGAGAAAACTCCTTCATTTAGCATGCTGTACGTGAATATTAGCTGATCCATCGAAATTTTTGATGCCCTCAGTTTACATACGCAATTAGGTTGACTTTCTCCCATTGTCCCGGAGAATATAGTTGCGATAGACGGTCCTTGTCCAGGCGCGCAATTCGCTTTCCCACCGGCCTTGGAGCTCGGAGTGGATATGAAGGCGAACTGGCGTCAATTTCGTTAGAACACATTGCTTGATCGGTCTATATGGAGGTTTTGAAAGAACAAGGTCAGAGGACAGGCCACCTTGTCTAGTAAGTAAATGATGACTGCGAGGATAGACAACAACCAGGTCTTCGCATTTCGCCGAGGTTCACCCACTTCGCAGTGATCGGGTACCAGTATCCGAAAGTCTCACCCGGATAAAAGGCCTAAAGCCAGGATAAGTAAGAATTGATAGACCTTGGCGTAGCTCATCAGTAGAATACGGAAAAGATTATCGCCAACAATTTGCCGATTCGTTGTTCGGACTGTGAATTCCGTAGGGAAGACAAAGGAGTCAATCTAAGCGAGAAGCCTGTCCAATAGGATAAATTTAGTGTCGCGAGGCTAGTCGCACGGCAGGAGGGACGTTTGTCTCGGTTGAGACGATCCAATCAAGGATGGGTAAACAAACGCTTAAAATCCGGTCGAGGGGTCGTAAGCTGGGCGGAGGCTTACCCCAGATCGTCTTAAAGCTTCCCCGCCTCTCCACAAAGGCGGGTGTGGGGTTGGAAACATTGCGCCAGAACCAGAAAGAGTAGGAAAACAAAAATGATGGGCTGGTGGGTGCTAGTCTTGCGGCGCGGCTAGTGGAAAGATAAATTGACTGCCACAGCCGTGTCCTGTGGGTCTTAGATGTCGGCATTTCACTGACGAAGACCTGTTTCCCTCAAGACCGCAGGAAGATTGAGCGCTGACTGCCATGGCCAAAGCCAGTGAGATCAACGAGGCCCCAGAGGCTGTGGAGATGGACGTGGTGAAGGAGCATATGAACTACGACCTCATCGATCGAGAAGTTGCTGAATATGCAAACGCGACGATTGTGGAGATCGATGAAGCCACAAACCGTCGACTTAAGAGACTCATCGATACGCGTGTCATGGTGGTCATGGTTATCACCTATCTCATCCAAACTTTGGACAAGGGAACAATGTCATATGCGTCAATTATGGGTATTCAAGAAGATAACCACTTGGTGGGCCAACAGGTCAGTTGCATCGTCGAGATAGGGTCCTGAACCTACAATAACCTCATGCAATTATTAGTACTCGTGGATGACAACAATTCTATACATGATCATCCTGGTGGTCGAATTCCCGGTATGGACACCTCCTTGGATGTGTGAAGTTGGACATACCTCTTATCGCTCCACAGGAAAACTACATCATTCAGCGAGTCCCAATTGCCAAGTGGCTGTCAGGCAATATTATATTGTGGGGCGTCACTCTAGCCCTCCAGGCTGCAATGAAGAACTTTGAAGGACTTATTGCGCTAAGGGCCTTCCTCGGCGTATTTGAAGCCGTTAGTCAACCGGCTTTTACCTTGTTGTCTTCTATCTGGTATACGCGCGAGGAGCAGGGTGGAGCAGTGACCTTTTGGTATGTTCATAACTCCGTCAACCTCCGAAGGACAAAAATTGCCGTCGTGTTCGGACTTGCTGATAATCATCAACAGGTTCATGATGAATGGGTTGAATCAAATTCTTGGTGGTCTATTGGCATTTTGCTTTTCGTTCATCCCTGAGACTTCTCCCATCAGCTCCTGGCAGGCCCTTTTTCATGGCATACGGTATTCTGACCGTATTCTGGGGTGCATTTGTTGGCTGGTGGATGCCTGACTCTCCCATGCGAGCACACTGCTTCACTGAGAGCGACAAACATCTCATGGTCGAACGTGTACGTCGCAACCGTACCGGTTTACAGAATCGCAAATTCCGCAAGGAGCAGGTGTGGGAAGTCGTCAAGGATCCACAGGGTGAGTTGAAAAAAACTTTTCCTGCAATGATTTGTAAAGTGTTTGCTAATGCCGCGCAGTTTACGCCATTGCACTTATCCAGCTTTTGCTTACTATTCCCTCCGGTGGACTTGGCGCCTTCAACAATATAATTGTGAAGTCTTTCGGTTTTACGACTTGGCAAACCCAGCTGCTTCAAATGGTCTCCGGTGTCGTTCAGCTCACTGCAATGCTGTCGGCTGTCTGGATTGAAAAACGTTATAAGCAGACTATATTTGTCATGATGGCTTCGGTGGTACCCACTATCGCCGGCGTGGTCGTCCTTCTCACCGTCCCATTTTCTCATCATAAGCGCGTCGGCCTTCTCTTCGCCTACTATATTATGATCGCATACTGGGGCTGCGCTGGTCTCGCCCTTTCCATCGTCACCCGTAACGTTGCTGGTCAGACGAAAAAGAGTGTTGTCATCGCCTGTAATTTTGTCTTTTGGGCTGTCGGCAACGCAATTGGCCCCCAGACTTTCCGCTCTAAGGATGCGCCACGCTATTTCCCAGCACTGGCAGCGGTGCTAGGTTGTTTTGTGCTTTTGGAGGTTGTTCTCCTTTCACTACGCACATGGTATGTTACTGAAAACAGGCGACGCGATCGGAAGATTGAACAAGGTGAAGTGGCGGCTGATACGGCATTTGCTCACTCATTCGAGGATATTACTGACCGAGTAAGAACCATTGAATTTTGTCTTTAATCCTTGAAGGCGTCTTTTACTGATCAATCGGTTTAGGAAAACCCCAACTTCCGCTATATCTATTGAGTATGAGCTGAAAGGAGCAGACAGGTTGAGTCAATTACTCTAGTCCAATAGGAGGCCAATGCGTGTGAAGTATATATTGGAGCTGTACAGTTACCTTTTGACGCACATCAATCTCAGTCAAAGGGACACAAATAAGACAGAAGTGGCCTCTTATCTGAACTCCTTTTATCAACCTTACCCGATAGACATTACGTAGGGCGTACCATTTAAGCCAGGGCTTAGATGTACAAATTCCATCTTTTGGCCCCTCATCCATGGCGTCTTTAGTCATCCGTTGGTGACATTCCCAGCCACCCATTAAGCGGGGTATGCGGCTGAAGGGAAGGGCAATGTCAGACTCAGATAGCAACGTTTGTCCTCTCACAGGTGCCAAGAATGGATATTTAGAGCAGTATGACAGGACTCGACGCGTCCACCGCTGCGACCGTCGCGGCCCTGGTGGTCGCGATCCTTGCTATGCTCGTGGCCGTCACACAGGCAGTGCAACAGTACTTTGTCACTGGTCAGCTTATCCGGTTATGCGACTCGGTCGTATACGGAAAAATGCCTGGTCGCGGACGGCGGGTCTGGCAAATGAGCCAGCTCAGATTCCGCGTGGTTTATTGCATCCCCCAAGTCAGTCTACACAGGGACCTGTGGCCAGTAAAACTTCCACATATCCCATCTTATGCAAAGGGGTCTCAGGCTTTACCTGATCTCGGTCTTCTAAGGATCGGCAATAGCGAAAGGGATGATGTATGCGACAGCAAATTCCGAAAGCCCAGGCCAGTTGGCCGGTCGTCTGTTTCCTTCGCAGCCGGGGAGGCGTCATGGGTGTCTTTCTGTCGAGCAGTTCAGCCCTCAAGCGGACGATCGATGGCTCTGGATTTGATTCAAGCCGATGCCGACCGGTGCCCTTCAGATCTACCGAATGTACCAATACAAATGTCGATGCGTGACATTGTAGTCATGGGGCTCATGACAGGCATGAAATGCACACAGGCATCATTCGAGTTGAAATCACTCTCGATGCAAGGACTTGCGGGCACAATCACTACATCTCAACACCCATTCCTGGGACCGCTGCTACACTTCAGTGCGCGCGATCTATCCATCGAGGAGATCCAGGATTTGCAAGTTGGGATCGGCTCGATCGATCCTTCTTGGATGGCACGGATATGGGACGAGGTAGTGGTTGCTGGACATCGTTACACTCGGCAAGAAAGGATGCAGATAGAGAGAGATGAGGCTATCTGGGCAAGAAGGCCTCGGGAACGTGCAATGGTTCCGGCAAACCGCAATCTTTCACCACCACCCGCTTCGTTGTACGGGCTGCGTCGGCGATCAAGCGTGGCTTCCACGGCGGCAATATCAATTCAGTCAAGTAATCAAGACATGATTCCGCATTGGAATACTCCAACCGCATCGTCTTCTTGTCAAGAGTATCAAACACTCTGGACTCGGTCGGACGGCGACTGGTATGTCGATAACAGTGCCCCGAATACTAGTCAAGCGCAGACCACAATGTCGCTGGGCTTGGAGAGTAGGGCAAGAGTCACAAACGCTGCCCTTAAAGACATTCCCGGAACTAAACGGGCAGTGTGGGTCAGAATATGGACCGCAATGTTGCAAAAAAAGAGAAAAATTGGCTCCGATGCACCATCGGACCATTTTGGGGTTGAAATTGAGCGCGGCAACCCCAGCCCAGAGGCAATAAATAGCCATCGCACCCATCCAGGAAGGTTTGCGGGACCAAAACAGAACTTTTTGCGTAGCTCACACCGTCATGCGCAGGATCAAGGTGCAGCCCTGCAGCCAAGGTGGTTCATCAAAGACTATATCGATCGAAAGCGAGCGATGACGAAGGACAAAGAAATTGCCGACGATGCGCCACGGGATGGCCCTCTCTTAATAGGTTGGTACGATGACGAAGGTCAGGAAGTTACAGAACTCAACGAAACAAAGGAGAACCTGGCCAAGATGGTTATTGAAATGTGGGCTCGCTCAAAAACCGAGTCTGGGCAGCAAAGAACGGCATTCTATGCGCAGAAATGGCGTGACGTCGTCCGACGGAGACAACTTGATCGTGAGAATCGTATACGAGATCAGTCTCTTTCAAGCAGCAGATCTTTCAGGAATCGTTCCCAGTCCAGGTCAAATAATCGATACAGAAGTTCCGATTCTACACGATCTCGGAGAATCTTTGACAGCGGAGGTCGATGGTCACAAACACCTAGTCGTACCTCTCTCCACTCCAATTTCAGTGGCTACTACCCATCTGGAATGCGTCCTAGACGGCAACCGACAGTTTATGCCAATTACAGCGCAAAGTCTCATTCAAGAGATCGCTCATCGGATTCGAGTAACCTAAATCGTACCAGAGGATCTCAGAGTCGCTCAAGCTCCCACGTTCGTTCTCGTCCTCCTGTCAAACGAGACGTTGAGTATGGCGATACCAAGGTATCGAAGAATTCGGTCACACAGCTATATAACAAGCCCGATGCTAGCGAAAGCCCCAAATCTCCTGGATCTGGTCGGACACAATCACATGTTCGTGTTGAGTTTGGCCATGAAATTCACCTCATAGAGTCATCCAGCAGTGAAAATAATGCCAGTGAAAATGACAAGCGGTCATCCATCGAGCAAACGAGTATGTCCCCAAGGAAGGAGCCATCGAAAAATCGACCTGATCCGATTGAACCCGCCAAGGGAATTTTGAAACCACCCAAAGAAAAGTTCCCCGAAGAACCAAACCCCATTCGGGAAGGCGTTGCTCCATTGAAGAATACAGACCTGAAGGGAGTCCCATCAGGAGCGCGGTGGACTAAGATTGACCGTAGACTGGTTAGCCCAGCTGCTTTAGAGGCTGGAAATGAAAGGTTCGAAGAACAAGCCGACTATGTTGTCGTTCTTCGAGTTTTGAAGAAGGAAGAGATACAAGAGTATGCTTTGAGGACAACAGAACTCCGAGGTTGGTACATGCTATGCAATCGCTATGGTACACCGCTAAGCCATGGAAAACAGAAGCTCGAAAAGACGCACTAAAAAGTAAAACCGGAAGCCCTTCGAGAGAAAGCCGTGTTGACGGGTCACGAGGTCGTCGTCGCAGGCGAGAAGGTAGCTTGTCGCCAGACTTCGATCGAAGTCACTCCATATCACAAACCAACAGCGCCAGCGGTTCTCGAGAGGGCACACCCCAGGACTTCGAAGGTTCCAGTCAATCAAGGGAGGACATAAAATATAGAATTACCGGTGTCCACTCACATTCACCACCACGAAGTCGCCCAGATGGAAGCTGGAGAAGTCCAAACAATCGAGGTTCCGGAGACTGGGCCTCTGAACCTGGCTCTAGACGGCCATCTCGGCGCAAAAATATTTCCATTCGTTTCAATAACGGTTATTCGGATTCTGAAATATCCGAACTAGAGATAGAAGTACCCGAATCACACTACGGTTCCAATGCGTACGGTGCTTTCCATCGACGGCGTCAATCAATTGGACACGATCCATGGAATATCTCAGATGACGAGACCCAATATGAGGAGACCAGATCGCTCTCCACTGAGAGTAGAGATACACTGAGTTGGTTTTGGGTATGCCAGATCGACGTTATACCTGGATATTTAGCGACTCCGTGGACGACACAATTTTCGACAGAATGCTGTGTTGGCGCAATTGCAGTCATTCTTGAGGCAATCGGAATGCTAACAGAATTTTCTCAACCGGTCTACCTCGATACCCCTTGTCATCCTCGCGGGCTGGATTGGATGCGCAGTGGTCTATCAACGTATCCACCATATGGAGTCAGCGCGAACCATCACCATGGAACCGTGATAAGCGGTGGTTACAACACGAAGATCTTCCCTGGTTTTAGAGCTCCTCTCTTTCAGATTGAGCTTCTTCGCCACTATGGCTTCCAGGTTGATCGACATCAGCCTTCCGACGCTGCAAACCTTCGTGCACGGCTCACTGAGTTGATGGCCCTTGACTCCTGGCTTTCTTACTGTGGTCGCCAACCTGAGATATGTGGGCATGGTCCACCTTCTGATCTCAGCATTTCAGTGGTCGGAGTCGGCGATTTACTTTACACTATGCCAAAGTTAATTGAGCGAACTATGGAAAGTTTTAAATTCGAGTTTACGAATCTTGAACGCACTGCGATTGATGGTGGACACCAAATTGTCCAGCAAATAGCGGGTAATCTCCTGGATACTCTTGGATGGAAGGTCGAGGGTCTAAGCCCGGGCGAGAAACTTTTTGCGCTTGTCGCAATGTTACGAGCATCGAAAATGGCGCTATGTATTGTGCAGGGCACTGATACGTCGAGTTTGAGAGAGATATTACTCAACGATGTGCAAGTGCATCTGGTTTAGATGTTGACATGATCTTTTGCAAATTTGACATCCGGTCACACCGGCCTTGCTTCGAATAGAGCTTGTCCCAATTTTCAAACCTTCATAGGCTCGCTCTTTGTCCCCTAGACTCGTATTTTGTAGTACTCGGGATAAGACTCCCTGTATCCCAAGATATATTTACCCAGAACAAGCCCACCGAATAAATTCAAGGCCACACCTACAGGTTTCGAAATTATGGTAGGTCCTGGAAGAGCAAGAACAACTCCACCAACCCAGTTGAAAAGCAGGACCTGCGGTAAACTCCGTGGGATGCCAGCTTTACGACAATCATCTCGATAAGATTGCACGTTTCCTAATGAGCCGGTTAGATTGCGTCACATTGTGCAACCTGTCTGGGCATACGGAAAAAAGCCTCATCTCGCTCTCGCCACTTCGGCTCAAGGACAAATTCAATCAATAATTCGTCTGACTCGCTAATATTGCGAAAAGTATGAATCGCCTTGGCTGGTATGGTGATCAAATCGCCCGCCTTCTTGATTATCTTATGACCGTTGCACACGAACTCGGCTGTTCCGTGTAGAACGTGGAATGTTTCTGTTTGGTGACGATGCCAGTGAAGTGGTGGTTGTAAAGCGATGTTCCTGTTTGCGTCACTCGAGCTGGGTGGCCAACGATTCACCACTAAATATCGGTCGGTCGGAGCCTTGAACTCGATGAAAGACCGGCCCCCATCGAAGACCACAAGATTCTGATTCGCAGTTATTGTGCGTGGAACCCTTTTTGCTAGAAATGACAGCATTGTTTGCTTGCTGAGCGTAGCCAGCGCGAGGTTGAGAGGGGAATTTGCGGGGGCCTCCAGATTTGGGGAACTTGTCCTTGGTGTGACGGGCGCGTCTCAGGAATTGCTTTTGCGACTTTCACGCGTGTAGGCCTTGACACCGCGATGAAATACAGGTTCCTGGCAATACAAGATGAATATCAATCCCGACTCGCTGAATAATAAGCATAGGAGAAAATTACGAAACCAAATGTCCAATTCCACTAATTATTCCTATTCTCGGAGATAAGCTATCTCGGTTGACTCCGCAAAAGAACGACCCGGTAGGCGTCTGTCGTAATCTGTTCAACAATCAATTTCCCGAGCACAACAGGACCCAACTTTAGTAAACGTAGCGGAACCTCAGATTCTCCCGATCCGTGAGATCTTCAAATCCTTCAAAGTCTGGAGCTACTTCAGACTCCACCCCTTCCGCACTAGCCAGTTGGTCTTTCTTCTCGTTTTGTCGCTTCAAGTGGAACCGCAAATAGAGCAAAACGAGTTCCAGAAGGGTATAGCATCCAAGATGAATACTAAATGCTGTGAAATAACGAGGTGCATCACGAGTCAGGAAAATTTGTGGACCTGGTGCATGTCATGTTAGCTACAAAATGTTGACTGGAATGTGAAAACGTGAGCACGGTCCTACCTATCGCGTTACCCGTAGCCCAAGCAATGAAATTGGCCGCAATAACCGTCGACTTCTTTGTCTGCCCGGCAATATTGCGGGAAATCATAGAGAGAGTGAGAGTTTGTGCGGCCCAGAATGAGAGTGTGATATAGTAGCTCATGAGTAAGCCGGCTTTTGTTGCTGTCGTCTTGTTCTGGACGGTCATAAGAACAATAGTGCCGATGAAAGACCTAGCGGCGTGTATATTTGTCAGTACATGCTAACGGCAAACGATGAACTCCAAACTAACTCACGGAATGCAGTAAGCTGCCATAACAATAAGATTTTGATTGGTCTTTTTGACAAGCCACATCGAAGACACCAGGACAAAGATAATGTATGCTCCGAGGACCATGGAGAGGAGTTGGGTCTGGAGTGTGGTGAAGTGGAATCCCTTGATGATGATATTGGCAAATGTTCCGAGTCCACTCGTCGGCAAAGTGGTGAACAGTTGAATTCCGCAGTAGCACCACATCTGAGGATCTTTCAATGCCTCAATGGCCTGGTATTTTCGGAATGTCTTATTTTGAATACCAGTACGATTGTCTCGGACTCGTTCAACCATTAGCCTCTTGTCTTCTTCAGAGAAACACTTTGCTGTCATGGGAGAATCCGGCATGAAGAGCAGCACGAACACTCCGAAGAGTACTGAAAAGCATCCATAGGTAATAAAAAGAGCTTGCCATGACTTAATGACCTTATCGGAGCCAATAAGACTAAATAGGTAGGCCAGGAGGCCACCGATCATTTGCTGAAACCCATTCATCATATACCTAATACCACTTAGTATTTTGATAAGATATGTGATGAGGAAAAATCTACCAGAAAGTAACAGTTTGTGCCTGTTCCTCACGCTTATACCACATCCCAGAGAGGCGAACGAAGCTTGGTTGAGCACAAGCCTCAAAAATGCCTAGCAGAATTCGACAAGCCAAAAGGCCTCCAAAACTCTTGACAGTTGAATGCAGCGCTAGAACCGACCCCCAAATTATGATGTTGCAACCTAGGTATTTCGCGATGGGAACTCGTTGAATGATCCAGTTGGTGGGGTATTCGACCACCAGGATTGAGAGGTAAACGCAGGTCGAGAGCCAAGCGTACTGTCCCGTGTCAGCAAGTTCTAGGTCCTGCCACCAGGAAGAAAGCTTACCTGAGTCCCGTGGAGGTGAGTATCGTCAAGTATACCCATAATACTGGTGAAGCTGAGAGTTCCTTTATCCAGAGCCTGTACAAGATACGTGGCAACCATGATCGTAAGTACTCGGCGGTCAATCAACTTTTTCAGACGACGAGATGTAGGCTCGTCAACATCAACTCGCCCCATGCCTGCGTACTTTTGGACTTCATGATCGACACGATCTCCGACCTGCGCTGACTTCAAGTCCTCCATGTCTGTGTTGATATGTTGCTCAAGGTGAGCAGATGACTTTGCCTCTTTTCCCTGAAGGTCTCCCATGTTGGGGTATAACGAGTTCACGCCAGGTACCAACGAAGGAGAGAGGTATTGATCGAAATAGGAGACTTCTTGAGAGACTCCCCGATAGCAGATGAAAGTGGCAAGCCTGAGGTCTCTATATATTCCCCACAGTCGAGGCTAGGGCTAAATTGATGCTTGACTATAGAGTATAACTGAATCCGGCTCCACACCTCTCATGGCAGCCCCCACATCTAAGGCTCGGTGGAGCTTGACCCCGCGTTGTACTCCCCGGATTGACGTAGACGGGTCTATGGTTTGCCAAGACGGAGAAATCATCGACTAGACAAAGAAAGTCATAAGGAATCGCTTCGCAACCGAAGCCCAACCATTCCAACGCAGGATTTAGCTCTCCTTCGGTGTATCTTGATCGTCCTGACTCGGTACATTATTGTCCGAATATTCCAAATTTCGAACACTCGGGGTAACAATGTACGAAGGGGCAGATTGCATGGTGAGAGAAACAAGCTAGTGCACCAATAAATTGCAATACCAACCATCCCACTACTCAGCCAAGATACGCATTTTCTTCTCTGCTATCTATTTTTGTTATAAGTTCTCGTTAGAACACCATGTCTGCCCAAGAAGTCACTGTGGTCACTCGACCGAGAGCATCTGACATCAACGGCACTATCCAAAGCCTCATCCAAAATCTAGTCAGTATCAAGGACGAAACTGGAAGATTCCTGCTCCATTTGTCAGACGGTCGCGTGATTGATACCAAGTCATGGAACGGCTGGGAATGGACTCACGGTATCGGTCTCTATGGAATCTGGAAATACTATGAGTTGAACGGGGACCCATCTCTCCTCAAGATAATTGAAGACTGGTTCGCCGCTCGGTTTACGGAGGGGGGTACCACCAAAAACATCAATACGATGGCGGTCTTCCTCACCCTAGCCTACGTCTATGAGAAAACGAAAAACCCTACCTATCTTCCCTGGCTAGATACATGGGCCGAATGGGCCATGCACGGGTTGCCACGTACGCGCTACGATGGTATGCAACACAAAACTTATGCCATGGAGCATAAACAGCAACTCTGGGACGATACGCTGATGATGACCGTGCTACCGCTGGTCAAAATTGGAAAACTACTCGGGCGCGAAGAGTATATCCTTGAAGCCAAGAAGCAATTGTTGATTCACATCAAATATCTCTGCGATCGTAAGAGTGGCCTTTTCTACCATGGATGGACTTTCGAGGAAGGAGGGCACAACTTCGCAGGAGCGCTCTGGGCTCGTGGAAATAGCTGGATCACCATTGTCATCCCCGAAATTATCGAGCTCGTGGAGCTTGGTTCTACAGACCCTCTTCGTTCATATCTCGAGGATACTTTAGATGCTCAATGTGAGTCCCTGCAGCGACTGCAAGAGCCCTCTGGCTACTGGCGGACTTTGCTTGACCAGAAAGACGAAGGATCATACATTGAGGCCTCGGCAACGGCTGGATTTGCCTTTGGTATTTTGAAGGGGATTCGCAAGCGCTATATTAGCGAGGGGTATAGGGCTATGGCAGAGAAAGCTGTCAGTGCTGTGTTGAAGTCGATTGACGAGAATGGAGAGCTCCAAAATACTAGTTTCGGGACGGGTATGGGTGATGACCTCGATCATTACCGCAATATTGCTGTCACGGCTATGCCCTACGGACAAGCGATGGCTATGATGGCTCTAGGGGAATATTTGAGAACGTACATATAGTCAATTCTCTTTGAATGGGGGAATAGCCTCCAATTCGCAGAATAACACTGTTTACCTTGAGCACTTGCCCTTCACCATAGAGAGTTACAACTGTGGTGGCCCGAACCTAAGAAGAGTCCCTGCATGGCAATCGGCAAAAGTCGACTGACCACCTCAAGTGAATCCGAGTCGCGTTATGAAAATAGGGTGCTGGACGGGGTCAAAGCTCTGATTCATACGCCCCATTACGCGTCTGACCTTGGCATGCACAGAAAAACAACAAGCTCTGCGGCGCAAGGCTTATCACGTCTTGTGTTGGCTTGGAACTCTTGGCCAATTGTCGGGCTGCCTTTGAAGGGGAGAACTCGACTGGATGGAATTATTGGATTGAAGTCCACAAATCAAGCGGCTTCTTGCAGGGGTGCGCGAGGCTGCCAGGGTGTCAGGTGGAAGTTAAAGCGATTGGACACCGTTCCTTGAACATCGCTTTTCCTTCATGCGTGCGTTTCCCTCACACGAGTAGTCTTTCTCGGCGTAGTACCAACCGAATCGTGCATTTGAGCTGATCAGGTAGTATCGATTGTGCGGGGTAAGGATACAAGTTAGTGAATGTGATTGAGATGTCCAGCACAAGCGAGAGAGAGAGAGAGAGAGAGAGAGAGAGAAATGACGATGGTTGTTAATTTGCCGAGCTACCTGGCAAAGCTGAATGATAAGCAAGGACTTACCAGAATTGATTCTAATTTAAATTCTGAAACCCACAATTTCCAGACTTCATGGCCGAGGATCAGATGAGAACCATTCGCGGGATTTCCCTTCAAGACCCAACCTTCGATAACCGCCAAGATGGTCTTGGAATAGGCAACACAAAGCCTCAAATCTCCTGGCGCTTCGTACACAACGATCTCAACATCAGAGGCTGGCAACAACAGGGATATGAGATTGAGCTCGAACGTAGGGATACAGTGGAAACATATCGCGTGGACTCTGCCGAATCGGTTCGCGTGCCATGGCCAAGTTTGCCTCTTTGCTCACGAGAGATCGCTAGCGTCCGCGTCAGATCAATCGGAGTCTCTGAAAATTTCGAAGAACCCACGACAACGGAATGGTCGGCTTGGGCTTCAGTTGAGACAGGACTCCTCAACAAGGAAGAGTGGCGCGCTCAATTGATCACTGGCCAGCAAGAAACATCCCTCGAAAATCCGATCCGACCACTTCTGCTGAAGCGATCGTTTGAAATCCCTCAAGTCAGCCAAAGCATCAGTAAAGCACGCCTTTACGTAACTGCACAGGGGGTTTATCATTTCTATCTGAACGGCACTCGTGTGGGTGACCATTTCATGGCACCGGGTTTCACATCCTATCGATTCCGATTTTCATACCATGTCTTTGACGTGACAAACCTGCTTCAGAGTGGCTCAACAAATTTTCTTGCAGCAGAAGTTGGGGAGGGGTGGTTTGCGTCAAGTCTGTGGAGAGAAGGAAGGCAGATCTTTGGCAAGGACATTGGGTTGATTGCTCAGTTGGAGATTTCTTTCAACGACGATGATGAGCCACTGGTTGTCACTACAGACGCCGAGTGGGAATGGAATACCGGGCCTATGCTGGCTAGCGAGATTTATGATGGCGAGACATATGATATGTTAGAAGAACGGCCAGGTTGGAAAACTGGATCCGATCCCCAGGTCGGCACTTCATGGACGGAAGTCACTGTTTTACCCCTTCCTTCTGCCACATTCTCGGCGCCAGATGGTCCTCCCGTTCGTGCGACTGAGGAGGTTCGACCACAAAGAATCCTCAAATCGCCCTCCGGCAAGTTACTCCTCGACTTTGGACAAAACTTGGTGGGAAAACTATGCATTCGTGGGTTGCAAAAGCCAGCTGGACATCGTGTGGTCTTCCAACATGCAGAAGTTCTAGAGCATAATGAGATTTGCATGCGTCCGCTTCGCGCTGCAAAATGCACTGATATTATTGTGTGCTCTGGTGGTGAACTAGAAAGTTGGTCTCCAAGCTTTACGTTTCACGGGTTCCGCTTTGTCCAGGTGGAAGGATGGGCTCCACAAGACGAGCGTTGTCCGCTACGAGTAGAAAATATCACAGCGATTGTCTTACACAGTGATATGAAACGCACAGGCTGGTTTTCCTGCTCAGACGACATGATCAACAGACTCCACGAAAATTCAGTCTGGAGTATGCGCGGGAATTTCCTCTCTATCCCGACAGATTGCCCACAACGAGATGAACGTCTTGGTTGGACTGGTGACATTCAAGTTTTCAGCCCTTCTGCAAACTTTCTCTACGACACCGACGGCATGTTGGCTGATTGGCTTGTTGATCTCGAACTGGAGCAAAATGAAGATAACGGCGTTCCTCCGATGATAGTGCCCAACGTTCAATATGCGAAAGAGTCGCGCCCGCCGCAGGCTGTTTGGGGGGATGCTTCCATCCTAGTCCCATGGGCATTGTATAAATCGTTCGGCGACAAAGATATTCTATCACGACAATATCGCAGTATGAAATCTTGGCTGGACAAAGGCTGTTCTCGTGGTGAAGATGGGTTGTGGACAACGTCACTTTGGCAACACGGGGACTGGTTAGATCCCTCGGCCCCATCTGAAGATCCTGGTAATGGCCAGACAGACGGTGTCTATGTCGCCGACGCCTATCTGGTCTATGTAACCGGGATTATCAGCCAGGTAGCCACGGTTCTTCAATGCCGAGAAGATGCACAAAGATATTCGGAGGACCATATCCGCCTCAAGCATGTCCTTCAAGAGAAATATATCACCCCGAAAGGGATGGTAATGTGTGATACTCAAACCTCGTTATCATTGGCCTTGTTCTTCTCACTCTTCGCATCAGAAGATCAGAGAAAAAATGCTGGTGAGCGCTTGGCTCGAAAAGTACGCTTTGCCAAATTCCGGGTTGCCACTGGATTTGCCGGTACCCCAATCGTGACTCATGCACTGAGCAGGACAGGCTGGCACCAACTTGCATACAGGATGTTATTAGAGACTAGTTGCCCCTCGTGGCTCTATCCTGTCACTATGGGAGCCACCACAACCTGGGAACGATGGAATAGCATGCTCTCAGATAGCACAATCAATCCAGGGCAGATGACAAGTTTCAACCACTATGCACTGGGGTCTGTTATCAACTGGCTTCATGAATATGTTGGGGGAATCAGTCTGGTCGAACCTGGTTGGAAAGTCTTTAAAGTGCAGCCGATTCCAGGTGGGACGATACGCAGCGCCGACATTCAATATGAGAGCCAGTATGGGCTGATCAAATGTTCCTGGCAGTTGGATGTGAATTCGGTCTTCTCGATGAAACTTCAGATACCTCCCAATTCATCTGCTCTGGTCATTATGCCAGAGAAGGAGGCAAATGCGAATTCGGGCACAATCTTATCCTCTGGAAGCTATGATTTTTCGTGTCACTATCATGCTGATCCGTGGCCCCCAACTCCCCTCGAAACTTTATTTAAGCCACCTGCTCGGAAGGTCATTTGTCAGTGACAGATATTTCATTATACAGAATGTAGATAAAAGTAGATTAACAGTGAAAATGTTGGCGAAAGTGTGCAAGAAAGTTCAGAAAAACTCCAAGAAAAACCAAACCGACAGTTAGCAGAACCAGTGCCTTAAAGCCTTCGACCTCGTACGCGCAAAACTAGGCCCTCTCGGAACTAGAAATCTGAGATAGACTCTTCCTCTGCCTTGGCGAGAGTCTGTTCTTTCGTCAACTTCGGGTTACGGATGCAGAGGGCGAAGATAATCAATGGGATTGTCAGACAAATGCCAGTGATGCAAAGTAGACGCTGCGTCTTCTGGTAGGCCAGAATAACGTTGTCTCTATCAGGAGTTCCAACCGGGTTAGCATCAGCGAAGAGCAGAGGCTGCGCATAAACTTCAGCCGCAAGTGTTGCGTTCCCAAGCCTGCGAGTCAGCTCTGCCGGCAGCACTTGGTTCCAGATGGCACCTGAAATGGTGTTTCCCAAGGCACTGCCAATATTGTAAGAAGCCAGGTAGATTCCAGTGACGACAGCAAGATCTGTTATGTGTTAATGGAAAGATTCATAATGTAGGAAAGGGTTCTTTAGGTAGAGAACTCACGTTCATGCTTTGAAACAGCCTGGATACTAGCTTGAGCGGGATAGGGGAACATTCCACCGGCTACGAGATTGTTAGTATGGGTGATGAGCATTATCCAGCGATGCTCTTACCAAGACCCAAGAGAACTTGTCCACCAATAACTCCCGAATGACTTGACCCACTCGCACCACCACGATAGTGGATGAGGATACCGAAAGCAACGGTAAATAGTAAGGTTCCGGCAACAATGAACGGTTTTAATTGTCGAACCTTGATTATGATGAAACCAAGAATTGTTCCAGCAATCACTGATGTAAAGCTATACAGGGAGGTGATGCGGGTCGCGCTCAGCACCGATTCGTCGAAGCTCACATAGAGCACAGTGTACAGGAAGTCACCCTGCAGATACCAAGCTAATGAAGGTTAGATTAATCTTCATCTATAATTTCGGTGCAGCATACCAGTGTTCAACATAACCGCAATACCCAGGGCACCCCATACACCACGATCCTTGAGGCGCTATATGAGAATCCATTAGTATTTGATCTGTTTCTTGCACGTGGTTGGGACCTAGACTCACTCGGAAGGGCAGCATTGGATGCTTGCATGTCTTCTCCCAGTATGCCCATACAGGGATCAATAGAATACCAATTACCAACGGTGCAATGACTTTGGCAGTTTTCCATTGTGCGGTTACACCACCAGCGAGTGTGAATGGGACCAAGATACAGGCGAGCATAGCGATCAACAAAGTAATCCCAATGACGTCCAGGTGCCAGAAAAGCTCCATTGCGAGGCGGCGACCACCGATCAGTTCCATGGAACTCTTGTAGGACTCCAGCTGACCGGAGGCTCTGGCGCGACGGCGGACAATGAATAAGACGGTGATCAAAGGGAGGGCGCAAACAGGGTAGATGATGGCGAACATTCCGATGCCCCATTTCCAGGAAGTGACTTTCAGAACAGCGGTCGTCAAATTTCCACTGATCCAGGTGTTGATCTAGTGAGGGTACGCTTAGATACTTTTCCTCCTCTTTGGATTTAAAGAGCACTCACGATGAACGGCAACGCAGGGATATAAGAGAAGAGGAGTCGGGATCGAGTAGAGGTGATATCGGCGATCAAGACCTCCACAAGCAACATGATGCAGGTATATCCTATCTGAAACAGCAGTCAGGCCACGCTTTCAATCAGTGGTTTATAAGAGAGTTTACCTGATAAATCACAGCACCTGCGCAGAAAGCCTCCACGCTCTTGGAAAAAGTCTCGATGATTGTTCCCACAGTATAGAAAATGATCGACACGATGATGAGCTCGACTCTGCCAAAAACGTCTGCAATTTTTGCGGCCGTGGGCTGAAGGGATTTTGTAAGCCCATGCTGGCATTGTGCTCAAGCTATAACAGACATACCTGTGCAGCGGCAGCGATCACTGCGCGAAGAACATTAACTGTGGCCAGTAGACTGTGCAATCCATAACTCTGCGTCGCGTATGGCTAGAATGAAAATTCAAGTAAGTGATCTTCCATGTCAAAAAGCAAATAAGGACAGTTTAGTTCTTTTGGAAAACAAACCTGGTAGGTATAGCGGACAGTGCCATCTAGACCATAGACATACGCGATAAGAAAAATACCGAGAAAGAGAAAAACGCGATCCACCAGGTGAAAATGGGAGGCAATGATCTCAATGCGACGAACACCGGGGCTTCCCTCTCCCAGCAAGTGAACCTCTGGCAAGGGACCAACCTGGGGATGCGGGGCCTTCTCCGAATTTTCGCCGAAGTGATCGGTGCTGGCGCGTGGAGCGGGAATCTCTGCCATTGAGACTAGCGACCGAGGATGTCAAACAGAGAGTAAAAGCGTTCCTGCAAGTGCAAGGGGGTGAAAACATCAAGTGAGCGATCATTCTCTATTTATAGCGCTGGCAGCTTTCAGCCAAGTCTGTGGCCTGAGAAAAAAAAAGTGAACAGTGCTCGGATGCAACTCGTTCCACTGGAATCTGAAAGGATATCCACAATTTTTTTTCATCTTATCTGATGGAAGCAGTGTACGGGGATGCTTCTGGAAGGCAAATCAGCGTCTTGGATTCTCTTCGCCCAGAGAGACTAAACTAAGTCTACGTATACCAACCACTCACAATTCCCAAAGTTCTCCACCTCGTGTTCTGGCCGCGATTGATAATTTCCACACGGCACATGTGCCATGCCACCGAGACCCTGGGTGGCTGAGACATTTGCCAAGGCCTCGTGGGATCCGGTTTGCATTTCAGGTCTCCGAGATCTCCAAGGCCTTGGGAGGGTTGGAAGCGAGATTCCGAACCCACGAAAATATTTGGGGATATTCTAGACTGCCCTGACTCATATGAGCCTAGGCACCTTTGATGAATGCGACCCGAACCCGGACCTAAATGTAGTCGGGTTATGGCTCGGCCTAGGTACACACCGACGGCAGATAGCATTGGTCGCGGGCTTGACTTCGCTAATACTCGGCAAACACACATTTTATATGAATTATGTCAATTTTCGAACGACAGTTACTATGATCTATGATAGAAGTGAAGATATTGACAGCCTCTTTATACTCTGGCTCTCCTCGGCCTCCTGTGCCCGTGGCGGCCTTTGTTGACCCCGAAGACAAGCCTGCCCCTTTTGAGATTTATGATGGCTACTCAACATATCTCTTCGAGCAAATGGTGTCTGGCACCCTTTACACATCCAATTCTTTTCTCCAGAATGTGTTCGCATGTGACGCTTGGCATCGCTTTTCCTGGCAAAAGCCCGGTTGCAGATATTGCATGAGAATGGCGTGGTTCGTTCATGCGTTATCAAATGTGACTTGAGATTGTAAAGCCTATTGAACACCTTCGAGCAGTGTTCACAGCGAAAGGTTTTTGAGGAATTCGATTGGACCGGGGAGTCGGGCAGGCTTTGTAGTTCAGAGCTTGACCCCGGGGTCTGACAATCCGATGCATGTTCCAAGTCTTCTTTGTGAGCACCTTGTGGGGATTCGGCTGGCGTTGGGTGTACTGCGGTAAATAACTGTAGACCTCCCTCCTGGCTCTGGTGGGTTCTTGCGGCTCCTGTCAATGCTGGACAATGTTCACCCTGGGCGGATATCTCAGACTCCCACGTTTTGAGATGGACCTGGATTTCTTCCTGAGATATAGACCCATCGCAATGCCCAGTGCAACTATCACTTGTAAATCTATATGGTTGTGTGTTTCTCTTATCATCGTTGTCAAGATCTGGAGTATATCGCTCATAGGCCATAGCGGGGAGATGGTCGTTGGTACCAAACAAGAGGTCTCTCCATGTAAAAGTTGATCAAGACTGACCATTTCAAGAAGTTGCAACATGGAGGTAGTAGAAGAGAACTGCGTCTAGATAGAGACAGAAGGTTTTGTGCACCTACCCGATGCGGCTCTGCCTGGAGCACAGCCACTCCACCCGGGTCTCAGCTGAGCAGAACCTGCTCAATATGCCACAGTCATTAGTGACATTGCCTTGTTATGCGGAGGAAGATGATTCGTCAGCTTATATTCGAGCTCGCTCAGCCTCTCTTCCTAGTGGACAACACATTTTGCACCCAGGTGCGAAAGGGTGTCGCATCGAGCGAGGCTGACTACCCTGCGCTTTTGTGGTGGGCGCGTCGCCGAATGACAAGAAAATCCCAGGCAATAAATGAAAATGAAAGGAGGCCAGGGAGCCTCGCTCTGTGCGAGGGATTTCGTAGGGCTTAAGCTCTTCTCGTGGGGCTGTCCAAGGTTGAAGCGCAAGGCGCGTGTTGGGCGCAGCGGACGATTAGTGGTAACAATGATGAAGTAGACCATTTTGGCGAGAGGTAATAAAGGCCTCCCAGATTTGAAACCATGCATCTCAGTTGATCTGGACCCAAAAAAAATATCATTCCCTGGACTTTGCCAGCACGAAGGCTTAAAACCCCTGCCTTGGTTGCTTTGACGGAATGTTTTGGGAGTTGTGCTTGTGGCCTTGCGGCCTGATCTGACAGACTACCTGACGGAACAGAAGCAGCAGTGGATACCGAAGAACGGGGATAGTAACTAACTAGTTAAGTTAGTCAGATAAGGGTTGTAATGCTTGTGGATTCACTCCGTCGCTGAATGTTTCGTTTCAGCGGTTTGCTCGTTGTAAGCAGGCTTATTATATTACTGCTCAAGGGGTTGTCAGAAGGAGGATTGGACGGCGCACAAGAAGAACTATACTCCAGCCGCTTGAGGCATGTGAGGTCGATCATGTCTAGCAAGCTATGAAACTACAGCCACTTTCATTTCCATGCCTTGGTTGGGCTCTCTTTGTCCACGGGATCACCTAAGGCTATTCAAGATGTCTAGCCTAGAATGTAGACGAACACTATTAGTCTTGAAATCTGGTCATAATCGTAGACACTGACTGGTAGTCTCAGTAGCTCAAATTTAGCGTAATAAATGACGCAAGCAGCAGGGCATAGTGGGAGGACCTAGAGGGAGCGTCTAATCAGAAGATCCGTGTATATCACCCAGAGATCCTTTACTCAAGAAAACTACGGAGAAAACAATCCTTCAATGATAACTCTTTTACTGCTAAAGCTTTGCTAACCTATTCAGGAGGTACTGTTTCAGACTAGCTTTTACGTTGAAGCTTCCAAGCATTGAATCTCGAGTCAAAAAAGGTATATCAACCCACGCTTTAACCCAACTTGCTCTTGACGAAAGCCAATGCCTGAGAACCATACTCAGATCCATAACCCTGGTGAGTCGCCGCATTGCTACCGTTGCAGCAGTACGGATCTGAAGCATCGCAGTAGGACTTGATCTTACTAGCCGAAGGGCAAGAAAAGCCAGCTGGACGTTGGTCAAACTGTATGTGAATTGTTAATATTAAAGTCAATGTTTCGCGCAAGAAGAAAAAGGAAGACATACACCGCCAGCCCCGCAAGTTCCAACGTCATACGAAAGTCCGGCTCGGAACATGGGGTCGCCCATGAAAATGGCAGCCTTGACCATGTTGACAGCGGATGAGGAAAGCTGTACAGCGGTGTTGGTGTATCCCTGGTTAGGATCACCGCCGCCGCACAGGGCAACATCCATGATCTCGCCACCCTGAGAGTAGATGTGTCAGTCATTGTTCATGTTCAAGCCTATGCTATATAATGAATATCAAACCAACCTGAGAGTATCCGACCAGCACTATCTTGGTGCTCGGGCACTGCGAGTTGAACGAGTTCACAGCGGATGCCACAGCGGCAATGCCCTGAGCGACCGAGCTGGAATAGCTGGCGCCCCCGCATGAGGATTGACCACCGCATGCTGGGTAGTTAATTGCCTCGGCGGTAGATCCCGGATAGGCACTGAGAACGCCATTAACGACGGTGCTGGAGGAGCCATAGCCTGGAGAGGCCGTTGTTTCACGGGCACCGAAGACGTGGATGGCGGGACAGCTGCGTTTCTCCATGACCCCTTCGAGAGGAATGGCAGCTGCGCCAAGGCCAAGAAGAGAGGCTGCGAAAAGCTTGGGATGCATTTTTCTTGTTAGGTTAATAACTGGAAAAGGTCAAAATAGATGGGGGTAATCAAGGCTTGGACGATGAAGATATTGCTCGTTAATACTCCACTCTACAGCGAGATGCCATAACCAATTTATAGAGGCATTCTTGCCCTTCGGTCATTCGAAACAAAAGTTGTTCCATGTTTCCGTGAAGCAACTTGACGAGATCGAATCGATGATCCCTTTGACCGAACGAAGGGTTTTGGCTAATAGAGATGAAGCTTGAAGTTTCAATTGAGACTTGGCAGGCAACTTACCTCATTTAGCCGTGAGGAAGTCATATCCATTCAATCAGGCTGAATCGATCGGCGTTTCGGGACGATTCCGCCAGAGAAAACAAACAACTTGAGGGTGAAACAATATAGAGTTACGGTGGTGTCTCGGCTGGGGTCCTCGAATAGGTGGGATCTGCGCAAGGCATCGTCTGTTTCCCCGCATTGATGTGCCGTGAAGAAATGCAGGTTCAACTCTCATTTTGCCGGGTAGCGCGGGGTACAGGCTAAGAGTAATCATGGGGTCAGGTACTGTTTTCGATCGACTCATCGACTCCCGATAGTGGATCGATAGTTGCCACATACATCGCGGGAGGCTCTCCAGTGGGGCTGGACTCTGCATGTCCTGGTGGGGTTTGTGGCTGAGACGACCTCAATTTAGTGCTGACACACGGCAACAGAAGGAAGCATCTCTTCTCCCCCGCGTTGACATCATGAGTTTTTCCTCTTTCTCAAATCAGCCGCCATGGGAAAATTGGTGAAACTGCTGGGTTCGGGCATTGGACTGACGTCTGAAGCCATCCACGCTGCTCGATCGCGATCCCGGTCGCGTTGCGACCAGCCATCTTCTTCGGCGGGTCCCACCAACAGCGCTCCACCAGAGTATGTCGAGGTTGCTGATGATACGGCCGAGGGGCTTATTCGCAGTGGACAAGCTGAGCGGGTGGTCAATACTGGGGATGAGAAGCCCCTGTCAAAGGCTACCGAAGCGGGCTATGACCCCGATGGCGATAGCTCGGAATCCGAGGATCTCGAGGCTCTTGGTCAGGATGAGGCCGCCTGGGAACTGGATGACATGGCCGAGCGTATGAGGCTGCCTACATACGATGAATCCGAAGCTGCCGCGGCCGCAGAGCCAGAGGATGTGAAAGTGAAGAAGGAAGAGGAGATGGTGCGTGACCTTGTTCGAAGAGCGGGCTCCCCACCACATCCACCTCAGCGTATCCCTTGCCCCGTTATTATACCCCAGCGTCGACCGAGAAACAAAGATCGCGGCTTCGTGCGTGCATATGCTCCTGTACTGGGCGATTGTGGTATTAGCCAGGAGGTTTTCTTGCAGTTCCTGGAAGACTGGGACAAGGCTAGCAAGGTAGGCTACTTCTGTCCCGTCCTCATCGCCATTGAGAAATACTCCAAGCCACTAACGCAATGTGTATAGGCCTCTCCCTGGATTGATGTCGTATTTCTGGCCGCTGGAATTGTTGGTTTTGTGCCCGATGTCGCAGCGCAAGTTGTAGGCACCGTGGTGCAGGTAGTGGCAGGAACAGCACGGGAGTTGCAGTCGCGATCTCGCCGCAACACCTTCCTAGACCGTGTCAATGAAGACCTGCTCATGCCTCGTGGGTTGTATGCCATGATCATGGCATTCAAAGACGAAATTCCTGGTCAACAGAGTGGCCCCTTATACCGTCTGTCCAGCTCGATTGGGAAAACGCTATTCGTAAGCGAGAAACTTGACATCAACCAGACGGTCGCCAAGTATACCAACCCCGAGCCGGAGATGTCTAAACTAAAGAAGGGCTTGAAGGATATTCGACTGACCAGTGGTCAAACCCGTGGTCAAATTGAGCTCCCCGAAGCTGCAGAGCTCGTATTTCCCGATCTTGATCGAGTCGCAGAAGAAGCATTAGAAGGTGATGGCAAAGGCAAGGAGCCAGGAACTCGCGACAAGTTCAAGAATGCTGGTGCTTGGGTCCAAGACTACCTCGACCGACGTGGTCAAGCTTTCTACGTAAGTGATCCATATGCAACGACTACTATGCATTACTGAATCGCTCATCGCGAATCTTACAGGAAGTTGAACACCAAGGATCCTCCTTGGCCGTCCCATCATCAGACAGGAAATCGATGACCTCGCGCTACAATGACCCAAACCATCCCGCGAATAGCGGTTCCTTGATCTCGCTCCTCACTGGCGGTGCTGTCAACCCGGCAGCACGACGACAAGCCAAGCGCGAGGCCAGGCAAGAGCGTAGGCAAGTCAAGCGTGAATATAAGGATTCTAGACGTGTGGCTCACGGTCGCGCCCCTCGTGGCCCTAGAAGAGTCAAGCGAAAGGCCCAGCGGAAGACGATCATCAAGAAGCTTATGCAAAAGGATGTGCTGTATCTTCTGGTTGTCAATCTTCCTAGCCAGGAAGAGGTTCAGGAGTCTGTTACACAGCTTGAACAAGTGATGGCCCAGACTGGAGGACACTAAGTTGTTAGGTTATGCAATTTTCTTGATTCAATGATGTTTTTCGAGGTTGACATAATGTGGGAACATCATGAAATGGATACCATGACTCATTCATTACAAACTTATCTACTATATCATCCTGACAGATCGAAGTACTCTTAAGTTTCTTGCTGCAAAGCTGATACAGTAGCTCGGCCCCCAAAAATCCCCAGTGGGCCCGGGCGTGGGAAACGATCCGAGCGGGATCCCAGAGTAGTTTAGACTCAAGCTATATCGCTCTACAAAGCCAACCAGGGTCTATAAACAGACTGAGTCAGGTGTAAGCTTATCCTTGGTATTTAAGGTAGTACGGTGACTCACAGTGACCTTTCTATAGGAGGATCAGACTGTCTGCGGTTCCCTCTTTTTCTTTGTTAACAATTTCTACTTCTCTATCATCCGAAGGCAATCGCAGGCTGACCGCTGCGGCTTCCACTTAGAAGTTATCTCCAGCTTTTTCCACTCTTGATCACTTTTCCACTCCCATCTGCGACTTCAGAAATTTAAGACCTTCACACAATTATTTCCAAACGTCTCAAACCATTCTTGCCTAGAGTCCGGTGGACCCCGCGGGGCAAATATGGCGATGAAAGAGCTGCTCCGAGTTCACAGGGAAATCCGAGACGTGAACGATGACTTCCATTCCCTCAGGACAGTTCTCAAAGAAACCGATCACAAGTCAAAATGGAACTTCATCATGTTTCCCAACGATGGAGCCCTCTCACACCTCCCACTGATTGGCGAGCTCGTCATTCCTGAGCGATACCCTATTGATCCGCCCGTCCTGCATCTTTTCACCAAAACACTACGAATGAATGTTGATGTCTATCAGCATCGTCTTCGCGATGATACCCAAAGTACCATGTGCTTTGACATCCTACGTCCCAAAGCATATGGAGGAACATGGCAGCCCGAGTACACAATCTCCTGTCTCTTTGCGAGTTTGATGCAGGCCCTAGTGACACCGATGGTCCCTCAAGATTACGGTGGTGATAAGCCGGAATTTGTCACCATGGGAAGGCTAGAAGAGGTGAAGGGCCATGTGGAAAAGACGTACCGCGCTCATAAGAATCATATTGGATGCCTGCCCACAATACCTACGATTGCGGCCACGCCCATCCCAGCACAGCCTCTGACTTTCAGCCGACCTGGAAAGGATGAGACCCTGAAATCTCTCGATTTTGTGAAAGAGAACATGTACACCAGCCAGGCCATTTACCTTCAAGATTTCGAGCGCCCGCAGTTCTGGTCAACCCTCTTGGATCTCAGAAACTTGCATCCAGGCGTTGTGTTCTCGGCAATCCTTTCAAATAAACCTGGTGTCGATTTGGTGGGCAGGAAAGCTGACACCATTCTCCTTCGAAATGGAGTCACTGGAACTGCGGCAAAGAAGCGGGAGAACTTACCTCTGGTATGGTTCTACCATGGAAAACCACTGAATGATCAAAACCTCTCACTCTCCATAACCATCACAAACGACCAATTTACCATGGCATACAAGGCAGAGGGATCAGACCAGTTCTTGGTTCACGGAGACACTCCAATCTCCAAACTTGGAGAGGCTCAAATTGGCAACGTCAAGGGAATTCCATTCTACTTGACAATCTACTTAAAGCGCAAATCAGGAGATGAAGGGTTCATCAGTGTGCTCGATCAAGAGGAAACAGGCTACATCCATGTAAATTTGACCACCCTTGCCGTCCATCAGCCGTCTAAGCCGACAAACCGTCCAATCAACTCAGTCAGATTGAATCTCGGGAGTGAGCAGACTGCCCGTCTCCAAGGTGTCATTGATGTCTATGGCTTGGGCTTGGATTTCAAGGTTCAAAGAGGTATTACAAAGCCGGCGTATCTGAAGTTGGCTTCTGGTGGTGATATGCCCGAAAAGGAATGGACCGAGATAGTCAAAGATGTGTACGGCCCTCTACGCGACAAGCCGGTTAAGGCTGAGGTCACAGCTATTGCAGCTGATAAGTATTGCGTCGTCCTGATCTTGAACAATCACTGCCGTTCTGAGAAAGAGACTGAGAAGGAAGAAGATGAGGCGCAGAAAGAAGAGGCGAATGAGAAAGGGGAAGAGGAGAAGGAGCGAGATGAGGAGAAGAATGAAGGAGACGAGAAGAATGAGAGTAAGGAGGAGGAGGAACGCAACCTCCTCCCCGCGGACAAATTGTCCTGCATCACGATGCGCTTGCGGGACGAGTCAATCAAGGCTGATTATCCTGCGATTTTCGCTCAACGAGTGATTGAAGAGCATGCAAAGGACTGGGTAAGTGTCGGGGACATATACATTCAACTGCCCCAGCCAATCAAAATCACATGTGATGTGGAGTTTGAGGGATGAATGAATTCATGTTATTAATACCTATATCTATCTCGAATAGCTCTTGCCTTGGAAGTTTTAAATGAGGAATTTTCTTTCAGACACATTTAGACAGGGGATTACACTTTTTTTCTGTCATCTATTCTGCCACTATTCTACTGTTTCGTCTCTGTAGAATAGGTATAGGGTATCAGAATTTTCCTATCTCAAAAATTTTCAACATTTCATACGCAGCAAGAACAGAAATAATAGTGAAGTAGTCAGAGGTAGAAGGCGGCGGTGCAGGCGGAGGGCCAACATCCCAGAATGTTAGGTCGATTTTCCATCATTCGAAACAAACGGGACAAAGCCTGGTGTCTACGAAGGGATGCGTCTTGCTTTGTAGTCTGCACGTCGCCATCGCGAGCACCGTTGTACGTCCGCCGCACTAGCTCAGTACAGTGTAGCAACTTGCTGCCATCTAGCTCGAAGACTAAATCCCAGCCATGATATGTTGGCAGGCCCAGAGTTCGCAAGGCCACGCTCAATGATTCGGTTCCGGTGTGTGGTAATCCCAGGCAAAGCACCTCGACGGGCTTGCTGCGTTTGTACGGAGCCGGTTCGGGGAATCCGTAGAGTAACCGTTGGAGGGCGTACATTGTGCCTTGGGAAAAGCTAAAGCTAGCGTAAGCCTAGGAAGAAAGGTCTTCCACTTAAATAGTATGTACGATCGGTCGCATAGAAACAACATGCCTAGTTGTCTTACTCCGCACCAATATTCGCAAGATCAAACCGCATCTGCAGAATATCCTGCCTCTGTCCAATATACCAAATCGCAATCCGAGCAATCCGCTTCACACCCTGACCAAAAGCCCCCAGAATGAAATAAGAAACAACCTTACCGATACGAGTCCCAAGTAAAGTCTGGTATCCAGGCGTTCCGCATACAAACAGCTTCAATTCAGGCGGAGGGGCGGTAATTCGGACCTGAGGAAGAGTATCTACGTTCATGATGTGACACACGAAAATAGTCTTCAGAGTAGACAATTCCGCAACCTGTTCATAAGCAATCTTGCATAACTCGGCAGACCAAGGTCCCCATTTCTTTCTCACGATATGCTCAATGAAAAGAACACCCGGAGCCGCGCGCCCTTTCCAGCAACCGAGAAATTCTGCACTCTCATTCGGGCCCATATCACGCCACGCTTCCATGTTGATATGCCTGAAGGGACGGGTTGGAAGCCCGAGGGCTTCCATATCGTCTTCTCTATAGCCGCCGGGTAAGTCGTTAACGAAACGCTGGTTAACGGTCCAGAACTGGGTATTGAGGTTACCGAGGTTTAAGGTCATTCTAGGAATTGGACATGCCACATTAGGATTGCTGAGCCACTGTAGGATTGCACGCCCAGCCTGTCGCATTTGTAGAAGCTGGGCGGTCACGTCAGTTGGCGCTGGACACTCGTCTGCAGGGCCATCGTAGGCACCTGAAATAGAAAGGAAAGTTCTAGCGCCAAAGGCATTGGGTCCGAGGGGGTCCTCCGGGCCCACGCTCTCAATGAGCAGGACAATGTTCTGAAATTCAGTTCGATCCATGATTGCTGTACAATGACTCGAACTTGGTACAACTTTTGTTAAAAGTTGTAGTGTGAATGCTGAGAATGGGTGACAGAGTGAGTAGGTTGGGAGGAGAATGGAGTACGTAACAGTGCGATACTGTGAGACTGGTGATAGGAGCTAGGACGAGACGATTGCCTCATATTTATACTCTAATCATCGGTGGAGGCTGCGAACGATGCCTATGGGAACAAAGATCATCCATCCTTCAATGGGATAGTCAAATATAACAGTATTCGAAACAAACGGGACAAAGCCTGCTGTCTACGAAGGGACTAGATACGTCTTGCTTTCACGGGCTAAATTTAGGGACTTGGCTATTCAAAGACAAAATGTCTAAGGAGTCGAGTGATGAATGGAAAAGAAGGCAAAGCAGAAGACGAAATTGGAGGTACAAAAATAGAGCGGATCCTAAAATTAGAAAAATAGACAATCAAAATAGCTTTTGTAATTGCTATGACTTTCTTTCGGTCGTAAATCATCATGGAACGAACACCATTCACGGGTATCGCGGTCCGGGGCTCATGTTTATACACTTTTTGATTTCACCCTTTCACTCCTCAGAGGGCTTGACATCATACTCTACATCGGTTCGGATAATGTATTTTGCGCCCTTCCTGACCCCTGTTCCTTCATGCAACAAGGCTCCGTTCGCCTCTCCGTGCGGGAAGATAGCAACGGATCCCATCACGGGGCGTACCGGGTAGGCATTGAGAGTTCCCTCCCGCGCCGCGGGCATGAAGAAGGTTGTCTCTCCGCCCTCAAACTCATCGTTGAGGTAGAGCAAGAAGGTGTACATGGAGCTTTGCTTCTTGTCTTCCGGTGAAGCGTCGTATACATACGTGTCGTCGGGGAGGATGCCCGATGGCGGCCATGCTCCGTCAATATGGCAACGATACTCTGCACCAGGAACGTATCTGTAGACACGGAAGCGCCGATTGATGCCTCGGACTAGTCGGCCGTTGATTGAAGAAGGGACGTAGGGGGAGATTCGCGCCCACAGAAGGTCGTGGAAAGCAGTGTCCACAACCCAGTAAAAGTTATGAGCCAGGATGCTCAAATCGCCATCTTCGCGGAGGGGGGCATCGGGAAGGAAGTTGACAGATTCACCAGCAGCAATGATTGCCTTGCACTCTGAGGGCGAGAGAACATTCATGGCGACACCTAGACCCGGCACTGCGGGGTGTGGGTGGTATGTGATAGTTGGGCCGACAGGAGCGAGTGGAACTGCGTTCGGTGCGGTAGTGTAGAGGATGGCAGGGTGGTGGTTTGGAGGTTTCCGAAGTGGGCCCGGGGTAGTCTCGATGACGCGGAGAGCAGAAGGAGCGGTTGGCGCATCAGCCAATATCGTCTTGTCGAGTACAGAGGCGTAAATTTGGAGAGGTGCTGTTGAGGGGCGAAGGTCCCAGATGGACTGGAAAGCGATAGGAGAGGTGGAGGGGACGGCTTTGGGGCTCATGTCGATCGGGGTGCTGACACGCAGGATGGCATCTAGAACACCGAGAAGCTCGAGGTCTTTCGCGCTGCGCTCGACGACACGATCGGTCTCTCCCGGCTGTGTCGAGAGACCACTAACCACATCTAAGTCCCGTACCCAGCGACACAATGCTCCAATCTTCGGTTGTTCGCCTCTAATTCTCATCTCCGCAAGCAGAATCTTCGCCTCCAAGTATTTCCCATCGGCCAAGGCACCCGTAATTCGCGCGGTCAGATTAGCACCCTCTATGGAATAGTTAGCCGCATGTACCAATTAGACTATATGCAGTGGAACCGGCAGTACCAGCACTGTTGACGCCCGTGGTACAGGCCTGGCGGAAATCATAAACTGCCACTCGAAGATCCTTGCATGCCTTCGATTTGGTCAAGCTGGGGTATTGTGCGAGCGCCGTGAGGGTTTCAACCGTGATGTCGAGTTCTTCGTCGGAAACAACGGTGTTAAGGTGCTTTGGCTCGAGATTGGTGCCATCGGGAGGTGGCGTCAAGGTAGTCGAGGACTTGGCTTGTTTCTGGGGATGGTCGATTTGCGCATTACGCTTGCGCTTGGCTGCTTTGGATTTGACCATTGTGGTTTGATTCGATAATGGCTGGCTGTCTGATGCTTGATTGAGACAAGCGGGGATCGGGGTGGACTACACTCACGGAAAATTATCTGCCTATCAACTCCGCCTTGTAGTCTACCAACCAGACATCTGAGTTCGATCCGGTCTTCGAGTTTTTCCGGCCTTTTGTGTGGGGCTACCCATTAGCCAATCAGAAGGCGAATTTCCATCTCTACATGGGACCCATGGGTTCACCATTACGTTGAATTGACGGGCAATCGGTACGAAACCTCGCCTGTGTTGAGCCTCAAGGCAAGTCCAATCTCAGCTTATCAAATTAGACTAAATTTAGTATTTAGGATAGAATTCTATGAGCGAGGATTTTTCACTATATAGACGGTATAGGAAGGTGATGCACTTGTCCGTTCTCTAGAGATCAATTAGGATCACAAAGAGTCATTATATTGAGTTGACATTCAATGAATACACATAATTAAAAGGCCGGTAATTCCTGACGGCCTAGCGAGCCCATGAGCTCCGGCTTTGTCTCCCAAGCACGCAGTTCAGCGGGCTTGTAAGGTGTTCCAGTCCAGCGGTATGATTTGTTGTCGGTCACCTGGAGAGGATTCTTTTGCTGTTTTTGCTCACGCCGTCTTGCATTTGCGCAATATATCAGCAGGAAGGTCGAGATCAGGAGAGGTATTCCAAGGCCGGCTCCCAAACCGGCACCAAGTGCAATTAGATCCGACTTTTCATACACACCCGATGCGACTGTTGGGCATATTGGGGTCGAGTATGTCTCGGAAATTATTCGTGTAACGGTCGTATTATTTCCCGACGAAGTAGTTGTTGGATTGGTCGAGTTGGTTGTTGTGGTCGAAACCATGCCATAATTCGATATGCCAATTTGAGCTGCAGTCACATTGCCTGCCGTCCACTCGTATGTATTCAATGCATTTTCAGGTTTGCAGGCTCCTTCTGCACTAACTTGTTGGCTGCATGTCAGAATCGACGTTGAGCTGTTGCATTGGAACATATTCGCCCATCCGTCGGGAATTTCTAGCAGATGGCAAGTCAGCGAGGATTTCATCAATCATAAAGACGAAGCGAGCAGTTGCCACCTTCATAACACGCCCTTGGGCAATCTGAAATAGGCCATGTTTTATCGGCACAAAGCCCGCGATAAAGGATACCGAAGTTCGCTGTGAAGCAATAACCGTTTGATAGACAAGCTTCGCCTTCAGCGCAACACGAGAGGCTATTAGGGCACTGCCTGTAGCCCGAATTCGTCTTTCCGTTTGGGAAGTAGCATGTCGCATAAGTAGTCGGTATTAGAGATAGCAAGCAAATTGCTGATAGAGGTAAAAGTATATGCTTCATTTGAAAAGTGCCTCTCATCGAAAGGCTATAAGCCAAGCAGGATGTGGACTAAAACTGGCATAAGAAAGACAGAAAAAGAGAGGGGGGAAACGACCGGATACCGCGAGGGGGGTGAATGGATTTAGTGTGTACCTTCTATCGGTTATTAATTTGAAAATCGGGGGCCAGGAAGGAATTAAATGGTTGATTCTTGGACAAAGAAATGAAGGCGCTTATGCACGCTAACGTCTAGCGCAGTGATAAAATGGAGGAAAAAATGCTGGCACGGCGCTTGTAGACCAGCACCAGTTACATTAGTTGTTTCATAGTGGGTAAAAATATGGCGTCCCGAGCCTCATTGGCGAATGAGATAAGGGAGATCCAATATCTATGCTTGGACCTGGAAGCTAAGAATGGATTGAGTTCGAACATCGAGTGGAAAGTTAGAAAGTCTGATTAGCCGCCTGCAAGTCACCTGATAATGAGGCTGAAATCCGGTTTATGACACAACACGATAGATTGAAAATACTCTGCTGAATTGTGTTCCGATCTATTTCATCGAGGAGCGCCCCGAGTTTCTGTGCAATTAAGTCATCTATTACTCAAATTACCATACGAAAATAAGCCTTCACAAGGACATAACAAGTCTCTTCACCTAGCCGCGGTAGCACACTGATTGACATGTGTATAGTTTGGGTGACCTACCCCCCTAATTATTTATACCCTTGGCCCGGTCGTATTAATTAACCTTTGTCACAAAGTCATACAAGACTGGCTATGTGATTACATTTTAAGTTTTTGGAGTTCGTTCCATCCTTCACACTGACTGGTCTCCGTGCCTATTGTTCCGTAAGGCATCAACCAAAAATATCCGGATATATATATGCATTATTAGAGGAAATGAGATGGCTCACCTCAAGTAAGCAGCTAACCTATGTTCTGCCCAATTGAATCCTGTTGTATGTCGCGCACTTGTCTGCTGATCGTTGTCCTACAAGACAACCTTCATCAGTACTCAATGCCGAATGAGCAATATTCTGTGGGGACTTCTCAATGATAATGCAAAAGTGAGCTCATTTGATCAATTCAGCATGGGAAGAGCCAGCAAAGGCTTTTGACAAGCGAGCGACGTGGTAGTTGAAATGATACTCGAGACCTCCAGGATTTCTGTGGGTATCATTCCGAGAATACATCGACTCCACTCGCTCTAAAAAGAACCATGAGACTGCAGAAGCCTATACAGGAACAAGTCCTGGCATCTACGACGTCATACAATTCGCGATAACCAAGACTTTAATTCGACGTGATGTACAAGTATCAAGTTGTTACTCAGACTCGTCAATCTCTGGGGAAGTTTGAATAAAGCACCGGTAGTAGGTCGGCGGATCAGTCCCGTCTTTGTCCTCTGTTGCCCACTTCATTTTGTCGGCTTCGGAGAGCGCATCGACAGTAGCACCATGAAGCTTCAATAAAGTAGTGATATCCTCGTAGCCCTTCATTTCAGCAGCGTATAGTCCAGCATGCCCGTGCTCTGAAGCGCTTAAACCAGCAGAGAGAAGGAACTCAACCATAGAATAATCTCCTCGTAACACAGCAAGCTTTAAAGCTGCTTTCTGTGATCTCACATCATGTTTTAGTAATGCAGAAATCAAGTCTCGCCGACCATCCTCAACGGCACGGTATAAGGGTGAAGGAGTATAGCGCTGTGGATCAGCACCACACTCGAGTAACTTGTTGACTATCTCAAGGTTTCCATACTGCACAGCCGTAAACAAGGGCGGGTTATCAATATCAAGCGAATGACTAAGCCATCGTCTGCCTCTATGTTTTGAGAATGGCTCTCCGGCACGATGTCCGCGATAGAAATTCACCTCTGCGCCAAATTGCAGCAAGGCCTCGATAGCCTCGGTGTTTCTAGTTTGAATACCCACCACTAGAGCATGCTGGATGTTAAGGGTACTCGGAATGCAATATCTTTGCAAGAGAAGTGGGTGAGTGTACACATCCGCCCAGTAAGGATTAGTGGTATTTAGAAACCCCCGTCGAATCATTCCTCTTCCTATCATTCTTCGTAGACAAGGATCTTCGTCGCTTGATTCCTCTTCGTCGCTTAATTCTTCTTCCTCGTTCGAATCATCATCCGTATACCGCTTTGCTTTCCGGGGAGATAACATCTATTATCCGTCAGTCTCATAAGTTCAATTTGTTGTCGAATAGCGTGCTACGGACCCGTGTTGAGTGAGGCCGAGTACGGGCAATATCTAATCCGACCAGAATGGTTCGAATTCGTGGAACAAGCCCGCTGTGCTTAACAGCAAATAAAAGCGCCGATCCATGATTATACTGAGCGTTCCAATAGAGTAGGTACTTCTCAAGGCTTTGGTGTAGGCGACGATTGGTTTTAACCAAGGCGTAGATATTGCGCTGGCTTGAGAGATAGGACGCAATAATCCACAAAATCTCGATGGGTAGCTCGGAAAGGCCCATTTCAGTGTGCGGCACCAAAGCAGAGTCGAAAACTCTCTTTAATCCATAGACACAGGTCTTGTGTCCAAGGCGGAGGCGGAAACCGAAGTAGAATGTTGCCTAAATATTCGCTAGAGCTCGTTTCTGGAGGGTGATCTTTGTAAGAAAGGGAAGAAGGAAGCACCTTGAAGAGATGCATGTAGGAAGGAAAGATCTATCTGAGGTCTGAAGGGTCTATATACAGGAGGGTCAGGTGACACAAACCACCAAGCAAACAAACAACCTTGTTGTTAGTTTATTACACGCGCTATAGCTGCGCTACGAACTGACCGCGCAAAATGTTACAGTAACATCCTTGGAGGACCCACCTAGCTAACTCCCGAGTCATACGTTCACCGTCCTGCACAGTAGCTGGCTTTGTCAATTAGCGCAACAGTAAATTGTCTGTCAAAGCATTTCAAAGTAATAAGCATAGGGCTGTGTGTATTAATGCTTTTACATAGGAGAGTTTTATAAGTGTCTGATCGCTTTTCCTCTGTGGGGCTTGCGGGGAACTAGTGTTAGCTATCTGGATTGTGTTGCGGAGAGAGAGCATCGTAGGCTAGAAAGTATGGTTTGGGTGAAGAGCCTTGGTATATCTTATAAAGCCCCCAAACGCGGGAATTCCAGTTCTTCTGCTATCATCACGATCTTTGATATGAATAAGAAAAAGGGAAGAGTGTTGGTGTTTCTGACTGGTTAATCAAATGCGTAGGCTTTCTCTCCGGTCAAGTCTTGGGGATCGGACACGGATAACTGGCACGGAAAAGGCGTCTTCAATCGACAAGGAGTCATATAAGAAAGACATACCTTTGGACTGTTGAATCGGATATTTCACCCCTGTTCTCATTCATACTTGAAAATGGAAAACAAACCTATCGTGCTCCATCTTGGCGACGCCATCAAGTACAACCATGCCTTCTACAACGATGAATTTCTAGCACGGTTCAACGTTATCCAGGCAACTGAGACGGACAGAGAAGGGTTTATTGAAGCTCTAAAGTCAAAGAAGTAACCAAAGCGGTCCAGTTCCAATTTTGAATCGTTATTGACTGATCGCCATGCCAGATACGGCGACTTTTCAGCGTTGTTGCGCCTGCACTTCCAGACTGGAGGCTTCATGGGCCAATGGGACTCTGAGCTCATCTCGCTCCTGCCAAAAGTGTACGAATCTTCGCTTCTGCCGGTGCGGGATTCAACTAGGCCGACGTTGACGTCCTTGGCGAGCACAAAATTTGGTATGCCAACGGCGCAGGGACCTCAGATGAGGCAGTTTCTGATACCGCGCTGTACATGATTCTGAGCGTGTTCCGGAATTTTACCCATTCGCAACTAGCAGCAAGAACGGCAGATCCCGATATATTCACAGCAACTCATAAATTGACTGCGACCATTTCTCAGAATCCGCGAGGTCATATCTTGGGTGTGGTTGGGTTCGGAATTATCAGCAAGAAGCTTGCTTTCAAAACGCGGATGGCGCTTGGGATGAAGATTCATTATTTCGACATTCTTCGAGCCGATATAAAGAGGAACAGGTGTTGGAAGCGACATATCATGAATCTTTGGACGAGTTATTAAGGGTCGGCGATTGCATTACACCCTACACACCTCTTAACAAGCCTTAACAAGCACACCCAGGATTTGATCGATGCCAAAGCGCTATCATTGATGAAGTCAGGGAGCAGAATTGTTAATACAGCCAGAGGTCGAATTCTGAATGAGGACGCCTTGATCCATGTGTTGGAAATAGGACATATCTCTGCTGCTGCGCTGGATGTGCATTACAATAAGCCGCAAGTTTCACCGAAGCTGGCTAGCATGGACAACGTCACCCTCACTACCCATATTGGAGAATCAATTTTGAATTAAATGCCATGAAAAACATTCTTGTTCTGGTGGGACCGGATGGGGAGTTTGCTGGGGATCCAATTACACCTGTGAATAGGAAAGCTTTTGGAGCAGTATGATAGAGCGAACCTTGACTCGCCAACGAGCTCATCCATTTGGCGTATCATTCAACCTTTGTGTGGTCAAGAGTCTAACAGTATCTCAAGATAGTCTAACATTCCAGAGTGTACAAATCTCCATTTAATTACCTTTCTCTCCACCTTCCGGCAAGTTCCCTTCATCCTCTGAAGATTCGACTTCAGCCAAAGCGGCGCTCTGATCTTTATCTGCCTTGTTACCCTCTCCCTTAAATGTACCCTTTTCAGTGGGAGCAGACACAAGCTTCGCAGCCGGGATACCGCCGGACGTGCAGTACAGGAAGAAGTTGTTCTGGAAATGATCGATGTGGTTGAAGAAATTGCCAAATCTGCAAGCAATATGTTAGCAAACAAGCCAAAAGTTGAGATATACTGTGAGATCAGGATCGCTTACGCTGACGTCTGTTCTTCCTCACGGAAGATTCTATCGTAGATTTCGCGCTGTTTGAACTCGTCCATCTCCTTTGTGAACCTCTCGAAATGAACAGGACCACGTCCCAAACTGCTGGCCTTGGCGTTGTAGCTGTCGAAGATGGGTCGCTCAAGCAATAGTCCCAGTCCAGGGGCCTTGGGAATGGCGATTCGATCGGGCCCGTACGACTCCTTAATGCGGTCCGGGTGGCAGCCGCAACGAACGACAAGCGAGGCCATGGCAACCATTTTGCGAATTTGGTGCATCATGAAGCTCTGGCCGTGGACCTTCAGGCTAAGCCACTCGGTACCGTTGATGACGACGGGGGTCGTGTTGACATTGAAGGACTTGATGTGACGCTTGGCCGACGGGTCCTTGAAGGTCTTTTGAATAGTATAGTTGTGGAAGTTCGGGGTGCCAACATATCGGTCAAGGGCCCCTTGCAAGCGGGCAATGCGGGAGGCAGGAGCCCGATAGGCTCGGCGGGCCTTGATGTAAGCTGCCTTGACAGCCTTGGTGGTGTCGAGAATCAGCCTTTGGCGAGGATCCATGACAAAAGGCTGGTCCTCTTTTGACTGCTCAGCGCTAGACTCTTCGGACTGCTTGGGTTCCTCAACAGGTTCCGCAACGGGTTGATCCTCCTTATCAAGGTCTTCCGGAGTCACGTCGCTAGAGGAGAGAGATTGTTGAACAATGTTCCGGATATCCTCTGGAACATTATCCAGAATAGGCTTAATATACTCCTCGTCCACCTTCTCCCAGTAACCGGTGACATCTTCCTGTCGGGCGTTGACATCATCCAAGTCGCCTGCCTTCTCGGCCAGCTCCACAATCTTCCTTCCCATATATGTACTGGGGTGGGGAGGGAGAAGACAATGACTTGGAAGCAGATACTCATATACTCGAGAGTCACACATCTGATAACAGCTGAAACTCTTGGCCGTCTGCTCCAATCCCCAGACTCGGATCTGCGGGCTGAGGTGCTGGTTGATCTTCTCGACGATGTCTGGGTCTTCGATAATCATCTTGAGGGAGACAACATTGCCCGCGGCGTGGACACCCTTGTCAGTACGGGCACAGCGAATAAAGGAGGACTTTTTGGGGTCCGTCGCATTAGCTTTGGAAATTGCGCCAGCTGCGACCAAAGCCGAAAACAGCTCGCCTTCAATAGTCGGCTTGTCCTCAATCCTAACAAGAGAGATATTAGCAACCAATGATTCGGATGTCCTAGCGAGACCTTCACGTACAATTGCATGCCGTAGTAACCAGTTCCCGAATACCCGATCATGACCGCAACCTTCTTCTTTGGGCGACGCTCCTCGTTGTCAATTTCTTCCTTGGAGAACTCGGTCGCGTAGATTGGGTTGGTGACTTGTTCGCCGTTCTCGATCTTGCGACGCTTGGCCGCTTCCCGTTCTTCAGCGCGCTTTCTCTTGTCTAGAGCTTGTCGACTCCCTTGGTTAGCCGCTAGGCTCGATCGCGTAGGTTATACCCCATGCAACATACCTCCATTCTGACCTTCCCATATTACGGTTCTTACGCTTTCCACCAGCGCCCTCTCCTCCTGCAGTGTTGTCGGCCATTGTACTCGTTTGAAGAGTTCTGTGAGCTCGGTTTCGGCTTTAGATTCGATGTGTAGAGATCGGGCGTATTGTCTAGCGAAGCTATGTACGCGGGAAGTGGGAGAGAATTGGCGAGATACCGGTGCTTGGACAGAGGAGAAAAGTCCAGCAAGATTGCGCTGCAAGAGGGTAGAGGCGCGCATGAACTCGAGTTTCATCAAAGAGGTTCGCGACCTTCGCAGCTGGCGGCCGCGGACATTTTCGACAGCGGAGTGCACTAGTCCTGTTTAGGTTTAGCGTGACGTATAACACTAGTCTCGCCTAGGCAATTCATCACCTCAGGCAACAAGGCCACTACCCTTGACTTGAAGCTTTCTCAGCCACAATTCAACCAGCATCTTTGTACTGGTTCGATCTGGCGCATCTGCCTTGCGCTTCCTTGCGCTGTCACTCCCTTCTCTTACTTGGACCTGCCCTCGCGACGAGTCTGTGAGAGATGATGATCTTTCCTGCTTCATAAACCTCCACCACCAGAAGCTTTGTCTTCCTACTCTCCCAGCCTCGAGCTACCTCCCACAGCCGACCTTACGCTCGCTACTCATCCGTCGCAATCATGGATCTCGCCAACACGCTCATTCGGAGCGTCGTGCGCGCCTTCTACGAGACTCGCCATATCTTGGTCGTTGATGCGCTGTTCCTTCACTCAGTGTAAGATTGGGACGAAACTGGATGAGAGATGTCCAATTAGCTGACATGGCACAGGCTTCATGCAGAAGATCTCGCCTTTTTGATGGGCATGCAGCAGAAGGACTTGCGCAAGCTCTGCGCACGTCTACGAGAAGATCGCTTAATTGGAGTGTACGGCTTGCTTCCTTGAACTGGGCCGGAGAGCTCCAAGGCTAATTAGGAGTCAACTACAGGAGCACGCGCGCTGAAATTCGCGATGGATCTACCCGCCCCGTCAATCGCGAATACTACTACATTCCTCTCCACCCGGTCATCGATGCCATCAAGTACAAGGTCTCCAAATTGACCTCGACGATCAAGGAGCAATACACACCGAGCGAAGAGCGCAAGGAGTACATGTGTCCACGATGCTTGGCGGAATGGACCGAGCTGGACGTTTTGAGTCTGGTCTCCGAGGAAGGCTTTGAATGTCAAAATTGCGGCGCGATCCTGGAGCGAACTGAAGATCTCAAGGGCGAGGAGGGCATTGACCGGACTGGCCACGAGAAGAACAGCAAGCTGATGGCCCAGCTTGACAACATGCTCAAGCTCCTGAAGCAGATTGACTCCGTGGAAATCCCACCCAACGACTTTGACACCGCCTGGGATCACAAGGTCGAGGTCCCCCGCAACCTGAGCACCCACCCAATTCGCGCGGCCATTCCCGTTCCGCCCAAGCCACAGGATGTGGTGCGTGGGAATATCAAGACCGATGCTGCAGCTCTGGAGATCTCTCTCACATCGAGCGAAGAAAAGAGTGCCGCCGAGCAAGCCGAGGAAGCTGCTCGCAAGGCCGCCGTGGAAAAGCAAAACGCTTTGCCCGTATGGCACACTCATTCTACCGTCGATGCTACTACCCCTGCTCAGGTCAGAACCGAGGCGGGCGTTTCTATTAAACCCGAGCTTGAAGATGAGGACGTCAAGCCCACTATGGACGCATCGGACGACAAAATTGCCGCCTACTACGCTGAGATGGAGAGAGAAAAGGCTCTCCAAGCTCAAGAAGATGCTAGTAGTGCGGAGGATTCCGACGATTTCGATGATGAATTCGAAGATGTTGGTGTTTCCGACCCCAGTGGACCAGGAACTCCAGCTACTGGACCTGGTCCAACCAGTGTCCCTACTCCTTCTGGGATGACAGGTATCAAGAGGGAACACGACACCTCTAGTGCTGCCCCATCCTCCGTTGGCACCCCGTCTACTCCCGCTGATGATGGTCCCGTGATGAAGCGGATAAAGATGGAGTCCGGTTCCATTGCCGAGCCTGTCAAGTCTGATCCTGATGTAAAGGCCGAGCCGGAGGTGAAGGACGAAGAATCCGACGAGGATGAAGAAGAATTTGAGGACGTGTGAGGACGTGTGATCTTGCGCCGGTGAATCCTCCCCTTTTTTTCATCATGGCGTTTAAAATAATAGACAGGCGGTTCAACCTTGGAAATTTTGGCGCAGGCGCCTTGCAAGCTACGAAAGCTGATATCGAAATGAATACTCAATAAAATAGCTTCTCGTGTGTTCCACTAGACTCTCGCTGTTCGTAGGAATCCTGTGAGTACCTCGAGCCTGCTCTGTTTGATCAACTGCTTCGATTCGGCCCTCTAGACAGTGGCTCTTTCCATATTCGAGCAGAAACCAGCACTTGCCTCTTTACGCTTAAACCAGGAACTTTCCAGTATAAATACATCCCCTCTGCTCAATCATGATCTTCTTCTCCTCCAAAGTTATCCCGCTTCAACTACTCCATCTCCATCTCCTCCTCTAACTCTACAGCACACAACGTCTCTACAGCAACAAACCTCGCCATCACGACAAGATGGCTCCCACCACCTACGTAAGTATCCTCCAATCCACCATACCATCATCATCACACATTCCCATCCCCATCCGAATCTCCTCTAACCTCACTCTTCTCAGCTCTCCAACCACGCCGTCCGCCAAGCAATCGACCAACTCCGCCCAAACCACCCAGGCCGAAACAGCGCCATCCTCGGAATCTGGAACAGCATCCTCTCAACCCAATTTCCAACCTGGCAAGGCTACCTCGTCAGTCCCCGCGAACACGGCTGGTACAACGAACGCGACCTATGGTACGACATGCAAGTGCAACACCTCCGCGGCGGACCCACCAACAACCAAAACTCGAACTCGAACATCTTCCTTGTCGTGATCTGCCGTACCGCCGCCGAACATCACAATATCAACGAGGGACTACCGCAGTGGACAACTCATTTGGAGCTGTACCTGGATTCGATCTTCGGACGTCGTCGTCAGCCTGGTCGTCCTGTTCGTGTTTACGGGGTGATTGCGCATGGACTGGGTGCGACGTTCTTCTCGTATGATATCGGGGAACATATGCCTATGTTGATCTTCCGGGAGCATGAAATGGATGAGAAGCCTGCGTATCATTTGGTGGAGGATCATGAGATGATTCAGGAGTTCCTGGATAATATTCGTGTTCGCCACTAGGGGGTTGAATGGTTGCAGGTGGATCTGGTTCATGGACCTGGTGATTCGGGTTTAGTGATTTTGGTTCGAAGACTTCTAGCATCTACTGATCTGGGAGATTCACAGACGGCGTTGGGAGGTGGCGTTCAAAGTGATACTTGGTGTCTTACTTAGTTTATGCTACCTAGCCCAATCAGCAAGTGATATTGAATGTTTCTTACCTTTCAAAGGCCTAACCTCGTAGAAGTATTCACGCCTTTGTTGTATCTGCTCTGCTACGAATGGGAAACACTACCGAGAAGTAAAGTATTATACAAGATGTCTTGTATGTATTCAGGGAGAGTAAAAGTCTCCTGCAAAAACGCCATTCAGTGCAACATTTGAAGAGGGTGACCGTGACCCCTGTTCAACCACAACAAAGTAACGCCCGTCTCCACAATGCAGAGAGGTGAAAAAAATCAAACTTGCACCCAGGTCATCAAATCGTGAAATGATCTTGCCATCATAGCCATGTCGCTCGCCGTGCAAGATAAATGAGCCCAACCACAGCCAGAAAAAGGCCAGACGCCGAATAAACAAAAATCAGAAATGTCAAAACTGTACGAAATTTGCTGCCTTGCCAGATGTTCAAGGGGTTCCAGCGAGACCCATCTCCGAGTCACTAGCCAAAGCGGACGTAGCTTCCCACTCCTCTGGTGAAGCGATATCAGAATCTGGGTTCCCAAGTTAGGAAATGGGAAATCTCAATCTTAGGGGGAGGCACAGGGATGACGTACCTGAGACGAGGTCATCTGGGACATCGACTGTCATTTCTTGCAGACGTAGCAAGATGGCTGTAGGAAATGATGTCAGTAAATACTCGAACATGGTATGGAAAATTGCCCGCAAATGGCAGGTTAATACTTACTGTTAGCCCGTTCAATGTCTCTCTGGTCATCCTCGTCATCCTCATCAAAGTAAGTCTCCAGGCAATGGGTGACAGTCGAGGTAATAGGATAGACAATCCGAGACTCGACGCTGTGAACCTGGCTGTTCAGGAAAGCGCTGGCGATCCGCTGAACACAGGCATGAGTGAGTTCGCGAGCAATGCGGGCTAGTCGAGTTCGTGCCTCCTCAATCATCTCGTCCTTATCGCCGATGAAGAGCAAGCCGCGCAAGACCTCGGTGGTGCGTCGTCGAACATTTGGATGGTTGTAGATCAACAGAGTTGGAACGAAATCGGGAATTCGATCTTGGACGGCCTCAATGAACCAGTCAGGATCCAACCCAAGTTGCTCGTTGTTAACGTTGCACAGTTGAGTGAAGAACTCCAGATGCTCGTTTCCTGCGCTGTTGTTGATAGAATCCACTCCCTTTGCAACGTAGCTGATCAAGCCAACGATTGCATCCTCGTCTGAAGCATACTTGCAGAAAGTGACGGCACACTCGAGGAATGGAATGCACAGTTCAACAGGCGAGAAGCGTAGGCCAACCTCCAAGGTCCTCAAGACGTGTGGCGCAAAACCGGCTTCTGGCCCGGCTGCCAGGAACGCAGCAACAATTGCCCGAGAGACCTCTGCTTGGACACAGATCTGATCATGCTGAAGCAGCTTCATCAAGAACACAAGAACTCCGTTTTCATCTTCGGGCTTCTGGAACTCCAAGGGCTTGATGAATCGATTTTCCGCCGCAGTAAGCGAAGGCCTGCCGTCACGTCCAAATTCACGAGGATCATTGGGGGCGGATGGCGCGAGCGAGAGGTCGACACGCTGGAAGAGCATCGCACAAAAGGTCATCAAGTTTCTGTACGGAAACTGGCGACCCTTCTCAAGCAGTCGACAATAGCCGGGATACCGCCCCTTCAAGTTCTTCCGGTCTTCAGAATCCAGCCAGATGATCTCCAAGCATTTGACGAGCATACCATTAGCAAGCATGGCATTCGTGGCCTCTTCTCCCAACTCGATGAGTTTGATGAGGAACTCAAAATACTCATCCCACACACGAGGAATGGTATGGAGAGCGGGCCAAAGGTCCGCAAGCATGGACACAATGGTATCGAGAGTTTCCTCAAGTTCTTGCTGCCACGTGGCTCGCGTTTCGTCATCCATGCCTGCTCCTTGCAAACAGATCTTCAGGCAACGCACGGCCTCTAGGATGATAGACATCTCCTTCTGCCGAACATCGTACTGGAAGATTCTCAAGACTAGGTTTCGCATGGTAGTTGGCCATCGAGCAAACCAGTGGAGCGCACGAAGAGCACCATGTGGGCTTTGAATTAGCGTCCTGAGTTCCTCGTAGACACCAAGAAGGCCGATGGGCTCTTTGGTTCGTGCGATCAACTGCTCCAGAGTGTCCAGGCCAAGTTCAATTGCCATGACCTGCAGCTGATGGTGTGCCGCAGAGTTTGGATTCATCTGTCGGACGCGATACAACAGCTCCGGAACTAGCTTCATATAAGCTGGTTCCAGAAGACAGTATGTCCGAATGAACAACTCATTGTCCATGGCAATGTGGTTCGCAAAGGCTGTTGGTACAGGAACTCGGGCAGGATAGCTGGGCTTCATTGGCTGGGAGACCTGCTTGGTCTGTTCCATCGTGGAGACACGCTGGTAGAACAGCATGTAAGCGTTCCAGACCTTGTTGATCTGCACACCTCCCATATTATGGCCAGCCTCAGTCTGACCTCCAAAGCAGTGATCCGCAATGGTTGTCGGATCAAACTTGGACACGTCCGAGTCATTGAATTCAACCCATATCGGCGCCGAACCGCTCGATGATCGCTCGCGAGTGTAGGAGTAGTAATGACCCGATTCCGCAGTGCCAGTATGCACTAGAACACCAACCAGTTCAAAGACGTCAGGGTCGACAGGAGTGCTGGGTTCAGACAGATGTTCCACCTTGTACGGCGTCATATCAATGAGCCGGGGAAACTGGAACTTATCGTTGATCTTGCTTCGCATCATGGTGACCATGTCAAAGTCGAACCGCTTGAGATGGAAAATCAAGTTATCTGGAACATCCTTCAGACAAGCCCGCTTCACCGCATCCACATGGCGACCGCAGCCCGAGCAGAAGTACTTGTTGTCTCCCTGCATGATCTCTCCTTCAACATACGCTTGCAGACTCTTGTCTAGGCTAGCCTTGCCCTTGATGTCGCATTGGATGGCAGAGAACGGCTCCTCTCGTTCCGAAATGTGTGAGCACTCCTTGGACTTGATCTGCTGAACCAGTTGGCCGCCATAGAAAGATCGGAATTTCTTCTTCTCCTCTGGGTCCATGATTTGGGCTTCCCATCGGTCAAAGAGCAGATTGTAGAACTCATCAACATCCATTTGAATGGTAACATCGATGGCCTCATTGTCGTAAGTGCGAATGCTCTCCACAAAGCCCTCCGGGTCGACGCTCTTCATCCACGTATCCTGCATCCATGCAAAGAGCTTCTGCGTCTCATCGAGAAGTTTCTGAGACTCATTCGGATCCAGGATGCTGAGTCCCAACAAGAACTTGCGGAATTCGGAGTTCATGAAGAGCTGTGTCATCAGGGAGTTCAAATAGCACGTGTTTGAAAGGTTCCGAAGACCGGCATACCCCTCTGGGGCTCGGATCATCTTGGAACGGTCATGGCACCAGGTCGGACTGTATGATTCATCTATGAAGAGAAAGTTGTTAGTAAGGAACTCGCAGGGCACAAATAAGGCACCATGAGACAAACCTCGCGGGATCACGCCTTCCAGATGCTGCATGATGCGTGCAACATTTTCGTCATTTCGCTTGCACAGTAGCCGGAGAATATTGTAGAGCTTTTGGCGCGTCTCGGTGTGCATGTGAGGGGTGCGAGGGACGATGACTTCATCGGTTTCATTAGCAAGCTCTGGGAATAGATACTTGCTTATGATTTGCTCCGCAAGATCGCTATAAAAAAGAAAACGGACTCATGTCAGCTAGGGTCATCACAAAGAATTCTCACGAAAGAACATACAAGGTTTCCAAGTCAACATTGGCCGCGTCTGCAGACTCAAGACACTGCTCTAAGAGACCGGCGAAGCCTAGAACCAGGCTATCCACTGGCTCGCGTCCGATGAACTGTATTCAAATTAGCAGAGCCTTTTTCTTCAGGTTAAAGTCAATTGAATCATACCTCTTCAGTTTCATGCTGCAGCATGATTTCACTCCATTGCTTCAGATATTGGCTGAAAATGACATCCCGGGGTGATTTCTCAGCAACCGAGCGGAACACCCCGAGAGCGACATTGAAGAACTCGGCAGATTGAGACGCATACTCCGGAGTCATTGGGATTGTCTCAACAAATGCGTTCCAGACAGCGGCGAGCATATCAATCTGAGCAGGGCTGTTAAGGGTGGATAGAATCGGTGAGTTGCCATTAGCCAACTTTGATGACTGTTTCATGGACTTTGCCGAACTGCAAGTTCTCCTGATCCTCTCCGAAACATCACTCCGGATGGGCTGGCGAGTCTCCTCCAGAAGTAATGCCTTGATCAATGAGCCAAGTTGCGTCTGTTGTTTGACGGCGCTCCAGAAAGTCTGATCACGGATCGATCCTTCCACCAGAACGCCAAAGGAGTTGCACACCAACTTTTGGATGGTTAACATGTTCACTGAAGGCTTTGTAGTCACGGAACGAGCAGCCTCAATGAAGTGAAGCAGCCGTCTGACGAACGGGGTCTGGCCCTGCGCCACCAAATTTCCACTGTCGGTCGCCTTGTAGAGGGCAACAGCGTCCAAAAGACACTCAACGGCGGTCGAAGCAAGATGAAGGCGATTCCGGTCCCGGGTAAGCGACTCGACTAGTTCATCTGCCATCAGGAATGTCAACAGAAGCTCGATGCTGTGAGCGATAAATGTCTGGTTGTGAGTATCTTCCAGTGCTTCCTCGATGAGACAAGCCAGAAGCGCACTGAATGAGTAGAAAGCCACAAAGGGTTTGTCAAAGGGAAACAAATCCTTGGCAGTGCTGGTATCCGATTTGACAAGGTTCCGCACTCTGGGCTGGGGCGAGAACGTCACAAGGAATTCATAGATCTAGGAAAAGCACTGAGTTAGCATAACAATTCATATAATTTAGAAGCGTGCCGTTGGTTAACATACCTCGCGCGCAAGATCATCATTCAGGGTGAGCAAATCATAAAGCTCATCAAAGTGCTTCAACACTTCAGAGTCAACCGACGTAAGCGGCTGCCCTCCACTGCTGGCATAGAACACTTCCTTGGCGTCTGGTGCCTTTCGAACGAGAAGAAGACCGGCGTGAAGAACCTTCATATCCCTGACGGTGGTTTCTGGGTCCTTCATCAAGTCAACCCGTTGACCTCCAGCAATTGATGTGAACTTGGAAAAACCGGTCAGCTGCGTAAGCCGTTCAACCAGTTCGCCAGCGGTTGACAGGTCACCAATCTGGAGATTCTTGACTTTGGAACTCTCACTTCCATTGAAGGACTGCCAAGAGATATTGATCGGGTCGCCTCTGATAGGCCGCTCTGGAAGCACAGGCGGGGAGCCTCTGGGAGAGTTGTAATGAGGGCGAGCACGCAGGCCGCTCAGTAGTTGGTGAAGAAAATAGAGCGAGCGTCGGAATCGAAGTTCTTCGGGGCTCATATCACCGGTTTCAGTCTCAGACTCCATGGAAGAATCTCCGTTAGCCTCTGATGTAGCCTTCAGGATTGCAGCGGCCGACTTGAGCTGATCCACACAGCGCTCGACGAGGGAGATATGTGTGGCCTCAATGGCAGATCGTGGCGAATGAGTGATAATTGCATGATCCAGGTAAACCTTGACGGCAAATTCAGTGGCCTGTACTTCAATTGTACCAGGTGGAGCGGTCAAGATAAAGGTCCAGAACCGATCCATGCCGGGGATTGTGACGACCTCGTCCTCACCGGCAGGGGGTGGTGGGTTGAATCGAACTTCATATATCATAGCTTGCTTTGCAAATGACAAGATCTCATTGGTGTAGTCTTTGGGAGCCAGACTGGGGAGGTACTCGTGGATGCACTTGTGGAGGAAGGGATTCGCCTCGGTACATTGACCCAGAGCGTTGACCAGCATATGCCACATAGCTTGGCGTTCGTCTGTACGCAACTTCTTGGACAACAAGATATCATCCCACAAGGCTTTTCCAAGCTCAGGAGTTATCGTCTCGGGAACCATGTCAATCAGTCGGAAAATGATAGTCAGCCGTGAGACCAGGCCGATCTGGAAAAACTCGTCGGTGGAGGTATCATTATGAACTTTGATGGCATGCAGCATGTCGCCAATCACCAAGGCCGTCAGGCTAAAGTCCCTCGCCAGTTTCAACATCTCCTGTACATCATGGGCGGGGACAAGAGCGCTCAGAGTTTGGATGCTGCCAGCAGTGAACTGGTTGTGGCCGGCAATGTCTGTAATGCAGCGCATGTAGATCGCCATCCGATCAGCCTGGCTGATTCCAGCGGCGACGAAGCCCATGAGCCTCTGGCTGCCGAACTTTTGCAGACTCTTCTTCTGCTCCACCGAGAGATCGTCCGCGGCCGTGCTGTCTCGGATGAGGCGAACACAGAGTTGCACGGGACGTGCGTCGATACAGTCGTGGTCAGAAACGCCCGAGATTCGTCGGTCGGGGGGATTCTCGCAAATTCGAGCGAGCAACTTGTTGCAAAATTCGAGCATGTTCGTATCGAAGCGGCTGAGAGGCAAATCTAATACTTTCTGGCAAACATATAGCAAGTAGTGAGAGCCAGTGAGATGCATGTTAAATGTCCGAACTAGCATCGCTAGGACCTCGGAAACGATTCGACCGTCTTGACTGTCTGTTACTGTCTTCCAGATGACATTCGTCACAGAGTCGTTATACGTGTCCGTGACAATCAGGAACCCGATGATATTGCTGCTTCGGCTGATCAACTGGGGGTGTGAGTCCACACCCACGAGGTAATCCACGATCTTGTTGTTTTTGATGAAGCGGACCAGTGCCTTCACAAACGGCAGATTGACCCCTTCCGGATTTGAAGAGATGCTGGTCCTCCAAACGTGAACCAGGTCTGACTGCATTGTCTCCACACCATAAACCCGGAGCTCCATGCGACCTTCCATGATGTGCTTCTTGAGGACTGCGAGCTTCCACATCCAGAAAAGGATCAAGGAATTCTCTGCTTGGCTGGTGTTCTCCGGCAGGAGGATAGAAAGATCCTTCGCCAACTGGTTCACAAACTCGGAGTTGCGCGCACAGTGGTGTTTGTAGTGATGGGAGATTGCACGCATCAATTGTTCACTCAAATCGCTCGTAGCCCAAGCTGCCTTCTTGCTGATCCATTCCTGATACTTTTCATCGATTGAACGAACCATCTCATAGAGGGCACGGATCGGAGGAGTATCGGGTAAGGGGGAATCGATATCATCCACATTCACATCGCTCTGGCGTTCGAGATGACAATCTGCCAGAGCATTCGCGATGAGCATGATGTGGCCCAGCGAGCTGGTCAAGTGTGGGTGTCGAGGAATGAGTTCGAGAGTGAGAGCGGTCCATTGTGACAGTGTATGGACGAGATCAATCGGAGGTGCAAGTGCTTTTGCCCGAATGCGGACAAGCATGTCGTTCGTATCTGTGGGGTATTTTTTGTCCAGAGCTCGGTACAGAGGGATTGGTGACTTGGGGGAAAGGAAAACAAAGGTGAGAGCCTGAAGGTAGTCTTTGCAGATGCTGTCTTGGACTGGAAGCTCCGGATCATCGACCAGATGGCGGAGGATCACGGTGTCGATGCGCATGACCTGTAGGGCGATTTGTACATAATCTAGGAGAAACTCCTCCAAGCAGGTCCATGGGCCACTGCCTGAGCCATCATCGATCAACAACTCATAACTAGATAAGCAAGTTAGCTCCTGTGTATATGATTCCGTCTCGGTATGGGGGACGGAAACTCACGATCTGCGCAACAAACTCTCCACCACGTCGGGAAACTGCTGCCAAAATTCCTGGTCTTCGCCAAATTCTTCGAGGGTCAGGCGATCCAGGTTCTTGACACAGTCGTCCATCCAGGTCTTCACCGCGGAGGCAGCCTCGGCATCGCGAGGACCAGCTGTTCGAGCAAATCTTAATACTACAAATTTTACCATCATTTGGAGACAGAGGTCTTACCTTTCTGGATCAAAGCCACAATTCTGACCAGATTATCCCGCGTACTCAGGTTCTCACGCACTCTTGGGAAAGAGTCGACCAGAGGCGAGGCTAGGTCCTCAACCTCGACCACCTCTTCTTCCTGTATCGCGTCTTCCAGTCGTTGCCAATTTTCATCCATGTCTTCAGGATCACCAGCTTGGATCTCTGGGCTGTGTGCGGGAGAGGAGGAAATAGAAATCACGTCTGAGGCGGCCTCGTTGGGGTCGGTCGAGTCCGGTCGCGTCGGAGTGCCATCAGGCACCGGTGAGGGATCGCGCATCCCGTTCGCGATGTCAGTTTCCAAGGTGGGAGACTTCACATTGATGGTGACTTTTGCGGGGCGGGTCTGGTCTGGAGTAGTGTCCATCTCCAAGGAAGGCACCGGCGGTGGAGTCGCGACAGCAGAGGCAGGAGCAGAAGCTGAAGGAGGAACAGCCGCAGCGTCAATCGAGATGAGAGGACTGACACCACTGCCACTATCCAGCCGCGGCCGTTTCTGGACCCGCTCAGGGTCAGGCTCTTCCATCGGGTCGTTCTGAGGTCGCGTGGGATCAATCAATGGCGCGCCAGGCGGGGTGCGATAGCTCGCTGGCGGGGATCCGACCATGTCATTTCCTCACGCCGAGGCGGGCATCTGGTGGGAGAGAGGTGAGGTAAGTAAGTGGTGGTAAGAGAGAGACGTTTGCGAGGAAGTACCGGAGAAATGTGTGTGTAGGATGAGAGGAAGATGAGGCGTGTTTTGGCGGGGGAGAGATTCAGTGATCCGGCGATCGACAGCTTTTTTGGGGGACGCGAGAGATGACTGCCGATTGGGGATCGGTGACGTTGTGCTGTGGAGATTCATGAACAGGATCAGCCCCGTGCAGATATTCTTTGACAAGAATATTTACCTGAGTGTACCTACTGTAGCTATGAACTTCATAGTTGCATTTAATTTTTCTTTTTTTAGTATCTACTGCATAGTAATTTTCTTTGTTCTGGTTAACCACTACACTGCCTACAGTAACTTGGAGCGGGTCTAGGCACACAACATAAATTGTCCGTAGCTGAGTCGCCAGGAACCCACTGTGGGATGACCATGAAGTATATGCAAACACTATCACATCATATGCTTCTAGACAGTACTAGAAGTACAGTAACACTCATTCTGGTGCTATAGACAGCTTTTATTTTTATTTTTTTTTTTCAAATCAGGCTTATCAAATCTATATCGCTGACTGGGCCAGGCCTGCATGGCATAGATGGAACTTTAAAATATAGTTACCATAGTCCAAGGTATACTGTACAAGAGAGCGTCCCGTTACGAAGAATCCAATCTTGCTTTTGACTTGGACTTCTCTCTCTTTCCAACATCTCTTGCACATACCAGATAGTTCTTTTATTCTTTCATGGTCGTCTCAATCTTCCGAATAATCCTGGCCGGGTTCCCAGCAACTACATGAAAGGGCGGCACATCCTGTTTGGAAACCAGATCAGCAAACACTATACCATGCAAAAAGGTAATGTAATGGTAGCCATCCGACAGCAAAATCCATCCACTAGGCTTCTACGGCCTGGGCAGAGGCATAGAAAATAGAGATCAAAAGAAGATATACAAGAAAGAGAACATACCTTAGTAACCACACTGCCTGCACCAACAGTCGAACCCTTTCCAATCGTCACTCCCGGAAGGATAGTAACATTACCCCCAATCCAACAATCCTCACCAATAGTAATCGGAGCTCCCATCTCAGGACCCTCCATGCCATTCCGCACAGCCGGATCAACAGGGTGGGTACCCGCGAACAAGCTCACATTAGGCCCAAACAGAGTCCGGGAGCCAATCGTAATGGGCAAGCTGTCAATCATGACACAGTTGGAGTTGATGAATACATTTTTGCCAATGATCACGTTGAAGCCATAGTCTGCTTTGACGGGTGGTTCAATCCAGGGCTCGTCTTTGAAGAGCTCGTCGTCTGCCACGGGGTCATCCAGTCGTGGTGGAAGAGGAGTTTTGTCCTCGATGACACTGACAGAACAAGAAGGTTAGATAGATATTCTGTATAGTATCTGAAAGGTAGAAGAGGGTGTATATGACAGATGTACATACTTACTCTTTCCAGAGCTCGACTAAACGTCTCCGTGGTACTTCACCGGCATTGTTGTATCGAGTGTAGGCATATTTGCAGCGATTCCGAGCGGCAATCAGGTCCGGGGTGAAGGAAACAAAGAGCTCTCCTCGGAGCATCTTCTCGCGTTCAGTAAGTTCCGCCATTGTTCTGATTAGAAACTCAAAATATCGAATTTATCTTTGATCGCAAGCTGGAGTTCTCAGTACAGTATTATGAAAGTCTCAACGTGTCGTCGAAACAGTCTCCTCAGGCCACATAAGGCAAGGCCTGAGCCGAGCCAAGTGGGGGTGATTCTGGTGAAAATGGGGGGGCAACGGGACGGAGTTAACGAAAAGCAAGAGAGACTAGAGGCTAAGACTGGTAGAAGCTCGGCCCATGTCCGCTCTGGTTGGAAGCGGAGCTGTGCGGCGGAGGACAACAATCAAATCTCCATCGATTGTTCTCAATCCGCCACACACTCTCTCTTTCAACAACTCCAACACGAGCACAATGAAACATGCTCTAGTCATTCTTTAAAAGGGCAACCCCCGCCGCGCTCGTGTTCGTTCCATCCTGAAACATTCATCCCCTATTCCTTCGCCACTACGGAACAGAGTATATTACCACGCCTACAACCCCCCACATCCACATTCCGGGCCAGAGCTCCAAGTAATCCTCATTCCCTCTCTTCAAAATGGCCGACGCAACAACCTCCAGCTCTCAAGCTACCCCCGGCGACCCAAACATCTCCTGGCCAATCGAGCGTCTCGCACACACCACCGATTCCGAATGGCACCCGTCCTTCTCAAACCAGCGCCGCGGCTCAAACGCAAGCTCCAGCTCGAGCTCCTCCTCCCAGCCAGACCTCGATCGATCTAACTATCCCGATGGCACAAAGTCGCTATCAGGCATCTCCCTCCGCGCCTTCTTACTGGGCACCACCCTCGGCGCAACAAGCATCCTCACAATCCTCCTAACCACGATCTCGCCGACCCCGTTCTGGCGCGTACCGTTCTTCGTCGCTGCGCTGAGCCTCTTCCATTTCCTTGAATATTACGTCACGGCGCGGTATAACACTCGCTATGCATCGGTGGGTGCATTCCTTCTCACCTCGAATGGATGGGCATATAACGTGGCGCACGGGTCTGCCATTGTGGAGTGTATCGTGGCGCATTTCTTTTGGCCGGAGGCTAGTCGGGTGGGACGGTTGCTCTCGTTCACAGTGCCGGTCTTTGGAACATCGGTGTCGTTGTTGCTGGTGGTTGGATTTGTCTTGATAATCGTGGGTCAGATCGTGAGGACGATGGCTATGGCTCAGGCCGCGAGTAACTTCAACCATCATGTTCAGTCGGAGCACCAGGAGGGTCATGTCTTGGTCAAGACCGGGTTGTATGGATATCTTCGGCATCCCAGCTACTTTGGTTTCTTCTGGTGGGGATTGGGAACGCAGTTGGTACTGGGGAATGTGGTGTGCTTTGTTGGATATACCCTCGTGCTGTGGAGGTTCTTTTCGACTCGTATTAAGCGTGAGTTCTCCCAGTGAATTCGTTGCGCTTACTGTCTTCCCTGACTGACTGACTCGTCTGCTCCTTTAGGAGAAGAATCGTTTTTGATCCAATTCTTCGGCGCTGAATATCTTCAGTACCGACAGGATACCCCGGTTGGTATCCCCTTGATTCGCTAATTAGAGACAACTGCGGCGTCATTTCGGCCTTGCTACTTGCTCGAATCTCATATAAACAGTTGAAAAATGAACCTTCTGTAGACATTCCCATCTACCAGTAATTTCGAGAATCATATCCAACTGCCCCGAGGCAAAATCCACCTAAAAACGAAGATGATAAATTCCCCACCTTCATGAATCGAACCGCCAACCTTCTGGTTCCCTATATACTTCGTCCTGTTACTCCCTCGCTATCCCAGGACACCGGATAACATCGCCATCCCACCGCAGTGCCGCAACTACTATACAGCACCCCCTTTACACCCTCTTACACCGTCAAAAGGGCCATTAATAATTAAAATTAATCAAACATAACGACCTAAATAAAATAATTCCATTAGAGAAATAATATTACCAAAAACATCCCAAAAAAAAACTCCCCCCGCCTAGGGGTGTGCCCGGCCGTGCGTGGAGCTCGAAGCGTCAACACTGGCCCAGTATTTTTCTTCTTCCTTGCCCAATCCTCCAGGGCACACCAATGGTTCACCAATTTATGGTGGATACCAACTAGGCTATCGCAGGGGGAGGTGGGGGGGAGTTGATTGTTTGACCTTTAATTTGGTGATGACCTTTGTTTGCTATGATCGACTAAATTGCTGGCAGAGGATAACCTTGTTGAGGCTCTTGATATTGAGACTGTACTTTCGAGGATACACTACTTGTTATTATGACCTCTCTTATCGAGAGTCGTCTTGCCAAAGTCAGAAACAACAAACAACACCCGAGTAGATTTCTGCTTTGAAAATATCAATCAGTATCAAGTCGACGAAAATCCTCGACATCATCAGTAGTAGGAGGGCTCGTCAAAGCTGTCAGCGCACGTTCACATTTCAATTCCTCCAGATATGCGCCACCGCCAAGATCAATTATAAACCGATACCACCAGAAATCCTTCGATGTAAACCTCAACGTGGTTGTAAAGTCCCAATACTCAGGATACCAGCCTGCCGATTCCTAGTCCAGAAAACCCATGATCCAGCCACCATATACCATAATTATGATGTTGAAGATCCCCGTGTGTGAAAACAACACGATGTCGAAGATTCCTCATGTTCCCCACAACCTCGAGTGCTTCTTGATACGCGAGTTCAGACTCAAAACCTCCCGACCAAGAAGGATGTATAAGGTATTCGTTGAGTTCCTCCTCAGATTCAAACGGGCCCACAAGATGATTAGGAACGCGAATACTCCTAATACTCGTCCCCACTATAGATCAAATTCTATCTCCGCCGCATGGATTCGACCATCCACGCATCACATTCAAATATCCCTTAAACTCCCGCCCAGTCGACCTCTTCTCCTCACTACTCAACATCTGATAAACCTGGCCAAGCTCCCGACTAGGAACACGGGTCATCAAAATCGAAACCGGCGCATGTGGTGTGCCAGGATGCTCTCCATACCAAATCACCCTGGGTAGCGGAAAGCCTGCTCTTCTGGCGACTTGCATGGCTAGGACCTCCTCTTCGCGGTAGCTTTATATTATATAGCTTATAGTGTTTATCGTAATGCATTCCTACCCACTTGCAATATGATTAGAAGAATCTTCGGAGGTATGTATGCAAAAAGCCCCAGATACGACGGACTTGGGGATTGGTTGGGTGAGGTGTGGGTGAGAAACTTTATATAATCATAACAATTGTAGTCGACTAAGTACGCAGCCTGGCAATTATGCCATTACCCGAGCTACTAACGGCACATAAAGTAGCGCCTAGTCTTAGAAATCGATCTTGTCGGGCGCTATGGGATATATGCGCGCAAAAAAGCTGGACTGATAAAGCCAAGGTAGCAATAAAATCCACAGGTCCACCCTTCACAATGCCGAATCAAATTCTCGAAACTCGATGTGTAAAAACATTTCCGGGGAGACTAAAAACATGTTTCTTTGTTGATTGCGAAATATACGGACTGATGGATGATAAGGCTCTACTTCATGAACTTATGATCAAAGCCTAGAATAAACCTTTATCTATCCACACAACTCAAGGTTATTTGCAAGTTGCCACTAGAATTTGGACTTATATGTCCTGGTATATAAAGTATAAACACAATCAACGCTCGTACAATGCAACGCACCTTTCACCCCCATCTACCTCATCCCATCCTCAACCCTTCACACAGCACCATCACATCACAACTTACTCTCCGGCGCAACAGCCCCGACAGCCCCACTCATAAACGGCCCCCCCCTCATCCCCCACACCCGCCCCAGCCCCAGACTCAGCACCAAACAACACAAGCTCTCTCCCACCCCTAGTACTCCACCAAGTAACACAGCAATGCGCCCGATCAACATCCATCTCGCCACCACTCAACGCCTTCCAGAACCGATCAACGCAGACATGGCGCATACCCCGATCAGGAATTGCATTGATCAATTGCGCAGTGAGGGGGAGCCACTCTTTCAAATCGTCGACGCGCAGGAAAGAGAGTGAGTCGATTAGGGCGAGGATGAGGACGGCTTGGGCGGAGAGCGGTGCTTGATCTGGTGAGGAGCCGTTTTGGGTGTTTGGTGGGATTGGGGTTGTTGATGCGGTTAGGGCGCGGTCGCGGACGACTTCGAGGAGGATTGAGGGGAGGAGGGGTTGGCTGTTTGCTAGGGGCGAAGGAGGGGCTGTGACTTGGATTACTGTTTTGAAGGCGAGGCGGAATTGTCTTGCTGAGAGGTTTTCGGGGAATACCTAGATGTATGGAATGTTAGATTTGAGGATTGAATGTCAAAGGGTGTAGCGAGATGACTTACTGCAAAGAGGTTCTCGATATAGAAGGGGAGATGCTTGGCGGCTAGTTCTGCGTTGTGGGGAATAGCAAAGACGACCAGTGTCAAGCTGTGAGCTGCCTCGAAGATTTCAAGGAGAAGGCTGTTGGCACCGGCTGCGAGGTACGGGAAAGCAGCTGAAAGGAGCAGTTCTTCGCTAGCTTCAGGGGTCAAGATCACGGGGAAATGCTCTGCAGTGTTCAAAAAGAACAAATCCAGACATCGCTCCACGGGGTGATCAGGAATTTGGCCAATATCGCTAGGCTTGATGCTGCGTAGGAAGTTCTCTGCCAAATCAGGATATTGAGAAAGAATATCTATGGCCGCGAGGAACACAAAGTTCAGCTGGGAAGATCCAGTTTGGCCCGCTCGAGAAGAAATAAAGTATAGGTTGCGAAGGATATGGAGAGACTGCATGCAAAGATATGGCGCACCTATAATTTCACACAAGGTCAGTATATCGCAATTAGACGAAAATTAGGACAAACATACTACTGCCAGTAGCAAGAGCCGGATCATTGATCGTTCTACCCAGCACAGCACGAAGAACGATAACCACCGAGTACATGCAATTCCGAAGAAGCGTCCACAAAGCCGGAATCGTAGTCTTCAAGGACTCCGCATCCAAGAACTCGGTCTCCTCGGCAACATCAACCTCGGACAGCTTATTTTGGCGCCACTGAACCATAAGCGTCCGCACAAAATCGGCCATGTAATCCACCGACTGCGCAACGAGTTTCGGATCCCGCACGTTCTCAACGGCATGTGCAACTAACCTGGATAGCGGGCCCAGCGCACCGACCAAAGGCCGCCCAGCGACTGCAGTCACATATCCAAATGTCGCAGAATTAGGTGCCCAGCAGAACTTCTTCCCCGGCGCCTCGACAACATCTTTATCGATGGCGCCCAAGAAGTATCCACCCTCCAAGCCCTCGGGGGAATGGAACACCGATCGTACCATAATAGGTAGTAAGCGGTCATAGTCCAGTTTACTCCTGTTTGCATCCGACAAAAGCTCAAAGGTATAGTTGAGCACCATGGTGATGCAGTATCCGTCAATGCCAGCCTCGGGATCCAATTCCTCCAAAGCCAATTGCGCAGCCGTCGTCAAAGCAGACTCCAATTTTGTCCGAATATGTCGCGGCAGACCCTGTCGATTCTGTCCCTCGAAGCCGAGCAGGATTCCGCCGAGTAGAAGCATGTGTCTCCAGCGCGGAGACTTATCATCTGCGCCCTCAGCAATGGCTTTGACCCATGCTTCACGTTCGATTCGGCGATTACGGCCCGCGCCGTGCGGGATCTGGGCTTCTTCCGTGGTATCATTCTGCAAAACTGCGATGGCGGCTGTGTTGAAGACACTCAGGATCTTGCGACAGGCGAACAGATCGACGGGGTGATTCCACAGCGCCGGGGCGGAGAGTAACTGCGACGCAAGAAGACTCAGATTCAATGGGTTTCCGAGGATAGATAAGAAACTGGTGGCCGTGGGGAGGAGACTGAAAATAGTCATGAATGTTAGTTAGCCGGCGACGTCGATGTCGATGATCGGTGATACCCGAACAGATGCGTGAATGGCGCCACTTACCCCGAAGCATCCGCGAAACTGGACGTTGATTGTAGCGAGCGCAGGAGCGCGGCAAGAGATCTTTCTGTCGCCATGGCTTTTGCAGACCTCCTAACTTGGATAGGCAATGCCCACAGATCTACATGGAAGGTGTGAAAGTAGAATGGAGAGAGATGGGATGTGAGACCGCGGAGACCCCAGACCCTGGGCAGCCTGACCCCATCCGCAGCCGAGGTCCGGAGTTGTCAAACAATGCAAACAAGCATCGTCATTTGCCAGCAACAGCAGGAGCCCAAGTCCGATAGGGAGGCTCTAGCTTCAGACAATAAACACCAAACCACCTCGCAGCTAACATAACCTCTCCAGCACCAAAACAACGATGCTCTGATCCTTTAAATCCAACGCCACAGCCGCTCCGGCACCGCAGCATCACCCTCATGGCCGACTTCCGCGTCCCGATCAACTATCAAACCCCCAAATTCCCATCACTATACGACCCACTCCCATCCCATCACAAAGAGGCGTACTACCTCTACTACACGACCGATATCTGGCGCTTCACACTTTACTGGACATTGATCTTCTACGGCGCGACACATCTCACCGTCGCGGGATGCGCGGTTCTAACACACTGCCGGAATTGGAGTGTCATTTGGCTGGTTCCGTTGTTGTATAGTGTTGTTGCGGGGTTGGAGGCATTGCTGGCGGGGAGTATTGTTGGGCTTGTGTGAGTATTTTGATCCTGGGGCTCCTGTGGTTTGATCTGAGCTGCATTGGATTTGTGTTTACTGATTATCGGTGTTGCTAGACTTGGTTCTGTGTACGAATCGGGCAATTTCCGAATGTCGACTTTCCTGCCTATGATTTGGGGCGGCGTCAATGTGATGGTTCTCATTGTGACGAGTTATCCGATGCAGGGTGGACTTTGAGAGAACATCCGAAGCATTGTCTACACACTCCAACATCCAACACACTATCTACGACCCCTGGTCTGATGCCACTAAAACAAGTCCGGGAACATGATCACCAGCACCGCACAGCTTATCCACTCACCCGACTCGGGAAATTGATTAATGTTTTCCATCTCGATATGATAGACCAAAGAATTGATATTCGCAGAAGAGCGCCGGCCCCCCAAATAACGATGGCTATCAGATGCCTTATTTGTCCGTTACGCCGGTCCCGCGATATCCAGATTCGACATGCACATAAAATACAACCCCCGTGATGATTCTTCCCTTGTGCGCTCTCATCGCCGACCACCATCGGGCATTCCACCACCCTGCAGACCAGGTAACCCGCCAAAGCCAGGCGGCATGGGCATGTTCGGGGGCATGGGATATCCCTGAGAGGCGAGTTGTTTCTGCAACTGTGCCAGATCCATATTCATAGGTGGCGCAGCACCCATGCCGGGAAGCATGGGGAATCCGGGGATGGGCTGATTTGGTGGGGGAAGTGATTGAGGTGGAGGGGGAGGTTGAGAGGACATGATGGCGGCCAACCGGTCAGGGTTCATCCCACCCATGCCAGGGAGTCCGGGTGGAGGAGGCGGTTGTGCACCACCGATACCAGGAAGGAACCCTGGGCCATCGGGCTGGGGGGTACCACCGGCTTGGATGCCGGGTAGTGTAGGCGGGCCAGGACGTCGCTGGTCAACCAGACTCTCGGCCTCGTCCTGCATTTCTTGCTCCTCTTCCTCGCGCATCTGTCTACGACCGAATCCACGGCTCCAGGTGCCCTGGGCTTCCGCTGCTTCTTCGCCGATGTGGAATCGGTCTTTCATATAGCTAGTTTCGCCGGGTCTAGCCCGAGACCAGAATCGAGTGAAGTTATCCTTGGATCCAGAGGCAAGAATATGGCCGAGTGGATGCCAGTCCAACGACCAAATTGTAGCACCATGAGCATATTGCACGCGATGGGCTGGGAAGATTACCTGCGGGGGCGTATTGGCCGGGTCGGGGCTGTCGTATGGAGCCACGGTAGGAACATGACCAGCCGGCAGGTTTGGCTCGTCGAGCAAATAGTGGTATAAAGAGCCGTCCTCGGCTCCGGTAGAGATCAGGTTGCTGTGGATGGGATGCCACGTCAGAGACGAGACAGGCTTCTCGTGTCCACGTAGAATGCAAATATCCCGCATCATGCGCAAATCGAATACCCGCGCGGTCTGGTCCCGCGACGAAGTGGCAAGCAGGTTATTATTCACGCGGGAGAATCGCGTCGAAGTGACCGTGTTCTTGTGGCTGTGGAGTGTAGTCAGACACCTCGCCGTGCGTGGATCCCAGAATTTCACCTGGTGATCCTTTGAGCCCGAGACCAGTAGTCCCTTTGTTGGATGCCAATCGCAGGACTTGACGTCCCAGTTGTGGCCGGAGAGAACGGTGTCACAGGTTCGAGATGTGAAATCGAAGATCTTGAGGGTTGTGTCGTCGGAGGCAGAGAGGAATTTGGTATCGCTGGGAGCCCAGGCCAAGTCCCGGACTGCATCGTGGTGTGCATCGTCGATTGTTTCGACGTTGTTGAAGTTCGGTCGCCAGTATTTGATGTCACCTCTTTGTCCGCCTGAAATCAACCACTCGTGGCTATGAGACCAGGCGAGAGATGTGACACCTGCCTGGACTTGATCGTAGTGCGCCTGTGTTTATCCAGACGATTAGCAAAATCATCTCCACCATCTCCACCATCTCCTCCCTTTGTATCACTTACATCCATGACCGTCTCGAAATTAAAGGCCGTCCCGTTCCAAAGCATAAATTCTCCGGTGTGTCCACCCGTCAACAACCGTCTCCCTTCAGGCGTCCATCGTACCACGACGATAGGCTTCTTGGATTTTCCAATAGACTGGTGCAAATGTCGGACGGGTATCGTGTCGGCCGGGGAATAAGTGCGCGCCATGGGTGGAAGCATCTGTAGCGCAGAAACGCGATCACCGTCAGTCTCTGCCACGACCAGCGCAGTACAAAACACATTTCTCACGCGACACACTCACATCGACTGTGAAACTCGCACTGGGGCGCTCCATCTCCATGCGATGCTCGCCGCGGTATCGCGGTCGTCGCGTGCGCATCCACTGTACCATCGAGGAGCCATAATCTGTTACCAATCCTGCGAGCGCAATCGAGTCAGTCGGGGCCGTCGCGTCGGGTGAGACACCCTCAGAGGAAGGTGAGATGGCACCCAGTGCATCATCGTAGACATACTTGGCCGACGAGGTCCAGCGGGGCCATCGAAATTCTTTGTAAACCTCCCAGGGCCATCACCCCCATGTTCGTCGTAGTAGGCCATCGGGAGGACCTATTTTTGTAAATGTGTCGTGCCGGGGTCGCCTGGTGGGGTTGGGAGGGGAAGCTGCGCAATCAATGCATGAAGGGAGAATAAGAGGAATCCGAGCGTTTAGTGTTCAGCAGGGTAGCTTCCAGATCGCATTATCATTGGAGAAGATGAAAGTGTTGGGAGGAGAAGTTTGGAGCTCTGGCAGGGCTGGGCCTCTCCTTGAGGAGCTGCCGGAGGCGGTGATTGGCGGGAAGACGGAGACTGGAGACCGTTTTATCTTATGGCGCCTCTCTGATTGTTCCTTGATTCATCATTCTTCTCATTCTGCCAGCCAGGCTCATGGCGAGTTTGATTATATCTTAGTTTGATTGAACCCGAGTTTAAATTACCCTACTAGCATTCTGCTTATCTCTCCCCTTCTTCTTCGTTATGTTGATCCCAAACTAAGGACGTTGCATCGACTTGCTCGCCCTAGGACTTGTGCTTGGCGCATTGCTCCCGGTTCGCCCGCTAGAGCCTCGAACAAGTCAAATTAGCTTTCCTCTCTCCGTTTAGCTTGGTCTCGACTCTCATTCTCTCTTTTCCTTTTTAAACAATTCACCAGTTCCGATCCGAGTCTCATCGAGGTGTTGAACATGGCCTCGCAGACTGAGGCGGTGACCACTGCTCATGAGCATTCCAGTGCTGCTCCGGGACATGGCATCACTGAGACCGAACCCGACTCGGCCTCGGCGTCTGCTCCCGCGCCCGCGTCCAAAGGCAAGAAACGTCGTAGCAAGTACCGCCATGTCGCAGCCTACCACGCACAGCTACGACACTCGAGTCTCAGTCGCGATGCGGATGTTACTCCCAGTTTTCTGGGATTCAGGAATCTGATGGTTCTAGTACTTGGTAGGCATCGCGGACTCCCGTTGGAATCAAATTAGCATGTGATAACTGATACGGCGGGGCAGTGGCCATGAATCTTCGATTGATCATTGAAAATTTTATGAAAGTGTGTTCTCGCTCAGACCCTGGTGCAAAAGTACTCGCATGTCAATTGAGACGATTGGTTTCTAACGGTGTAATCTACTAGTACGGCGTCCTGATCTGCATCAAATGCCATGACTATCGGAAGCAGGATGTCGTTCTCGGATCAATCCTGTTTGCCCTCGTGCCATGCCACCTTTTCCTGGCCTATGCCATCGAACTCTCTGCAGCAGGTGCCGCAAAGCAGACTGTTGGCCACCAGAAAAAGACCGCCGAAGAAAAGGAGCGTGACCAACAGGTCTTCCGATCGACCTGGCGCTACACGGCTCTACTGCACACTGTGAATGCGACCATATGCCTAGCCCTGACCAGCTTCGTAGTGTACTTTCATATCCACCACCCCGGTATCGGGACACTTTGCCAGTTACACGCGATCATCGTGTGGCTCAAGAACTGCTCCTATGCATTCACCAACCGTGACCTCCGCCTCGCCTTCCTCAATCCCTCCGCCGACCCAGGTCTACCAGAGATCTACGCGACATGCCCTTATCCCCGGAACGTGACGCTCAAGAACCTGGCCTATTTCTGGATGGCCCCGACCCTAGTCTACCAACCCGTCTACCCGCGCACTACCTCCATCCGCTGGTCCTTTGTCGCAAAGCGGTTGGCGGAATTCTTCGGACTCGCCGTATTCATCTGGCTTCTCTCGGCACAGTATGCGGCCCCCGTACTGCGCAATTCCATTGACAAAATCGCCGTCATGGATATTGCGTCTATCCTGGAGCGTGTCATGAAGCTTTCCACCATTTCGTTGATCATCTGGTTGGCCGGATTCTTCGCTCTGTTCCAGGCTCTGCTGAATGCCCTGGCTGAAGTGATGCAATTCGGGGACCGTGAGTTCTATACCGACTGGTGGAATAGTTCCAGTCTGGGCGTGTACTGGCGGTCGTGGAATCGGCCGGTCTATCTGTTTATGAAGCGGCATGTCTACTCGCCGCTCGTTGGTCGAGGCTGGAGTCCCTTGGCGGCGAGTGGCATGGTCTTTGGCCTGTCTGCCATTCTTCATGAAATGTTGGTGGGCATTCCCACTCATAACTTTATCGGTACGTTCTTCGTTTCCCTCGAGATGACATTACGTCGCATGGGATATTCGCTAATAGAAAACAGGCGTTGCTTTCTTCGGCATGATGTTCCAACTGCCCCTCATCACCCTTACAGCACCACTTGAGAAGATGCGCGGTCCCCAAGGCAAAACGATTGGTAACTGCATCTTCTGGGTGAGTTTCTGTCTGGTCGGGCAGCCGCTGGGAGCGCTGCTGTATTTCTTCGCTTGGCAGGCCAAGTATGGCAGTGTCAGTCGAATGCGCGTTTAAGCTGTGTTTTGGCCTTGCTTTGGAAGCTCCAATTTGCAGGCGATGAGAATAACGGGGGAAATTTTTCAAGGAGGGGTGTGCAGCGTTGATGTCAGGGGTTGATATTATGAACTAGATTTTGCATTCATCGTTGCTCTGTTGCTTCGTACTTTGACACTCTAAAATCGGTGTTACTGGACGTTTGGTTGAGAAACTATGTGGCAGTGCCCCAAATCAATCTCTGTGAGATATTCCCGTTCATGCAGACACTCGGAAGCACTCCGTGCCGAGTGACTGTGCCTTTTTAATGACGTAGATATATTGGCACCTGCTCTTCCACGATGTTTATCCGAGGACTAGACCCCGTGTGGGGACTATTTCGAACGGTCAAATTTAGCTATGGAACGCCGTCGGACTGTCAAGAGGGTCCTTGAAAGGCCCCGTTTGTATGTACGCAGCAACCGGAACCATCTCCAGCCGGCATAAAAGGACACGTCCCTGCAAGCCAATTGAACATTCCAATTACTGTTGACTAATATTTACCAAACTCAAACCTAACTTATTTCATCCGTCGATCATTTGTACAGTAGAATAATAATCATAAAATCCAGCTTGCATCGAATCGCATCGCAACAAAGAGAAAACCGGCTCTACTTGTGGAGGCGGGTCGGACAGATTCATTTCCCCGGCCGGACCAGCACATGTACCCTATTCCCGGACCTTCCACCAAAATCATAACACTTGTTTGTTTCACCCCTTGACTGCTACTGTACTCCGTACTTACTATAAAGAGCCGAACGCGCCATCGCTGTTGATTATTTGCCAATTCCTTCTTATCAGCCACCTATCAACTATCAACTACACTTCCAGACATCATCCGTCATGGTCCAGATCACTATCCCCGAGAACTACGGGTGAGTACCAGTACTCCATTTACCCCTGTCATCCAATCCTATTCGCAGGTACCCCCAAACCAAGCATTTAGTGTACTCGGGTATACTATACCCTCATCCTGAACATAGAACTGCTTACGCTGACACTCTTTCCCCCTCCAGCGCCGTCATTGGCGTCGCCCTGGGCGTCATCCCCGTCCTTGGCTTCATCCACGGCTTCGTCACCACCGGCCTGCGCAAGCCCGCCAAAGTGCCTTACCCGCACAGCTATGCCACCGTTGAGCAATGCAAGGAGAACGTAAGTCACCAACCAACCCTCCACTTCCCTTCCCTTCCCAATCGCAATTAATTAACTAACACCTTTTTCCCCCCGCAATCACAGGCCAAAGCCGAACAATTCAACTGCGCCCAACGCGCCCACTCCAACTTCCTCGAGAACGCCCCCCAGACAATGCTCTTCACCCTCGTCGCGGGCCTGAAGTACCCCCAATTGGCGGCGGGTATCGGTGCCGTTTGGGCGGTGCTGCGCGCCCTGTACATGTACGGGTATGTGTACTCGGGCAAGCCGCAGGGTAAGGGCCGGATGTTGGGTGGATTCTTCTGGTTTGCGCAGGCGGCGTTGTGGGGATTGAGTGTTTTTGGTGTGGGGAGGAATTTGATCTCGTACTAGACCTTGGGATATGATTCTTTTTGTTCCCTGTCTAATATAATATTTATCTTGCCCGTGTCTGGGTGCTACAATGAACTTAATGATTTGTTTCATTCTATGGACTACACTGCGAGAGCACCAGCCACGTAGTTCTGGGGTTGTGGCTGATGAATGACTCCACAGTGGCGCATTTCAAAAAAGTTCCCGCCGTTGAGGATGCGTGATGCACTTCTTTTTCTTTTGACTCGTTCAGAATTGTGATCAATTGAAGTCTTGGGCTAAGCAGTTGCATTAAAACAACTGCTATCAGAAGAAACCAGCACTCTCAATCGCTTTTCACCAACCCAAGATCTACAACCCCTCCTCTCAACTTATCGTCTCCCCCGCCAACCCCGCCATCATGTCGTCCAAGTCGCAATTGACCTACGCCGTCCGCGCTGAAAGCCACCCCAACCCTCTGGCTCGCCGACTCTTCCAAGTCGCCGAAGCCAAGAAGAGTAATGTGACCGTCTCCGCCGACGTGACAACCACTAAGGAGCTCCTTGATCTGGCCGATCGTACGTCTGACCCCTCCAACTCCCCAAACCCAAGCCCTAGTCTAACATCCCTCCTCTTCTCTACAGGTCTGGGCCCCTACATCGCCGTAATCAAAACCCACATCGACATCCTCTCCGACTTCAGCGAAGAAACAATCACCGGCCTCAGAACCCTCGCCGAAAAGCACAACTTCCTCATCTTTGAAGACCGCAAATTCATCGACATCGGCAACACAGTCCAAAAGCAATACCACAACGGCACCCTCCGCATCTCCGAATGGTCCCACATCATCAACTGCTCCGTCCTGCCAGGTGAAGGCATCGTCGAAGCCCTCGCCCAAACCGCCCAATCCCCCGACTTCCCCTACGGCAGCGACCGCGGCCTCCTCATCCTCGCCGAGATGACCAGTAAGGGTTCCCTCGCGACGGGCGCGTATACATCCGCCTCGGTCGACTATGCGCGCAAGTATCACAGCTTTGTGCTGGGCTTTGTGGCGACGAGGGCGCTTGGTGAGGTCGAGAGTAGTGTTGCGCCGGCGGAGGGTGAGGATTTTGTTGTTTTTACCACGGGTGTTAATCTTGAGTCGAAGGGGGACAAGTTGGGGCAGCAGTATCAGACGCCAAAGTCGGCTGTTGGGCGAGGTGCAGACTTTATTATTGCGGGACGGGGCATTTATGCGGCGCCCGATCCGGTTGAGGCTGCTAAGCAGTATCAGAAGCAGGGATGGGAGGCGTATTTGGCTCGTGTTGGTGGTCAGTAGATCGTGGATACTGGAGTATTTGAGTGTTGAATTGGTATGATTTATGAATGAAAGTGTAGATCTGACTGCGGACTATAGCCTAAAACTTTCAGGGCGTACATGATTGTCTGTACAATAAATATCACGTGATATGACAAGCTACAAATCAGATCGGCAATGCTATTGTCCATGGTCCTTTCTGTAAGTAATCACGTAGAAGGTTTAGCATTATAATCTACTTTAAAGACGTGGTACTGGTTATTGCAGTGTGAGTACCGCGTTTTGTCTCGAAAAATCGAGCAAACCTCAACTGAGATCTTATTTTATCTTGATACTCAAGACCCAAGGCTATGACAGAGGAACTCGGGTTTATCAATATGTCTGTGCATCATCCATAAATGTAAAATCTGAAGTTGAATCAACCATCTCCTTACCTGTGACAGAGCCGAAAACGGTCACTACCACAGCTGAAGGTAAGTGAAGAATCTCCTCCACGCAGGCTGATTATAGTACTTGTCCAGCATAGCTAGCTCATCAGAACTCAGGGTCCGACGACCAGAAATGCAGTCTGCCGTCTTTGTATCTCTCCACGGCGTTCTGAAGACAATCTTGTACCCAGCGGTGGCGACGATGATGAGAATAAGTCCGATTGTGTATTGGAAAAAGTTGTTCGCTGAAAAAGGAGCGCCGCCCTGGTGTGGTAAAGTTTGAGTGAATGTTCTTCCCGGCCACAGGGTCATGAATGAAGACAGTGTGGACAACTCACAGTAGGTTGGGCACCGGCATAAATACAGCACACCAGCAACAACAGGGAGATCAACATCAGCCAAGCTGGTGCAAGTGGCCACAGCGAAGACTTCCAAGCGTATACCTCGTTAAATAGCGGGTCATTCTGCGCTTTCAGCGCGAGATGGAATCGCCAATTGGTAATCGAAATAATGATCCAATTGGTGAAGAATGAGGCGCTCGTGATTGAGACGAGCCAATTTAAAACCGTCAAGCCCCCAGCTATTTGAAATCAGCCTCATTCCCACAAAGATTCGACAAGAAGTCAATGTTGATCCTTACCTGAAAGTTGGATATAAGCCAACATGACAGCGACGACAGAAGTAATAATCAAGGCCAATCTCGGGCGCCCCTTATCATCCACCCCGGCAAGACGCTCCGGAATCAACTTCTGATGCGCCATGGTTCTCAAAACCCGTGAAGAGAGGTAGACGGATTCCGCAGCAATGGCAAGAACTCCAAACATCATTCCGGCATTCAACAGAGATCCAATTCCAGGAATACCGGCATCTTCAACCGCGATGATAAACGGCGAAGCGGCAACTGCACTTGCACCTAGTAGCCGTGGATCATTGGAAGGCACCAGAATCGTCACAAAAATCACGCTGGTAATGTAGATAAAGTTCACTCGAGCCGGGACCAACTTTGTTGCGTGAGCCATTGAGAATCGTGGACTCTCAGCTTCACCGGCCATAATTCCGATGAAAACTTGGTCACCGACAGCCCATGTGGCAAGCAAGGCGCACGTTGAGAATCCCTAGGTCAATTAGCTTCAAAGCGAGGGCTTGTAGGAGTTAGCACACCCAACTTACTGCAAAGCCATTTAGGAACGGGTTGAATTCTGTCCATGATTCCCCGCGGTGTATATAGCCCTTCGGCCCAGCGCCTAGAATAAGGGCCAGAGAAAGGATGATGATGATTAGGAAGATCAAGATTTTGATGAGAGAGGTCACATATTCGAACCAGGCAAAAGCTCTGTTTGGAAGGAGAAAGATGGCCAGAGTCGCGGCGCAGAAAAGGGTGACTTTATCGCAAAGTTAATCGGGATCTTTCCGCATAATGAGAGAAGTGTGGTGAACTTACTAGTTGCAGCCATAGGAAAAGAGTCTCCAGCCCAGTACGAGATAAGAACACTGAAGAATCCAGCTTCGGCCGCTACAATTGACGTCCAACCTGGGTTGCAAGTTAGCATGCAGAAAGAATCATAAAATGAGGTACTCCAAACAAACTAACCAAGCCATTCCGCAAAACCAGCCCCAAAAGCCAACGCCGGATCAACCCAACGATCGGCATAGTCGATATAATTCCCAGAAACAGGAAAGGCGATAGTCATCTCAGAAAGCGACTGCAAAACACCCCAGACACAAGTGCAGACCAGTGTATATGCAATTATCATGTTACCTGGTCCACCAGTTGCCAGAGCTTTACCAGTCGCAATGAAAACTCCACTGCCGATGTTTGATCCAAGGGAGATCACCTGTCAGATGATGAGTAAGGTTCTTGTCTGGAATTGCACACGCTTCACTGATGTCTCACATGGACTTGGCGCGGGGAGAAGGAACGGTGGAATTTTCCGTTCCTGTTCTCCTCCATCTCTGCGATCTGGGGTTCGGCCAGACTTTCTGTTGGCTGGAGGGTATTGTCTTCATGCTTGACAGCGGTCTGGTCTTCCCAGCCTGTTTCGGAGGACCCTTTTAAATCGAGCATGTCGATGATGGATATTTATCCCAATGGCTCAAATATTGAGAAACGATTGAGAATACTGATGACGAAGTATTTTGTAAGGAAAAGGTGGTTTTTCATGTTCATGGGCTAGTAGAGGTGGGGATATATATGTTTCTCGAGAGATCCTATCGAAATAAGGTGTGGCTGCATCCCTTGATTCAGCAACTGTCTCCGTCGTACAGAAAGATAACAAAGCATATAGTTCAGCCATAAATCGGATGATAGGTTGCACCCCCGCATTCCCCAAATTCCTCGGGCTGCTTGGCTTTTGTGGCGGCTCTCTTCGGGCAAGCCAGGGGGTGCGAGACCTTGTTATCTGGGGCAACTGTATCCGATAGTTGTCCACAATTTCGTTTAGGGGGTATATTCAGTGACCCGGCACGTTTCCACGGCGTATCTCCAGTAGGTTTAGTCGCTACTCTTTGACAGCCGTTTTTCTTGCTAGGAAACTGGCCCATGATCCACTGCCAATTTTCCTTCCTACCCCAGACATATCTTACGCCACCCCGTCATCACCCGAATCACCTAATTCCCACTCAGTAGAGGCAACTCATTATTTGCGTACAGTCAAGAGATGTAAGTTGTCGGGAACTATTGACAAATCTGTGAAGAGCGCCCAGAATCCCAATTGGCATGACTTGGAAAGCACTAGCTTCCTGATGGAAGGCTACCCTCGCATCCTCCACGACCCCTGCATATCTATAGACTAGCTCTCCCTGACCCACTCTAGAGGCTCGTGGCCCGGAGGTGCGTGCATGTCAATGCAAATTCCGAGAGTATGAGTTCCATTTCAAGGTGGGCCTTTGCAACCTCGAACGATACTACAGCATTCGTGATGAAGGAAAGTTTAGGTTTGGATGAAATCGGTGATATACCAGTAGTTTCTTCAAATCCAATAAGCCTCTAGTCAATTGAGGCGGACAGATTGAATCTAAGGATCGGAAAGTATCTTGGAACTGCCTTTCAACTGGCAGTGTGCCTCAATTTCATTTTAAACGACCACGCGTTACTATTGACTGTTCGAGATCAATGCTCGTGCTAAGGAAGTAGAATCCAGGAGTGTCGACGAATTTGAACCAAATCGATTTCGAGCCCCTGGTAGTACGTATTATTCTCTAGGAACATATGTTTACGACGAGATATCGGTGGCAAGCAGTTACTATCTAGCTTCATCAAACGCCAGCGACATGATTACATGCAAGATGATATCTCCTAACTCAACCAGACATCTACATGCAACTATGGCTAGAGCACAGTATATGTGAGGAGTTCGATGTACTACTACTATGGGATTCGAGTCCGAGTTACGAGGTCTGATACCCTAGATAACTAGTGGAAGACCTCGAAGTGGGACTTTCCGTGTCTATCGACACTAAAGCCTCGTGTATGTAGTATGCGAAATTACTCTGGTTGGTTCGTCTTGGTCGGGGTGGGGTTTGCGGGGTAAGCTAGGGCTGTTACTTCCATACCATAGTCCTGTCCGGATGGTTACGAGGTACCTACTTTACAACCCTAATGTCGGAGAGACCTGCCTTGATGGTAATGGGCTTATCTGCTAACGCCAACTCGTGTCCCGTAGTGACTTACTGAGTCTTGTCACTCACCGGGCTCCAACACAATTACGTTGCTCGAGTCACTGGGCGAGTCTGTCGATAGGAACTGTTTTCCAGGCGCACAATTCTTGTTGGAAACTGGCTCTCCTTGATGCAAAATGCTTCCCAGAGATTGCTCGGGAAATCGGTCACTCAGGGCTAGTAAGCGCCAGTGACGATATCTCCAAATTCCCCATGCCAAGCCCGGTTGGAACTAGCAAGCTATAACCTGATAGTGGTGTATGATCCAGGTCAGTGGAGCAGATGGCTGGTATTCTAGGAGACACCCTTCAAGGGGCATCGGGGGTTTATTTTTTATTTTTTATTTTTTTGAAATCCTGCGAGGTAGTAACACATCTGGCCTCACGCATCTTCTACCAGGCTTCTTTGTCCATCAAGCTGTCTTCACTGTTTCCTAGCTAGTTCTGCAGTAAACTTTCCAAGATTCTCATTTTTCTTTGCCTCTAAAATGCAGTACCTTTCCGAAGGTAAGATTTCACGAAAGCGCACAAGGCAGATGCGATCTAGATAAGCCCCTGATACTAAAATCCTTCTGAGGGTATATAGTATGTATGAGGTTCTCTATAGAGAGCCCCTCTCTTGCCTAGCCTCTCACGCTATCTTTTACGCACTTACCTTACTTAGCCCTGTCCGCGTGCCGCTAGAGTGGCGTCTAAATATTCCTCACCTAGGCGAGATCCTTTTGTATACCACTTTTCATATATTGTACAGCACATACGACCATAGGGTGTGGAGAACAGGGCTTCCCGTCCGCTCAGCCGTACTTAAGCCACACGCCGGCCAGTTAGTAGTATGGTGGGTGACCACATGCGAATCCTGGCTGTTGTATGTTTTTTTATCTTTGGTCAATGACATAGAATTCATTGGGTTTGATGCTTTTGCCGCTTTACTCTTCAGCCCCTTCAGGGGCCGTGCCCTGAACGCCTGAAGGACCTCTATTCTTCACATGAACGTCCTGAAGCGCTGACGTGGCCCCCCGGCTAAACTTTCCTTCCCTTCTTACCCTTTCCACTCGTGTCTCTCTCCCCCAACTCGACCTTTTTTGGTGGCCGTGACCTGATCCTGGTCAGAGTGACCACGGAAAATGGATTCACAGTGGCCATTCCAACTGTCTGGCCTCGTCTTGGTTATTCCTGCACCAAGGACAGTGAAAATTGGGACAAAGGAAGAGCTGCAGAAACCAATGGCTCGCTCCTATGTGGAATATAAACAATTGAAGAACTCTCTTGTGGCCAAATATATGGGGGTATTTCACAAGTTAAACCTGAACTGAACCAGCGACTTTTTTTATTTCTCCCGGATGGGCTACTATTGTGAAGACCCTGGGCCTCTATACCCAGGGTAGGGATCCATGCTCTTGGGCCCATTGGGTTGTGGGTGCTCATGTTGTCCCCTTCGCGGATCTGGTAGATATTGATTCGTTAGTGTTGAATCAACTATGGGCTACCGGACCCTCTTCTTACTGGGTGCTTGTCCAGCCCCTTATATGAAGTCTTCTGCTGGCTGCTTGTACCTTTTGTTTGGGGCTACATATATCTGTATCTAATCTCAAAGGGTATACATGGTCGGTTAGGATGGATAACGTGTTAGCGGATCCGTTTTATCCAACCAGTATGCCAATTCGTAAGTGAACTCACAGTCTGGACAACCGTATTTGACGATCGCACAGGGAGAGAGCAATAGCAAGTCCCGGCTTGGATCTGGATATAACTACATGCAAACCAGCTTCACCAACTCACACTCACTCACTTTTCTGAGCCCCACCACCGCCTATGAATTCGGTGTAGTTAAATGGCCCTGTGTACATTACGTCATGAGCATTATGCTAAATGTGGCTCCGGGTTGTGGAACACAAATAGCTTGCAACGTTCCGAGGGAAAAGAGGGAAAAGAGGAAAAAGAGGAAAAACATGATGCGCTTCTGGTGATAAAACATATCAGCAGGGGGTCTTGAGCTTCTACACGTTATTCTATGTTATCTCATACACGAGTCTTAGATCAATGAAAGTTTCCTGAGCTGTATAATAGTCAAAACTTGCTACTCGGCATATAATTCTAATTTGATGACTCTTCGACCGCAATTTTTGCATGCCGGAAATGACCCTCTGCCCTTTCTCTCTTCGCCCCGACGTCATCAAATCTTTGAAATCTTGACCTTAATGTTGCCAACTCCGTCGTGAGAAGGCTTTGAGCTCCACAAAGAACTTTGCGATCGGGTTTAGGTCGGGTGGGTATGGTGGTAGGTGCGGCAACTTGACACTGGCGTTGAACATAGTTACCCTATTCGTTCACTACGGTGAAAAGACGCGTTGTGCATAATGAGGACGGATTTTGGCTCCTCCGGCCATCTACCACAATGAAGCTGTTTGATAAAGTCCTCAAATATACTCGCATCTGTCAAGCCTTAGAAGATACGCGACATCAAGATGCCATCTTGGCAATGCGCCGGGAGGATCTGATACCGCTGACCGCGTTGGAAAAGGGAAACGTGGACAGGTGACACCCCATGTGGGGACCAGCTGGTCTTTTTGAAGCTAGCCCGTTCATCGCATCCTGATTCATCCATCTATGAAGACCAGAAGATACGAACAGAAATCTGAGAGCTGATACAGATAATGATCTCTCAAATTCCCATTTCGTTCTTGCGCTATCCGTCGAGCCGCCTTTTTGGTCCAACCGTGTGATAGTGCATGTGGATACGAGCAATTCGAATTCTTCATATAAAACGCCTGCCATGTCGTCCAAGTATAAATCCGGCTTCTCTAGCAAGTGGTCACATGGAGCTTCAGGCATGAGGATGTGATTACACGAGGACGGCCACTGGAGATCAAGGGAGCTCGGACATCGCCGGACATTCGTAGGCTATTACTGATAGTTATGATCGAGCGCTTGCTGCAGTCAGCCACTTCGGCTATCTGATAGGTATTCAGAGATTCTCTGTCAATCATGTCGCAAGCTGGAAGGGGGCGAGTCGAGGCACCATGATGGTCTTTGTCACGTTGTGGATCGAAGAAGTTGGTGAGCTGGCCAAGGGCGCCGTGGGGGCGAAACAGGTCTGGTTCGGTTCGGGCTTTCAGTTCCCATTGTACGACAACCTTGCCCCTGTGTCCCACTGTAGACAGACCGGCAGTGTATGGCATAGAGTGGATATTGGTTTTGGGTATATCATTTTCAGTTAGTGCCTGAACAATAGCGTTGTACCCGGTGGACTTTTCAGTCGAGGAGTGCACGATATCGGCCTGCGTCTGAGTTGTGAAGTCGATTAGATCAAGAGCCGCCTCCAGAGGCGTGAGATCTTCTTCTGTGTTGCTACTGCGTCGTTCATCGTTATGACATTCCCATATTCCTGCGCGTAATGCCGGATGACAGC